AACCCCACCCCGGCAACCATCCCAACCCTCCCCCATCCCGTCTCTCTCGGTCCCGCAGCATTAACCGTCGTCCCCCCAATAACAAAAGACCCACCACCCGCAGCTCCAAACCTGTCACAATCACTAGGCCTTAAATTCAAACAAGCCGCCTGACTCAGCGAACTACACACCGAATTCGCACTCGCAACCCCCAGATTCACCGCCGTCGGCGCAACGGTAACACCCCCCTGGGGCGCCACGACCGTGACTCCAAAGGCTCCCCCCAAATTCGCCGTACACGCCGCGAAGTTCTGCGAGCAGGCCGTGTAGGCGGCGGCGCAGGCGACGGAGTTGGGGTACGTCGTGGGTATGATGGGGAAGGGGAAGAAGGTATTTGGCACCACGCTCGGAGCAGCGGTGATGGTCGCGCTGTTCGGATTTCCAGGTGCGGTAGTCGTGGGTGTATTAGGAGCAGGTCCTGTCGTCGCTCCCCCTCCGATGATGATACCCGTCGGAGCCGCGGACCCAAGAATCACCGTCCCCGTGCACACCGCGCCGATGGGGCAGCAGGCTACATTCCTCGCGCGGTCCAAGGTACATGTTGAGCCTTGAATGCAACACGCGCCCCCGAAGTTGGCGGCGAGCGTGGAGCAGGAGTTGTAGTTCGGTGCGCAATTGCCGTCGCGCTTGAGGAATTCGTGGGGTTCTGCGGTGTCGTTTGTGAGGGGTTGAGCTTCGTAGAAGGATTGTAGGATCGAGGGGATTTGGAGGGCGGATATGGAGGTGAAGAGCGATGTGGTGAGGACGGTGGAGCGCATCGTTGCGTTGTCGGTGTACTGAGTATCCGTACTGCCCACCTGCACCCAACTTTGTTGACTTTCACAGAGGAATGTGAATACCCCGCTCACGCACAATTGACACCCCAGGACTCTTGGTGAGCAATTGATCGTGAGGAGCTCGAGATGGGAAGACGATGGTTCAGATGTTCTCGAGAAAGCTGCTGCACCTCGGAAAAAGGGAAGCTTAATGTACCTGGAGCTGTAGCCAATTGACCGAATCAGGTTCTGTGATGTGCTGTCTCTCGTAGTGGGGGTGTTCAAGGTTTTCTGAGTGGAGGATGCTTGTTGCCATGCAGCAACGGCAACGGAAACCGTTGGTTGGCCAGGGGTGACTATTTGCCGAGTGCACCCCTGAGCTTGCGCTCAACCACACTTTATAAGTATTTGGGGCAAGAGAGAGTTGGATGTAGTGAACGAATACAAAATGACTAGTGCTTTTTCATTTACGCCCCAGCTATTCGCATATCAAACACATTCAAAGCAAGTCATGTATTGCAAATAGCTAACTACTAAAAGCCCATTGAATATCTCCCCTCCATGATCCATGTTACCCATCGCATCTAGCCTCGAAAATCTCCACTCAGCCTCCAATCGAGGCATTCATCATGAAATAAGACTCGAAAAAAAGAAAGCCCTCTGAAAAGAACCTCAAATATACGATTCCAACCATCCATCACTTATCCGGTCCCCAGCGCGCTCCCTCATAGCTTCCCGCAGAGAATCGTTGGAAACCACGACCAAAACCAGGACTTCGAGGACTACGAGGAGAGACATTCTCATCAACGTTCGTACCTTTTCCCCACGATGCGGTCTTGGAGAGGGGCATCATTGGAGTAAATGGAGTAGTTGGAGTCATAGGACTCATCGGCCAGGTTGAACTCGGTGACATAGGTGCAATGCTTGAGGGCGACAGCGGTGGTCGAGCTGGAATTGAAATCGATCTTGGCATATCGGTGCTTGGAGAAAGCGGTCCGGAGCCATCACCAGCATACTCAGTTCTCTTCAAAGCCTCAGCTTGAACGTCCCAGATTGGTCGACCTAATTCCATCAGAGAGGGTCCAAACTCCTGGATCATCTCGAACAATTTACTCTCGTCCGTCTCAGTTTTTGGGTGGATTGGTTCATCCTCATCTTTCCCATCTCCAAATGTTGCCTTCCACCATCTATTTTTCCACTTCTTTACTGCCGCCTTTGCAGCTTCAGACTCTGGTTGAACATCCTTGGCAATCATGTAGAAAGACGAACGAGTATTGTGCTTCTTAAGTGGCTTAAAAACCTCAACTTTGGCAAAAGTACTCAAAGTATAAAGTATAAAAGCCGAGCTGAAACAATCGATCTTATGCAAAAGCATAACAAGCGTACCCCCTGGTGCAATTCTCTGAATCGCCAAAATCAACTGCGAATGAATGAGACGCACAACCTCGCTCTTCTCCCGATAGGTCGCGCGTTCCTGCGTTCTCAAAACCATCCCATCACAAAATACCAGATCGAACTTGTAGTAACTGAATGGCCTCGTAATGATGAACTTCTTGTAATCCGGATGCGTCTTCGGAACCGATCCCCCATCACCAAATTCATTGATCAACATCGTAACATCCATATACTTGAGCCCAGCAAGCGCCTCACTCGGAATCAGAACCGCATGACCACCATCCTGTTCCGGCAAAGTGACGCCAAAAGCCTTCGCAGTGGGATAATATTTGAGAACAGCAGCCGTGTATCCACCGGGCGCCATGCAAATATCAAAAACATGCAATTCCTCACCTCGCACGGGGAGATTGAGAAACCCAGTCTGACCCTGCATCTCATCCAAGATCTGCTGCATCATGACGAAGAATCTCTTCTCGCCCACTTTGTCGGTGTTATCAGCCTTCTCACGTTGAGCCTTGAAAAACGCATCTCCCTTCTCTTTGTTTTGGACCCAGCCCTGCAGTTCATATTAGCGGATGTGATTGCGAAGGTGGTGAGATGGTAGAATACTTACCCGATCTCTATACTTCATGACATTGACAAAGTGAGGTTCATTCTTGAACAGATACGCCTTGAGGATCTTATCACCATGCGACATCTGCTTGTCACGAGGATCATCTTGGAGTGTGATCTCCGCGAAACCGGCAAGAAGCTCATCCAATGTCGTTCTCAAGCCTTGGTCAACATCACCTATATGAGATTTGGGAGTTTCCGCTGACATTTTGTTGTGGTGGTTTGGTTGTTGCGGAGTTGTCTGGGGAAGGTGTCTGTCTGTGGTAGGAAGTAGATATTTTGACTTGTCGGGTTATGAAGTGAATCACTTAGAATGCGGAGAAATGACTAGGAAGGAAGGATGTAGAAATAGCCGAGAGACCAAGCAGTGATTGCGTCTTTCGTAGCCAATAGTGAAGCAATGGCAGATATGACATTTTGCTCTTGACCTGAGGTAGGTACGATTGAAGCACCCCCCGCCGTAAACGCATCAATCTAGGCATTGTCGGAAGTACGTGTAAAGGTCCTCAATGGTTAGTACAATATGGTAGGTACGCCACAGAAAGTGAATCGTGCCTTCTTTCCAGGAAGCTAAATTACTAATATTGTGCAAAATAGATAACCATGCACAATTGAAAGCGCTCTTTGACAATATCTAGAATGGTCAACTAAACTCGAGGTGAATACTCCCAACTCTTTTGATCCTCAAAAGTGATATCACATAGAAGAGTTTCATGTTACTATGTCCCATTGCCTCATGAGTCTTGCTTGAAACTAGCAATGGATGGGCTTCACTGGGCTAATGTGAGAACAAATTAAGCGCTGCTGCAGATTTGTAGTAATACTGTAGAGAACCTCGTAGTCTCTGAATCAATTACACTTTAGCAATGGCTATTCTCTTTCCTTTGTAGTGTATTCTCGAACCAGAACCATTGGAGCATTCTATGGTCCAGTAGTAGCACTATGCTAATTCTAATATTAACAGCTATATCGCCAGGATCGTATCTGACAGATACAGATCCTTAAGACCCCTCAAAACACTATCTCACTCATCAAAATCAGTCTATTCATCTTACTAGACGACAAATCGCATGAAGTATTTCAATTTTCTTGCTATGATTTGCTATGATACAATCAAGCAGGGTTGGTTGTTCTTCTCTCTCTCTATGATATGTAGCAGACTCCCTTCCTCCCTCCCCACAAGCGACGAAGTCGCCCTAGAAACCACTAGAGCGCATCGTAATAAGAAGCGAAATATTTTGAGTAGGAGAGATGAGAAACCATGGATTCCCGAGCATTGCGTGCATGTAAGGCCATTATTCAGATGAAAGCATTACGCCTGACGGGAAGCAGAGTCTGCCCGAAAACTTTTGGAATGAAAGAGCTGGTGGGGCCGAAAAAAAGAAGCAGGCTTTTTTTGCCGGAAAATATGAACAATTAAAAAAAAGAGCAACAAAACAAGGTCGATGTAAGGAAAAGCCATGCTCATGCTCGATAAGCGGAGGATGAACCCAGCGAGAAGATTCCGTAAAGATCTCCAATCTTCTGTTGAGCCCCTCTTAAACGCCTGGGATAACACAAAACAAAACTCATAGATACAATCGTGGTATAGTGCCCAACACAAAACCATTTGCCTATCAGCAAATCATCATTAGTGAGGACCGATTTTTGCCAAAAGAATGGACGGCCAACGCCATCCAGGTTGAGCGAAGTAGGATTTTGTCCGAGAAATCCCCAGACAACATCAGCGGAAAACAGCTCGCGGACAGGAGGACCAAAGGTGTAAGAGCCAAAATCGTTCTTCAACTCATCACGACATGTCGGACTTTTGCTTTGGTCCTCTCTCTAATTCCTCCCGCAACTCCGCATCGACATAATTATCAATCTTCTTTCTGCTCTTCATGTCCAGAGCACCATTTCGCCAGGCCGCTCGAAGTCGTTGGAAGGCTGGTCTATCATCAGAATCCTCGGCCTTCACGAGATCGACGTAATGACGAGCCAAGGTTTCGGGAATCACCTTCTTCTTGCTGTTCAAGACCTCGTCATAATAAGAGATCAAGTTTTTCAGTCCATTGGTAGCCTTCACTGAAGCATCTTCGAAAGCATACTGACGGAACTCCGAGTACATCCCAATATTAAAATTGCGGCATAGGAAATGTGACCAGAATTCGTAAAGGAGTTTCATATCAGGGTGTGTCTCGCCAGCAGCGGTCATATCTCGATTTTTCAACGCACGGGCACGGAACGAGGTGTATGATTCACGTGAATTGTGCTCTGCAACTGGAGCTTGTTGACGTTGACCTTTAACCCACATAACAGGAGGGCTGCTACTGTAGGTAGGTGAAGAAGGACCGAAGGGACTTCGTGAACCGCGAAGAGATTCTGGAGAGCTACACATTACCGAGTTAGAGATTGTTGATACAGCAGGTCGGATGATCTTACGCTTCAGAACCCCGAGACCCATTGGTCAATGTACGACCCTGACAGCCATCATCTATAGCTTCAGCTATCGATTTTCCATCAATGGAACCGTTGGAAAAAGTTCTGGATGCCGAAGTGCGCTTGGGTTTATAATCACCTGAAGACTTATGAGGCGAGAAGACAAGAGTCAAGTTTGCGACTTCAATGTCACCGAAAGTGCTTTCCAGCTCGAGGGGGTCGGCAGAACCATTTCCGTTCATTAAGCCTGGGGCAAAATCAGGAACGGCAGCTGAAAGTGGAGTTTCGGGGTGGTAAACATGACCGTTGCCGTTCATTCCATGCATTCCGTTCATGTCACTCATGGCAGATGGAGCAGAGACGCCATTGCCAAAAGTTCTAAAACTAGCCTCGGTTCCATTTGGAGAGAAAGGAGGGGGTGACATCGCTGGGTTTCCTGGATACATCATGGGATCCATCAACTGAGATCGAGGAGGGGCGGGATGGTGATACTGAGGTCCTGCATTTCTTACAGACTCATCTCTATCCTCCATTGGTAATATCCATTTTTCCCAGCCGTCTCTTCTTCGCAATCGATCATTACCATCATCACCTCGAATAAGGTAAAGAATATCCGAGTCCTGGCAGGCGATGTATAGTAAGCTGAAGTCTTGAGTGAGAGCTTGGATTCGTTTGAAAGATGATATAAATGTCAAAAAGACAAATCCTTGACTATCCATGTGCTTTCTCAAATAGACATCTTTGCAAAGATTGTCAATGGAAAAGTAGTACTCCAATTGCATCTTTACCATAGAAATAACAGCACTTTGATCCATATACGGATTGTATGGTGGTGCGCTCATTGGTTGCATGGGTTGGAAGTCGTAGGAGGCTGTGATGGGGCTCATGTGTTGGTTGGGTCCACTCTGGGGGTACCGACCATACATGGCACTGTTTGGTATGCTTTGTGTTCGAGAACCACCGCGGCCTCTAGAAGGTGGAACCGAGTATTGGTTATTGAACGCGGATGCTTGAGGAGGAGGGCTATAAGGGCCGGAACCTTGTCGAACTGGGTAACCGTTGGCTTGTTGGGGGCCATGGTCATTGGTATAAAGATGGGCAGGGTGCTGCTGACCATTCTGGGAGTTGTGATTACCCCGACCACGGAAACCTCCTCTGCCACGGTCTGATCGACCATCAGCTCTCTCACGATGATGATCCTTGGTTTGCTCATATCCTCGCAGGTTCGACTCACTCCTACGATCGGCGCCAGTTCTCTGGTGAACATGTTCATCCATTGGACTGCTTTGAGTTTCTTCGGACCTGAAGCCCCGATCGGCTCGTGTGAATTGGTGATCCTGGCTATTATCTGAAGACTGCTGTCCGTACGAAGTATTTCGAATATCACTGATATTCGACTCTCTGCCACCTCTTGGCTTTTCAGCTGATGCAGCGATAGGCTTTCTCTGGTCTTTTGCGCCAGAAGGGTCGCTGGACGGTCTCTTATTCGAATTTGGTGGAAGTGATGCTGCTCTTGGGACTTCACCTCTGCTGACTCGTTTGTCGGCCTCTACTGTCGAAGGAGTGGTAGTAGTTGAACCATTTTGCGCTTTATCACCAGTTGTGCCGGCAGCATTGGTGTGCGAAGATCGCCCTCCTTCTGTTCGGCCACCACGAGCTCCACCGCGACCTCTACCCCCCCTTGAAGGTAGAGGTGTGTTAAATGACACTGAAGGAACATATGGAAGGGTCTGCCACTCTTTTTTCGGTCTCGGCTTGTTGGAAGAGGTATCATCCTTTTCTTCCTTTTCTAGCTTCTCGTAGGCTTTGCGCTTCCCTTCCTCCAATGCCGTCTCAGGCGTTGGCCAAGATGTCGCATCTTCAACTGGTGGAGGCAATTGAGCAGATACTGACTTCTCTTCCTTTTCGCCAACTCTACTGCCCCTTGGCCCGGCACGCTTTGGTATTTGGTCCTCCTTGGACTTATTGGCTGCTTCATTCGCCTTCTTTTGTGCTTTAGCAGTGTTAGGTGAATCCTTGATACCGCCATTCTGTGCGCTACCAATTGCCTTATCACCATCCTCGACCCCATTTGGCTTGCCACGTCTCTTTGCCTCGGGACTTCTTGGACTATCATTGGCATTGGAAGGTTCAGTCGATGCTGGAGGAGGTGCGATCTTTGCTGCTTCTTCCTTGCGCTTTGCCCAGATATTGACTGCGGGCAGTGGGGCTGGCACCAATTGCTCTTGAAGTCTAGCTTCCTCTCTTTCCTTTTCCTTCTCAGCCGCCTCTCTCTCGGCATTCTTTTGCTTTTTTCCCTTCTTACCCCTTCTGCCCTCTGTGGCTTCTCCAGTCTTTTCTCCTGTATGGACTGCGTTTGAATTGCGATCCTTTGTAGACTCAACTGCGCTCGCCCCAACTAATGTAAAATCATCTTTTTCTTCCTTGGGAAGTGTTGAAGTGGATGAGGAACCAAAATTTGGGGTGCCGGGCTGTGAGATGGATTTTGCTGACATTGCGACCTTTGGTTCGGCATTGCCCCCGCCGGCTTGGTCCATCTTGTGAGAAGTATCAATGCTGCCGTTCACACTTTGCTCGCCTAACACGGAGCCACCGGAAGGAGTATTGATTGCTGAGTTTGTGCCCTTTGCGGGCGTGCTAACTCCAGACGTTGGCTGAGTTGAGGTAACACCTGAGCTAGTCGCAACAGTACGACCTTTTGCAGCTTGTGCATATGAGAAGACTGGTGGGGCTGAAGCCGCATCTCCAGCTGATCTGGAAGTAGTGGAACTCATTGTGAGAATCCCGGGAGGAACTCGTGTATGAATGTAACTAAAAATTGCTTCCTGGAAGCAGGTAAGCTGGACTCAATAAAGAGACCAGTTGGCGACCTTGATCACCTCCCAGTTCTGGATGTCCGGAGAGGTGTACACTACCTCTCCGCACTTCTTTTGCACTGCGCCAACCAATTAGTTTGTTGCTAGGAGGCTGCAGATATTGTGCGGGCAAGGACGATGGGATTGATCTGGAAATGGATCGAGGGGTCGCGCGCGAAAACGGTTGTGAAATTGTGGGAAAGAACTTCGATAACACAATCGTCGAAAAGTTGGAAATCTAAAATCTTCGTGCAAATATGAAAGTTGAGATCAAGTGCTAGCCGTGACGTTGGACGTGTTGGGTGGGCTCGCGTAGATCGAAACAATTTCGTACCGGGATTGATGACACCGACGTCGCAGGCAACCAACTGAAGGTGAATTTCTCAGATGGCAAAATATGCTGAGCAGGGAGAAGGTTAGCTGGATGGCTCTCGCAGGCAAGATGATGGCGTCAACATGCGCGGAAAGGGTCAGGCAGAGCGCGCGGAGGGCCAAAGGTTTTGCAGAGATGCGCGACGATTGATCGACCGGCGGGAAGCATAAAAAGTGTGATATGAAGGGCTTGTTTGTGCGGAGCGACGGACCTCGATGGATGGACAACCAGGAATTCTGTGACCGGCGGAAGAATGGCAGTGTGCTTTTGAAGGCCGGCGACCAAACAACAGATGAGATTGAGGGTGAGGTTGTTTGACGAGACAGGACCAGAAATTGAGACGGGCGAAGCGTCGAGCGTCGGGAAGTGGGTGGCACGTCCTGCTTGTCTCTCTCTCTCTGTCGTGTTCGATGATGCTGGAGCTGCGACGGATGGAGGGACAATAAGAAAAGGATGGAGGGGGCGTCGAAGGCAGGAACAGAGACAAGGGAAAGATAAGTAGGAAGCAGAGCAGAGCAGAGTCGTCTCGTTGACCGTAGGCTCTCCGCGGCGAGGCGATTCGAGGAATCGAAGGCAGTCTACGGGTAGGTAGTGGTCGTAGTGGTAGTAGAAAATAATATGGGAGGCGGAGGGCGAAATAGTGTGCTTAGTGCGAGGTGCTGAGAGAGCCGAACATTAGTTAGTCGACGCTAAACCAACCGACTGCCAATAAGAGTGAAAATGTACCGCACCGTCAATGACCGCCCTTTTTTTTGCTATTCTCTTCTGCCTTCAGAAAACCAATGAGATAAATATATTATTCCACCAAGCCCGTGATGGTGCGCTCTTGGATGCCTGGGCTTCTCGGTAGAATGGAATTTCGCTGAGGGCGGATGGATGAGGGGTACCGGGACGGAGCACTGCAACGGTGCGGTGCGTCGTGATGATGCTATTTCCAGCACCAGCATCCGCACAGAATTTTGGCCGATGTTCCTCCTTTTGCTCCGTACTGCCTGCGACTGCGACGTCAATGCCTTGAGAAGAGGAGGTGGGGGAAAAGGAAAAGCCGCACGAGCTCAATTCCTGGAGTTTGTGAGGTATGTTTTGGAACACATCATCATTGCTCAACAAGACACAACACCAATATTTTTGCTAATCTAGAGTCTTCTAGTTTCAGCGTCTTGCCAGTAATACATAGCTATTTATACTTGGCTACGCAATTGATATACAGGCACGATCTGGAATTTGTCTGGGGTGCCGCTTTTCATAGAAACATTCATGAGACTTCGTTGCATAATTGCCTCTGTGGTAACCAATCATCTGATCCGAATTATCTGATTTGCTATAAAAATACTAAAGTCACGTTTTGCTACAGGCGATATATGATTGAGAAATGATCATCTGCCGGTATGCTCTTCCATTAATATAGACGATCGTGCAAAACAGGTCCAAAACAACACACAAAAGAAGCTTACATAGTATGGGCGGGCAACTACAGCCAATTGCCTCGAAGAAGCGCCAGTTTCCAAACATATATTTATTTTATTCACTCTTTTCAGATCACAGCAATCAAACATCCCCTGGTCCATTGACCTCAACCTTGGACCCGGTTCTAACGACGTTGTAACAGAATACGAACAAGCACAGAATAGAAAAGCCAATTCAAGGAAGGGAAAATAATGCCAGAGAAATTGACTTCAACACCCCGCACACCCATCCGCTCGACCCGAGATTATTCCAAGACTTTCCAGAAAAGGAAAAAAAAAAAAGAAAGCAGGAAGTGAGAGAAAAAAGAACACCCCCACTATCAAAAAAAGGACGGGTAAACTGAAAAGAACTTGCCGCGATACGACAATCTCGCTTGTCGTATCACGGTGCAAGCAAGTCGCTTGTTAACCCCGCTACAGAGTATCGCCGTAAATTTACAGTACTCGTATGTATCGTCAAAACTCGAGCCGATCGATGAATCAAAAATTCAAACTAGTACAGCCTAAGGATTTTCCACCAAAACTCTTCTGGTTCTGCTCGAGCTGCTTTCAGGGTACATCAGATCTTGGATTACTTTCTAAAAGAGAAGTGGGAGTGTATTTTTCAAGATTTAAGCATCAAGTCGGGGCCGTTCTGTGGCCAGCACTCTCGGTATTGATTCCCACGGGTATAGAGTTTACCTATCTCACTCTTTTTCTAGATCATTCTAGATACAATACTGTAACCTATTAGATAGTCGCATCGAAACACTCCCCCCCCCCAAACCCCCTCTCTCCTATACAAAAAAAAGAAGGAAAAAACACACTACTCACCAATCCTAAAATCCCAACGTCAAGATAACTCGGTTACAGTAAAGTCCAAAGAGCCCCTTAACGTCGTTAACCTTTCTACTACTAAAATCTTTATAACCCTTAAACATAACTACAGCTACTATATAGGCATCCTCTAATTATGATAATAGCTGTACAACCATTTTATACACGCAAGTCAAATTGAATTCAAAGTTTGTAGATTAATTTTAGTAGTAGGAAAATACATCGGCGTTCGGGTGCACTTCAGACTTATGAACCCGACGAGTAGCTTTCACTATAGGAACAAACCAGCCCTCACATACCATCTCCAACGACTAAATACTCCAAACATTTCAGTAAAGGCAAACAATAGAGTTACTCTCCTTCAATATCATCCAATATCATCCAACATCAATAGGAACAGAATTGACTTACCTCTAATTATCGGAACATCTACTTACCCATCCAATCCAGCGCAAGGACTTTGTGAGTACGAGACTTTCAACGATGTTAAAAATCAACATAACCCATACACCTCATCGAGAATCAACATTTCAGTCCTTACAGAACACGCGAAGGCGATGATAGCAATCCCAGGGTTTCAAATTCTAATTTCTACATTCTGTTCTACATCATACTATACACACCGTGCGATAGAATCATCGAATACCATACCATACCATACATTCTATACTCTACATACCCCTGCCCCCTACACTCCCTCCTTCAATTCCAACCCCCCTTCTATCCAAGACTTTCCAAGCTTAAACCCAACTCCCACTCACCAGAAAAGAAGAAAAGAAAAAAATAGCACACCTAAGTGGGTAAGGTAAGGTAAGGTAAGTAAAGACGTGAAAGTCCATCTCTACCCAGCAAGTGCTCAAAGTAGAACCATTCTATAAACATACATTTCCTCTTACCCCTTACCCCTACAATCACCCATTATGTCCAGATTACCCCCCCAAAAAAAGGAGGAAGAAGAAGAAGAGAAAAAAAAAACAAACCCCAACAAACCAAAACAAGCCAAAAAAAGCATAACAAGGGAACTACAAAAAAACACCTGTGGACGTTTATACTATAACATAGATCTCATGCCTTCCTTACTTTCGTACTATACTTAACACAATAAACACATATCTCAAGAACCGTTTCCATTACCTTACTCAGGACTCGCGCAAGCAATGTACGTAAGCACAACACACCCCCAACTCTCCTGCTGACAGCAGGTAAACCACCAAGACCGCATATGCAAGGGTTTCGAATCACCAAGAGAAGAGGGGGGTTTCACACGATTAAGGGTATATATTGCTACAAAGGTTACAAGGTAAGAGACCAAAGCAACAAAGCCGACCAGGTTATTATTTTCCGTCTGATGTTTGTTTGCTCCAGTCCCTTGGAAATCAGCTTACGAGTACAGCACTTCATGTACATCTGGTCGTGTTCTTATCCAGTCATCCATCTGAGCCACGTTAGCAACGTATCGACCCAAGAGATCGGGTTTCGGAAACACTTACGCAGCCGCTCTTGAGGCACCAAAGCTTGTGGCCATTCGTAAACCACTCGACCCCATAGGAAAGTACGAGACGAGGTACCAAACCAAACATCCTATTTGTATCAAAGCAAATATGAGGGTCAAGATTTGAGAACGGAGCTAGGTATATCGTATCAGTAACAGACCGGTTTGCATCCATTCCGGCAGAGGAAAGGACTTACCCCAAGACTGAAATACAACGTGAGAGCGATAGATCCAAAATATGCCGCGGTAAAAGGGAGGCGTGGTGTTGATATCAGGTGTCTTATGTACGTCATGGGCCCCATCATCGCTCCCCAAGAACATAAGAATAGCAGAGAGCCCAGCGTCCATCTGGTGTGCCACGCGGCAAAGTCAGCCTTTGGAAACGATGATGAATCATGGATATTTTGGAAAATGGAAATCACGAAAATCAGGAAATCAAGAAACGGTTCCTGCTTGAAACATCGATACGAACCCCGTCTTGTGAGGCAGGTTGAATTAACATCGGCCCTAAGGAGGGTAGCACCATGCATGCAAGACGGTAACCTGCAGCGCCCGCGTTTGCGGAGAAGGTGTAAAAATTGTCTCAAGTCGCATCGAGTGATCGACGAGGAAGAAAGAGGACGGAGGATATCAACTTACAAGGTCGCGAATTTGCTAGGTTTGGCAACCATGATTGGCCACATAACAAAACAGATCACGAAGCAGGCTGCAGCTCCAATGTTGAAGCCAGAGAAAAGGAGAAGTCGGTCCCATCTGCTCACTATACATGAATTTGTGTTAGCCTATACGTCTCTTTCCCTTGAGAATACGAAGTAGATCTGCGCCACCATTCTGCATGTCACACATAGACTTTCAAGATGGCTGCTGCAGGGACCGTGGAACTAGAAGTAAATGGTAATCGTTGACTCACAGGCAAACCATCCCTCCTCCTCTTCACGACGAGTTCTAGCGGGTAGGGGTGCTCCTGCACCCTCGACGGTGGGAAGTCTAACATAGCCACTATCTCCGAATGGATTCAACGACTTAATCGACGATAAGAGGCCGGTCTGCTGAGCAGTGTTGACGGGCACATCCGGCTCCCGGCGTGACCAGCCGAGAGAGTTCATGGATTCTCTGAATGATGAGGATGCCATAGCTGGGATATTGAGGCTTGCGCGCTAAAGCACCTGCAGTCGGTAGATGTGAATTTAAGGTTGTAATAACCTCGCCCTGCCCAGTCGTCGAGGACGTTGCCGCGCTTCAGAAAGACGGAGAAAAGAGGTTGGAGAGCAAAACGACCAACGGGGGCAACGACCGCAATCAACGGCCTTCTTTTTGCTAGGGAAGTATTGAGAGTTGGTCTGCACGTATGTCGTGCGTTGATCGACCCTCAGGAAATAACACGACTGGCTTGAAATGCAACTTGATTGAGGGTGTCCAATGACCTTTGAAGCTGGACAGGGGTCGCCGCTAACCTGAATGTTTCTGAACCTGAAAAGATGCCTCGTGATCGTGTCTGGTTCAAAGTGACTGAACGGCTATGGTCGAGGGGGTGGGTGATTAGGTCCAAGCTTGTGATTGGTGGCTTGAAGGACAGGTCTTGGATTTGGAGATTTGATAGTACCAGTAGAAGATGGGAATGGGGTGGGCTCGCTAGAGGGACTGGCGTTGTGGTGGGCAATGCTGAAGTGGTAATGGGGAATGAGAGGTTCCGCCAAGAGGTCCAACGACAGGTCCTGGGCTAAGGGTGCACTCTTATGGGCACTGTCTGGATGCAGAAGGCAAAAGGCTTCAGCAGGCAGCAGCAGGCAGTAGAGAGCAATACACGGCGATGCGGTTGCTGGTTGCTGGTTGCGTAGACTGGCTCGTAGGCATAGGCGTAGGCGTGACGTTGAGAGTAAGGTTGACGTTGGAACACTCACCTGATAGCGCGCTAATCATGGAACTGCGATGGAACGCTTGGACGTTGAACCCGCCACATCGCTCTTTCTGGCCAGCGGTCGCAACCACACACCTCTATATCTACATGGATATCACGATGGTACGCGCCACCAGACCGACCAAGAGACAAGCAGCCAGAGGACGGATCGGCCCTTCGAAAGGCGAGCGGAGGGTCGGTACGGTACTACACGGTACTTGTACATGGCATGGGTCCTAGAACACCTGCCTAGGTCGTGTCAAAACCCCCAGGGCCAGGCTACTATACCGAGTACTCTTACTACGAGTATCCAAAGTAGTACAGACTGTACAGTACCACTTCTCAAGCCCGTCACCCAATGCACGAGTAAGACGCCGAAGAAGCTGGACGGCCGTCAACCTCCCCGACCTCGACTACGCCCAGCTCGGATTTGGAGCGTCTGCGGCGCCAGAACACCAAATTCACATACAACTGAGACAGGGCAGTAAGTATAGCATGACTTGCCGGGCAACAACTCCGACGATGACTCGCGAGCTGTGGCGATGCCCTGCGATGCCCTCCAGCTACGCATCCCCTCGCGAACACGGGCTGGAGGCCATTGGTGGCCCACTGGGGAGGCTACCAAGTCTACCGAGGCTACGAAGCAGGAAAGCAGGAATGGAGGCAGTGTCCTCGTCCACCTGGAAGCTACGCCACAGCTTCCACAAACGTCGTGGTGTTTCCTTTCCTGGTTGACGGCTGCAGGTGTACAGCGATGCAAGTTTGATGTCTCAGAAGCTCCCCTCCCCCTCCTCTCCCCCACCTTCAGAAACTGGCGCAAATGGCTATGAGCCAATAGTACGTAGCGTATAGCGTACTGGTATACCTAGGTAGTCCCTAGGACGAACTACTCCCTCGTTAAGCGTTCATTTCTTCTGATTTCTCGGCGCAAATGCAATTATGGTTTTATTTCAGGATACAAGTACTCGTACTACTGGTAAATTTACTTTGCCCAAGTAGAGTTCAAAAGATATTGCGGGTGTTCCTTTATTTATACTTGAAACAACCAGAACTGCCTACTACCAAGTACTTTTCTGGTCGATCGCGAGTGGAGATATCTAGACATTCAACCCAGGGCACTCATCGAGCCTTTACCTAACACTTTTGACCTCGAGACCCCCTTTTCGATCTGTGTTGACCAAGAGTTGCCCTTCGTTTCCATTCGTCTGTGACTCGATCGCTTCGCTTCCCCCTACCCATACATGACCTACCCCTACCTCCTCATTCCCCCTCCCCCTCCCTCTCCAAAATCCCATCCTATCTATCTCTATCTCCCATTATTGCCCATCTCATCCCATCCCATCTCTAGCTCGTCTAGCTCTACGCCGGCCAAGTGCGCCCTTCCAAATCCAAGTGAGACCTGATACCCCCCGGTTGAGAATTGGAGACACTTTGGTCAAGAGCAACCATCAGGAGGCCGTGGCTGGATGATGAATGCGCGATTCCACCCGAAGCACATATAATCAGCTATCCTCGCGCAAATCGAGTCCGGGGATCCTAATCCTTCGCACATCTGTCCATCCCGCATCTGTTCATCTCAATCTCAGATTCATGCTGCAGTGTTTCCCCACACCTTTCTGTCACGTTACTCCCTTCTCACCGGACATCTCAAGTACATCTATACATCTATTCACACTTCTCTCTCTTCCTTTCTCGGTGCCGTTCCACCAACCAAGTATCCCAAACGGCCTGACACCGAGTTGCTGCTTACCGGGACCATCCAAAGCAGAAGTTGATATCAGACAGACTACAGTCAGCTTAGGGACCAAAACTCGGATCTTTCAATATATTTGCACTGCAAAACTGCAAGCACCGAGGCATTTTCAATATCAAATTCTCTCAAACAGGCAACGCGCGAAGGCCCTACCGAGAAGCATCCAAGGAAAGGCGCAAGTTGCAACAACTTAAGCCGTGGTAACCGCCGCCTAAACACAACAGCCCCCGAGCTCTCATATCTTAGTATCCGCGATCTTATATTAGCTGGCCGGCTGTAGAGCAGAAGGGCAGCGCATTGATTGATTGATTGATTGCGGGAGAAGGCATTATCTTTCTCCACGTCCTGGCCCTGCTTTCTCCGCATTTGGGGCGGAACTTATCGAAACCCCGCCATTTGAGTTCTCGAAATAACCTGTCCTTGGAGCCGATCCGCGCGTACGGTGCCGTAGAATACGAAATACCGAGCGCCAAGAACCCCAACGGAAGCGTCGTGAAGCCAGTACCGAGCTGCTCGAACAAGAGAAAAGAAAGCCATTAGAAAAGGAAGCCAGTGGACGCCAGTGAGTGAGTGTTTGTGATTGTGATTGGGGAGTTGCACCAGCGACAGCGACAGCCGACGGAAGGACCGCCAGCCAGACCACGCGGGCTTGCTCTGGCTATTGTCCCGCAAAGCCGAGGACTGGTGGTGATATTCGCATCGCATCGCATCGCATAGCACTCGCCGGAGGAAAGATCCGTGAGAAGTCGCTGGCCAAGGAGTGAAAAGGAATCCATCGTGTTGAAGCTCCGTTGCCTCCGTCAATCCATACTATCAGACGGCCATACAGCCATACAGCCAGACAGCCGTACAGCCATACGGTACGAGGACTGTCAATACTGGTACGGTACGGAGCAGACGGTCGTTGGCTCGCTCTCGCGCACTCTCTCAGGCTCTTACTCGTGCCTCCAAGCGAACGATTCAGAGGCTTCAGGTTGCCTCGATTAGCGCGCCTTGTCCATTTTCTATTGTCCACTCTGCCTCTGCCCTGTCTGCAAGCACAAGCAGGGCACTCGCACTCGCACCAACCTAAAGTCTCCCCCCTCCCTCTCCTTCCCCTCGCTCGACCACCCAGTGGCACTACCACCACGACCAGCTCCTCCCCACCACTCAACCAACGGCGCACATTTAGTCCGCACCCCGGTTCTCATTCCTCCCACCGATCCCTCCAACCCACATCAACGACAATTCTGGACTTTTTCCACCATCGCAGTCCAACAACGACCAACGACCAACGACCAACACTGACACTGCCGTCGCTGCGAAGCTGAGTGCGCTCCTTCAAGCCCTCTGCCCTCCCTCCCCCCATCACCGAATTCTCCACCGACCAAGGCCGAGCGCGCTACCCCATACTTTTCTCACCGCACCGTCATACTACCCTACCCACACGACAAACTCTCTCCACTAAACCACACATCTAAAACCCCGAGAGTCTTCATCCCACGCATTGCTTCCTCCACACAACGATTTCCCGAAGAATTCACTCGATTGCACATTTGCTACAACATTGCCCATCTCCAACTTTCCCATACATTCATACTCTTGTACGACACTTCGGCAACGACAAGCCGAATCAACCCGCGAACAGTAACCTGGACCGTTACTCGACCGCCTATCTTAAGGCTGCGGCAACATTCACGATCGCCGTGATTCACAACGCATCTATCGAAGCCTTTTCATACCCAGTTACACATTTGACATCAATTTCTGCCGCATCCTGGACCCGAACTCATCAAATCATAAAGCGAACATAAGGGGGACCGACCGTGGCGACGACGCTTATCAATTGAAGGAATCCACAAGCACGCACTTTCGTACTCCGATACTACTATATTATCGTGGCATAAGGGCTTTCCGATAGAAATTCCTTCTTTCGCAGAAACCCGATCTCTTGCGCAACAGTGGGTAGATAGTACCACACCTGTAACCTAGAGGCAAGTCCTACGCAAGTAAGTACTACATCTCTTCAATGTTAGATACACGCCCGCATAGACCCCGCACTGGAGTATCTGCAAGAGTGTTTGGGCATCAGCGACGCAGACTTCACTTCTGTGACTTGTCGCTGCTCTCGGGAGATCTCAGCTTACTCTCACCGCTGAGTTGCTATTTCCCCATGCTTGCTTTATCGCTGCATTTCTTTTGCCTCGTTTACTCTTGCGCTCTAGCTAATGTTTGTCACACAGATCCTACAATCTTTCTAGTAGTTGCGAACAAACCTCTATAAATCCTGTATTTCTCGTATCAGAAGCCAACACACACCAGCTTTGGTTAACAATTCACTATGGCTGGCACGAGCGCGTCTAGCCCATTTATCAAGGACGAGCCAGAAGATCACTTCTTTTCCCCTCATAATTCAAGATTCATGGGGGGCAATCAGCAAGGCTTCCAGCAATTCAACCAGTTCGGTTCGCATAGTGGAAGCATCAATCCTAACGATCTCACCATGGGAGGAAGTAACGGTATTGCTATTCCCAACAGCCAGTATGGCTCATCTTTTCAGAATAACTTTGGCTCACAAGCCGCCCAAAACACGGGTGCTGGGTTCGCCAAGTTCAACGATGACGAGCTCCTTGACATCACATCACCAATAACCGATTCCCGGTCCAACCAGTCTGGCATGCATGGTAATGGACAGGATTACAACGTAGACAACTTTGACTCTTTCCCGAACATGTATCAAGGCCACAACGGCTCTGCTGCGCTATCTGTCAATCCCAACATGAATGGATACTCAAACACACCAGAGGGTGACCCGATTCAAAGTCCCTTTGTTCAACATACCTTCAACAACGCCCAGTATATGCATCAGATCCAACAGGGTCAAAACTTCAACAATCCCATGTCATCACCTGGTGGCTATGGCTCACCGCTTGCCGGGTCAGATATGCAGAATGGCGCGGTCGACCCAAGAAGACCTCAGATGCGAGGAATGAGGAGGACATCTAGCACCAAAGGGGTTGTCGGCAAAGCAGCTGCGATGTCCCTTAACGAAAACGCAAGCTACCCAACACCTATCCGCACACACCGTCATCAGAAGTCATTGTCTAGTCAGTGGGATCAAACGCCTAGTAGTCTAACCTCTTTCCCTGGCTCAGATTTCGGCTCGCCAATCTCAGGCGTACACCCAAATCCACAAATATCTGATATCCTCAAGGGTGCTTCTATGCCAACCAAACTCGGCAACACACATTCAGCAGGTAGCAGTGCTCCAGCACTCCAGTCACAGGAAATGAAGAGAAGAAGACGAAGAGAGTCGCACAATCTTGTCGAGCGACGGAGAAGAGACAACATCAACGAACGCATTCAGGAGCTCAGCCATCTCGTTCCCCACCATCGTCTAGAGGATGAGAAAGTCCGCAAGGCTCTTCAAAATAACTCTCCCTTGTCACCTACCCTAGCCGGCTTATCCCATCCCCCAAGCGGAATGAGCCCTCCACAGGCCACCTCTGGACTCGCTGGACCTGGTGCACGACGAGCTACAGCCGGCAACATTACAACCGGAATCCCGATCGAAGAGAAGGACAAGGGACCAAACAAGGGTGATATTCTCAATGGCGCTGTGAGCTGGACTCGCGATCTCATGTGGATGCTTCACGTGAAGATGCAACAACTAGATGAGCTCAACAATTGCATTCAAGAGCTAGGCGGAACTCCACCATTCCAAGAAACTGAAGACGAATTACGTATGCGAACAGAACTCATGGATGCTATGGTGAAGAATGATGGTTCCAAGTTCCATTATTCGAGGGCACCGGGAACTGGTCTGAGGGTGCCTAAACATACTGATGTCAAAGGTGATCCTGTCGGAAGTCCAACTTCCGGACCAAATGACACTTCATTGAGCCCCGAGAACCACAGCAGCACTGGTGATGTTGGACAAGCTGGTATAGGTGGAGCTGGTCAATACTGGAGCGGCCACAATAGCAGCGGAAGCGGTCCTGGTTCAATAAGCTTCAAGGAGGAGGACGAGTACGGAATGGACCTCACTCAATGAGCCGCTACCTCAAGCTCTTTTGAAAGTCATGTATACGACTATCATTTCTCGCCTGTTTCTTTCAACCAGAAACTTCTCGGTTTCTCTTTCGTACTGCACAGCCGCTGGCATTTGTCTGCATTCACCTCTATTCATTTAATATTCCCACACATCCGATTTCCATAATTTCGAGGGGGAGTACTCGTATAAGCATTTGGAGGTAGTTTGGGGTTCTCATCTTGAACAATGGATTGGATCGGAGTTGCTTCCTTTAGCAAGTTGAGGCTAGTTTGACTCGCAGAATGCGGGCTGGCTCACATGGATGAAATGGATTTCACGGACAGAAGGGTTTTCGTTTTCTCGTTATATTCATTCTGTTTGGGTTTTCATCATACACTTGCACAATGTCTTCCTCCTTTCTCCTTTTCATTTTTGTCGTTTTGCACTGGGCGGGGGTTTTTAATTGCATTGTTCGTTTGATTTTTTTTCTTCTTTTTCATAATTTTCTTTTGTCTGCTGTCCTGCTTTTTTGCGTTTGCTAGCATTTAAATGCTGCCCTATGATACCTCACCTTGCGACTTTTTGACTTTTTCTCTGAATCTTTCTGCTTTTTGCAACCTTTGCGAGATGCGTGGTTTATTCTATATGCGTTGTTGGCTTTGGGCTTTGATCATGGATTGATGAAATGGATGGATGGATGAATGGACGGATGGACGGATGGATGGATGGATGGATGGATTTGAGGGGTATGGTTGGATCTTCAAATGGGCTACGCACCTTTTGTGTCCAGGCCTATCCTAAGTGGTTGTTATTTACATACGTACATGCCCGCTTCTTCTCTTGTTTTTGTCTTCTCCTTTTTCTTGTTCACCTGCTTGTCTGCCTTTAGCTTCCAAGGGGGCTTAGGGTGAGATGGCAAAAGATGGGCTTGGAATGAGCAATACGATACCATTTTACATACTGAACATTATGCTTTGAGTTGCTTGGCCTGTGATGTGATGTGATGTATTAATGCATGTACTGTACGAGTTGGAATTTAGTGGCCTTGAGAGGGTCTTGGTATAGATAGGTAACCGGAGATATACCATGCCTAAGGCTTAACTAAACCAACTTACAGTACACTTCTTAATTCTTTCACAAGGCTGTCTGTCTGTCTGTCTGTATTTAACCTCTCCCCACCTCTCTATTCTTTTCTCTGATGGTGATAGTAAAAACCTGAATTTCTTTGTTTTTTTTTTGTTTTTTTTTTTGGGTACAGTACGGTCGGTACTTGAGGGGCAATGAGTATTTCGGCGAGAGTTCGACCGAGATTCTGTATGTGGGTGGGTGCATGTTCTCGTGGGAATGGGAGGGCGGAAGTGGAGGGTGAGGAATGGGGGATGGGGGATGGGAGAGGGTAATAGTGGGGTTGGTGGTAGTGGGGTATTTTTTGGTGGGGGCTTTGAATTGAGGGAGGGTTGGATAGGTTGGCTTTGGGTTGGGATAAGGATACGGTAAGAATACGCTGCACTTGTGGTGGGTTTGAGGGGGTTGGAAGGTTGGTTATGAAATTGTGAAATTGTGGTGGGTTTGTGGATTGGATTGGATATTTGGGGTGTATGGATGGATGGATGGATGGATTGTGGTAGGTAGGTATGAGTACTAGGTTGGTAGATTGTGAGTGAGTGAGTGTCTTTTGAAAATTGAGGTGGTATGTGCTGGATGTTGGGGTGGATTCTTGTCATGTGGCTAGCTGGCTTGTTTAATGCTTAGTCGTCTTGCGAGAGAAGAGGAATGGGAAAGGAAACGAGAATTTTGATATCTTGAATTGTTGAGTTTGTGTGGGATTCTTTGGTGGGGTGGTATATTATGTGTTTGAATGTTATGTGGAATGGGAATGGGAATGTATGGTTGTATGGAGCACTAAGCACTATTGTTGACAGGGAGAGGGAGTGAGGGAGAAGAGAGGGTGTTGTTTGATTATATTAACTCTCGAAGGGTTCTATGAATGGGTTATAGGGATTATGGGAGGATATATTACAGTACCTGATGGTTTGTGAAGGTATTTTGTTTTGTGTATGGAGACTGGAGTTGGTGGAGATTGATGAGACTTATTTATATATATATGAACCTTGCTTTCTAATTCATGGCAGGTAATCTCCGTATGTTTTAGTAGTTTTATATGAGATGTTCGTCCTGTTGTCATATTGGATTCCTTAACAGACTATTTCTAATTCTTTAGAGAATGCATATGTTGAAGGTATGTTGTTACTTCCACACTTCACAGTGGAAGGAACATAGATATCTACTGTCAAGTGTCAACCACCCAACTTCTTTCCCTTGCCTAAAGGAAGAGAGGTTATCTAGTTGAATCAAAACTTAGTCATCACACACTACAACAGTGTAAAATTCAGCGGAACTTACAAGAGTTGAAGGAAAGTGTGGTATATGGGTACGTGGAAGCCTCGAGGCAGGGTAGGACTACTCAGACGATGGGGGTGAGCGAGTAGCCGTTCAGTCCTACAGTTTATATGCAAAGATGAATTTCCCTTTGGGCAGTGTTCTATCCCATAAACCACGATATGTTAACCACCTTAGGTACGCGGAGGTATGTAGTACGCTGTTCTTCGTATATATATTCCATCGAAAAGGTTGGGAAATGAGAGTACCTCCACCTAGAATCTCACAACGAGGGAATGAGATAATGAAGTGATAGGATAATGAGACGTTCGCTAACTCCATTTAAGTGTGAGTTATTGGTCGTTGAGAGGGATATAGCATGGATACGTATACGCAGCGTTGAAACTTATGGTCTATTCCTATCTGACGTGGAAGAACTTCTATGTACTGTACAACTTCTGGCTTTGTAGCTTTGTAAGTGTTTCTGAGAAGAGGTTGGCTATTCCAAGTTTTCTGCGGTTGGGAAAGTTCGTTGGCATTCCTTTTTGTTATTTGCTGGGTGTTTTTGGATTGATTATTTGCTTTGCTTTGTTAAGTAGCAATAAGGATTCTCAAAGAACTAGAGGGTGGGTCTAGCTTTAAAACTTTCTTTTCAACGCTTTTTGGTAGGAATTATACTGGTAGCTGTATATTTCCATAAAAGAGAGAACAATTGCTCCCACCTAGAAAAATATTTACAAGGCACGTAGTCAATGGCATAGGGGAACCTTTTAGAATGTAAAACCATTTCATTGCAATCATTTCCTTCCATCCGATTTGGGTATCTCAACTACAGAAAAAGAAAAAAAGACAACTGTTCACCAGTGTTTGCAAATCATAATCATCTCCTGAAAAGCTATGATAATAGCCCAGGCCTCCTTTCGCTTCATGCCCTCCTGCAACGGGATCATCTCCAGCGCCTCCTTTCCATTGAAATACTTGCCGCAGAAGCGGAACCAACTCTCCCGAAGCTTCGCATCCTCAAATCGCTTTCCATACGCCGCGATATAAAGTGACTCCTCGTGCGATACTTTGTGTGGGTCCTTGATGATGTATGGCGAGATGTCCTTGAGATGGGCGGCATTGTTGTTGCTTGGGTGAGCCGTAGCCACTGGGACAGGGAGTTTCTTGAATTCGCTTTCGAATTCTTGGGCATCCCCGCGGGCTTTGGTGGCCAATCTCTCCAAACGGGCTTTCTCGGCAGCTTGGGAGGTGGTGAGGGGGGCGGAGGGATCGACTTGTTTCTTCTCCGTGCTCGACTCGTCGGTTCCTGAAGTGGAAGTGCCAGAGGTGGCTCCAGGCGCGTTCTTAGCTTTCTCAACAGCGCTGGCTTTCAGCTCGTAGGTCACTTCGTAGATGATTTCTGGCCAGACGAGGATCCATGCAAAGGTTCGGAGTTGGGTGACCCAGCCGCCGCGGATGGCCCAGGCGAGCATTGCAAGATAGGTTGGGCGGTGGTTCTTGCTAGGCGCAAAGTTCTTGTATGGACGCGGAGCAGCAGATAACAAGGCAAGATAGCTGGAGAGAGCTGGCGCGAGAGGAAAAGCTTTCTTCCATGCAATACTTGCCATGGGGAGCTTACGGAAATCAGCGTTGGGAGAGACGATGTATGTTTCACGGCCGTGGAGGGGTGGGATTGCAATTGCTCGGCGCCAATAGATGACGTGTTGAGCGAGAGTAAGTAGACTGTTGAGCTCGACATTCTGGTTTTGTGCTACTTGGAGAAACGATTGATTAGGAGAGCAAAGTCGAATGCACTGGAGAAGGGGTGCGGTAAGCTCCGTGTTATCATTTTGTATCTCTGTGATGATCTTCTCCTCGTCGTCCAGAAGCAAGAGTGCAAAGTGCTTGTTCAGGTGTGTCGGATCCTCATTGCCCTCCTCGTCGACCATGGGATTGGCAGATGTAAGCAGGAGTCCAAGCATTGCTCTATCTCTTGAGCTCGGGAAACTGGTGAGAAAACAAGGGACAGGAATTTGAAGTGAGATGTTGATGGGTGGGACTGTAGCAAGGTGCAATGTGGCAATCTTGCTCTTGGAGACGGCATTGAAGATATCTCGGATAGCGCCAGCGAGTGTGGATTTGATCAATATCTCATTCCAGAGCCAACTCATGGGACGAACTGTGATTCAATTAGCATCGATCTGAATGATAGGACCATCAAAAACTTACGCTCTTCACGAGCTCTCTCCTTCATCTGCAGAATTCTTTCCGACTCCTTCCAAACGTAATTGTCAGATGCTTGAGCGTGATTAAAAGCCTTGTTGAACTTCTTGATGATATGCTCATAGATCTCCGCAATTCGCGCATCCTCCTCGTGCTTGGAAACGTTCAGCATGAAGACGACATTGAACATAGTCATTCCACCGGGATTTTCGCCTTCGTCAGAGCTGCTCTTCTTTTCGCCAGATGCCTCGCCTTCAGCAGTCTCCTCGGCCTTCTTTTCTTTCCTAGACTTCTTTGGCTTCTTCTTCTTCCAGGTGCCGTTCTCGCGAATATGCATGGGATAGGTGATGAATTGAACTGGATCCAAGGACAGCTCAAACTTCTTCTTGTGAAAGGCTCGAACCGGAGTCAAGATACTCTCCAGATCGGAAGTATGAAACTCCCACAAATGATCCCAAGGCGCGACATTCTCTCCCTTCTTGTTGGTGAAATGGTTGTCACCTTCGGGAGCCTCCACGTGATGTACCTTCCTTGCATCGCCGCCAGTCTCCGCGCTCAGATCGATGCTTGCGATAGCATCTTCCAGATCGTCGTCCTCGCTATCGTCTTCTTCCTCGTTGACTTTCTCGGCGCGCTCCCCGTGAAGCTCGGTGCCAAATCGAGCTTCACGTTTGATGGGCTTGCCAGAGGGATGCGGGGGGTAGTGGAAGACAAACCGCGGTCCCTCTTTGGCGCGCACGACCAGCGCGATGGCAATTAAGCCAGGATCCAAGTTGTCGGTGGCGCTCGCCATTGTTGCGAGTTGTTTGTGACGAAGCTTTGAATCACTCAAATGCTTCTGTGATGGATACTTGAGCTTTGGAACCCTGTCTTGGGGTGGCTGTTGTGGCGCCATCTTGGGCCGAAGTTATTCCAACCGAGTTTGCCTTGGTAGAAAAGGGTGGTTGTTTTGAGATGGCGACAGATTCTACGCTAGTGCCTGCGCTACTGCATATTTGGCGACAATTAGCCGTAGGCAGAGTAACAAGGCGGTGAATACTCTAGAACGTATAGCTATTTGTAAAAAGAGTCTAAAGATACTTTATGTTTCTAGAATAATAAAGTTTCTATCACCTTTATTACTCAGATTTTTATAAGAATTTCCTTTTCCTTTATATTCTTACGCGAAACTACTAAATCTAGAGGGAGACCTTTTATTTTATTTCTTAAATATATTAGATTAATTTCATTTGTTTTACGTTTTTATATAAAACTACAAGATCTAGTAAGGTTCTATTTGTTTCTTTTCTCAAATAATTTAGAATAAAGTAGTTTATATTAAACTTTTACGCGAAATACTCATATATTAGAAGCGTTCTATTAAATTAATTATATATATCTTTTAACTAAACTATTTTATCCTAAAATCTTACGCGAATTAGCTTAACTTACAAAGATTCTATGAGTATTTTACTTTTATTTTCTAAAAGAAATTAATTAACTTTATATTCTTAGATAATATACCTAGTATTTAAACCCTATAACTAAATTATTAGTTACTTAAACCTTCTAGAAAAATATAATCTGTTTTATAACGATATATAAAACAACTCTATATTAAAAGGGAATAATATCCTAATCGTATTTTATTATAAATTAAAATCCTATATAAATACTACATAGTTAACTATAAAACTTATATTATATAATTACTAGCTCGTTAAATCTAAAGTAGAATAACGTTGAAGACTTATTTATTCTATTTAAATAAGTAAACTAAGAAGCTAAAAGGACTTGAAGGTATTAGATAATTTTATAAAACCTTAATATTATTCTTAATTACCGCCTTCCTTTCTTGAGCTGTGCCTATAGTATACGCCTCCGTATATAATAGGTAATAGGTTGTACTTGGCGCAACCTTAGAAGATCACACAAGATGAACTCTCAATGACCCGCAACTTAAATGGAGGAAGATCAATGACAAGAAGAGCTGCGAAGAGGGCTCTAAAGCATGGGGGAGTTATATAGGAGGCCTAGGAGGCCTAAGAGGCGGAAGCAGAACGTCTACGAGTGGAGGTTGAGCGGTTGGAGGGGCAGTTGGAGGGGGAGTTGGAGGGAGATCTAGCACTGGAGGATCGAAATCGACTTACGCGACTTGCTAGGGAGCATGAAAGAAAGGCCGAAGAGATTGCTGATCGGGTAGCTGCGTCTAAAGAGAAGGCAGCAAACGAAAATGAAGCTTGAGGGTGAAAAACCATGCGATAGTATCGTGGTAGTTCTCACCATACGGTAGATAGCCTCTCTTTCTGAGTTGGGTGTTAAGAGAGTGGCCGCCAATACCTGCCCTAGGTTGTCGGCACGTACTCTTGCCGCCTCAAAGGCGGACCTGTACTTGGTTGCGTGGTCCTTCATATCCATCTCATTCGTCTCTGCCGTTAGTTCGAGAATGTTCTGACGCATCTTGTTGAAAAGAAATTTACTAACAGTTTTGCGAAAGTAGGATAAAAAACTGTGAAGTATTTGTTTACTAGAACAAGGACTGGACTCTCTTTGAGAATACTAGTACATTGTGCTTAAACTAGGGCTAGAGTTCATATGTTCGGGTAGTGCGCAGGTCGTTACTTGATGGTTGTGTATAATGTAGAAGTTCGGACCGTATTTAAGGGGGTAAGAGGACAACGCCAGTGGAGACGTGTGCGGCGGGTGAACCGGAGAGATTGGAATCAAAGCTGCCCCAACAGGGGCGTGCCAACATTAATGGTTGCGTTAGGTAGAGGAAGGTACGAATCTAGAGGAATGGTCCTAGTAGGGCGAGTTGTATGTAGGTAGAAAGCAGATGCGACTCTCTATGAAATGTAAGTATATTGACCTAAAGCTGGTAATGCGAGTGATTTTCATACTACTATACATGAGACTCAAATCGAGGGTTGAGTAGGGCGTGCTTGAAAGGCGAGACAATATGCCGCGACGAGGTAGAAGTTAGAGTTTTGGACGCGGGGCTGTAGCTGGTTAAGAGGTAGGAGCTGGAATTGGAGGAGGGGTGGGGGGAAGGGGTTATAGCTAACAACATTGCGGCTACATAGATAGGAAGAAGCTTATCTAACTGCGCTAGTATAAGAAAATTCGCTTACCATAGGGTTAAGCGAGCAGCGGCCGCTTTCTTACCATTAACCTATTCGTTATTATATGAATCCATTATTTTGTAATCATTCTACCATTTCACAGTTGTTCTATTATATCGAAAAGTATCATCTATGTTTTGAAGATCTCTCACATATAGCTATAGCTTATTGCTAGAGAATATATATAAAGACATATTTGCGTAATAGAAAACAGCTTAAAGAAGTAGCAAAAGACGCTTGTAAAACGATTACAAAGCGCACAAATCACATTATACATTACTTCAAGATACCCCAGTAATCCAAGGCCATAATAGCTAAAGTCCTCGTAAGAAATATTAAGGATCTTAATTCATATGAACAACTACCTAGAATACGAGTTACCGACAAGAAACAAGCAACCTACGCCAAAGTAACTTGTTCACTTCACGAAGTTTAGCAAAGTAATAGTAATTACATTCTTTTCTGTTACCTTCAGTTACCTTAGTAGCTAGGATATGTAAAAGGCATATGAAAGCGGGGCTAACTATGTTGTTCTACGTATCGGTCATATGTAGGAAATGGGTACAAGTACAGGTCATTAATTGAGCGCGTATAATCGACTTGAGAATTAGAGTCAAGGGGTATATAGGAAAATAAATCAATCAAGACTTTAGCATATATCTTGCAATACGAAAACACTCTTTAGTACAGTAGCATATGTATAACGTGGTTTATCAGCGAGTCGATCATATCACCGAGTCGATCACTTTTTCTTGGCACAGAACTTTACACCTAAATAAATCAACCACAATATATTAAATTAATTATCGCTCTCTATATCTGACGAACTAGATATATCTATAACTTCTTGACAAGTTCGCGCGTTATGACCAGCTTTTCCACAAGTTCTACAGCGCCGCCTAGAAGGTTGCCCCTCCTTATAACCAACCCCCGCCTCACGCATGTCGCGTCGTACTTGCTCATCTACATCCTCCTGAGCTAACATATCCTGTACATCCTCTACTATAAGTGCCCCTCCTTGGCGGACACGAGTCTTTTTAGCCCTACGGCGTTTACTTAGGGCTTCATTTGCAGCGCGAAGGGTACGGACCTCAGCAGACAAAAGGGTCATCTCATGTGCCATTCGCTCTGTACCCTTTGCTAACGCAGCAACTGTTTGAAAAAGTGGAGTTGGCGAGCTTCCTTGATGACAGGCTATACGATTTCGTACAAGAGTTGATTGTGAAAGGGCTTCAGTTGGGTTGGAAGGGGTCTGGGACACCCAGGGGAGGGAGTTGGCACTACACGTCCGAGGGGGAGTTGGAGTCCGTAACCTTACGTCAAGCTTTGAAAGCACTGCTTGCGGGTTAAATGGTACTAGGCCAGCTCCGCGGAATCCAGACTGACAGTTTAGGACTGTCATTGTTTCCTTGTATGCTGCTGTAAAGGCTAGAAAGAACTCAACCTTTGTAATATGGTTGATATGGGCCTTGATAAACGTCTCAATCTGCCGACCATACGCTCGTTTTAACACACTATAGCACCCAACATCAAGTGGCTGGGTTAGATGGGATGAATGAGGAGGTAGTCCAAGAGTAATAATGTTGTGTTTCGTACAGTAGTCTTGGAACTCAGCCGATTCATGACTCTCGTGCCCATCCAAAACTAGTATTCGATACAGACCCTTTGCACGAGCTGTAGTGTGTTTATCAAAGTGCTTTAACCATTCCAGGCCTGTTTCATTATTTGTCCAACCATTGCTTGTCGGTTTCATAACCCAGTTAGGTGGGAGGCCGCCGTCGGTATACCAGTTGGAGAGATGGTTCTTGCCCTGAACTACCAAGAATGGAGGAATACTCCAGCCCTCCCCATTAATACAGGCAATTGCTGTAGCCCATTCCCGATTGCCTGGCTGAACTGCCTTGCCTCTACCACGTCGGTCTGCACGAGTAACAACCATTCTAGGACAAATAACACCCATCATAAAGCCTGTCTCGTCGAAGTTGTAGAAGTCGGAGTCTGTAACCCCATATTTCGCCCTCATATTCTCTACTAGCCGGAACCATGCGCCTAGCACGTCAGGATCTTCGCATAAGGCCCTCTGGAAGTCGTAAACGCGATTAAAACGCGTCTTAAGGTCTGGTTGTCGTTGTACGAATCGATGGGCCCAGAGCTTGCCGACGCGTCTTCCCCCCCGCGATTCAAGGATAAAATTAGCCATATCTTCTACACCAGCGAGCCGGGGCGCAAATCCTCTGGAATCCATATCCAGTATATACCGAATAATCACTTCCTCTTCTAACTCAGTCAACTTATGACAATTGGCTTGAGAATCTGGGCGGTAGGTTCGGCCAGCCATTCTGTCGGAAAGAGTCGTATATGGTACATTGTAGATCTTTGCCGCAGAGCGTTTGCTTAGTTTTTTGGACGACCGAATAGCCTCGATAGCTAGAGTAATTCGCGCTTCTTGAGTTTGAATTTCCATGGTAAATAGTTGAAGAAAACGTGTGTTGAAGTTTGAGGAGGTAGTGCCAAGGAAAAGTGATCGACTCGGTGATATGATCGACTCGCTGATAAACCACGTTAAAGAAAATTCAAAACCTTTCCTACTAATACTTGTAAAAGTGGAGCACCAGAGAAAAGAGAACACTTAAGAAAAGTGTACATTCGAGAAAGAATACTATAAGCCAAGCGCGATGGCCAAATGAGATCACAGTCAGGTCACAAACTCAGATACGCGAACGGAAAAGATTTTAAGTTTAATATGAGACCGAGCTGGCAAGCTAATGAAATGCCTAAGTGTAGTAGGATAATATTCCATTGTTAACCTTTATACCCCCTATAAGACATAGTGTCAATAAATCCTCCCAAAACACAAAAAGATGACTGAAGTGTAAGTAGATGTCCCCAAGCAGCGACCAACACTAAATAATCGCAATGTCCCCAGAATGAATAGATGTCTCTAAGGGAAGAATAAAACAACAACTCTCAAATCGTAATAAGAGCAATATTGCCAGTACGGGTATACGGCAGCTGATAGAAAAAGAAACCTACACGTACCTTGCTTCAATGGCGCGGAGTTCTAAAACTTCCAATGCCCTCCTCTGGAGCATACTCATGATATGTGTAAGTAAATCGGATGTTATACTCTGAGAGAAAGATTTCGAGCCGTATGAAATATAACTAGAGTATTTAGGATCTTATCTTAGGGCCTGTTTGGCTCGAAAAGTGGGGGGAATAAGTAGCACCAAAATATTAAGCCGAATCAGAAATATAACTATTCGGCTTGATTTAGTAAAAGCCCGTTTAGTTCAAATAGTACTTTTCAAAATAATTCCTGTAAATCACGATCTTAGCACTCCGAATCAGAATAGTAACCTAGATTTAGGTGTGATTCGTGAATATTATAAAAAGCAATGTTCCCTAAATAGTAGTTTTAAATAGTGCCCGATAATTCCACCACCTATAACACCATACCTATATGCTAGGTACCACCATATACTATCACCATATGCCACCACTATATACCACCACTACATATAACAAAAATAGCGCCTTTGAAGGTATACCGGAGCGTACTAAGACAACACGCGTATACAGAGGACAGAAGTATAAGGTGTATTTGTAGTACAAGATACATTCACAGTACCTGTAGTCTACATACGGCTCAAACAAGGCTCTATATAAACGCGTGTTATACTGTTTACAGTATTAACAACAAGAATACAGTAAATAGACAAGGCGTAGTTCGTACTTTAGATAGTGAATCTTATACTCGACTCCTTAAAAATCAAGAAGACTGAGCCAAACGGGTCTATAAGTCGAATAGTAATATTATTGAATTAGAGCTATTAACGAATCAGAAAAATGATTCGGCACTTATTCCGAGCCTATTCGTGAATAAAAAGCTCCCCCACTTTTCGAGCCAAACAGGCCCTTAGTAGTGTCCTTCCAAGTCATTAGAGTCGAAGACATAGTATCCCGATACCTTTTACAACAAGGGAGTAGCATTGTAGATGGTAAGACTCATAAATCCTTTCGCCTGCTTAATCTAGATGGAATATCAGTTATAGAGATTGCAGTGCAAACTGTGGAACTGTTTACCTCTTTATCAGTATCTATTATCAGATTAAACTCCCCTGAATCGATATAACAGATGGCATAGTCTATAACTAAAGTACGGTTATGCCGCATGGCAATGTCGCGGAACCAAGTGTCCATGATGCTTCAGTGCTGAAGGATAGCGGCTTTGCCGCGAATGTTTGAATTGAAGCACCACTAATAGGTAGGTACTACTCCTGCATGGTGGTTAGCAGATGGGTCGATCGATCAAATAGAGAGGGGTAGGAGAGATCCAAATCAGATCAGGAGAGAGACATACTAAGAGTTGAGGAGAGGCAATCCGAAGGAGTAGAAGGTAAACGTGTGGTGTTTGGGGCTTGTGAGAAGGGATTGGGGTTATGTAGCTTACGGCTAGAATCAAATAGAAATGGAAGCCCAAGACTACTAGGTTAAGGCTAGCAGAAAATCCTAACAGAGGATGTTTTAGCCTTTGAGAAATACTTTTATCTAGTAGAGAATGGGATGATGTGAAATCTTGTAAGTATCTTATAAAATACAAATAAATCGTACACACCCATGGGAGAAGCCTTTTATCCACTCAAGTTTTCCCCCAGAAACTCCAAAATATGACAGCACTACCTCATGCTTAGCCCCAATTTCCCAATACACCACGTATCTATAGTGCCTTATTGTGGATATCTCCTTGGTATTTCCAAATCACCATATTACCATCTCAACTCTCCCTTCTTCGTAGGATCCGCGCCATCATCTTTCTTCGTCTCCGGCTTATCACTAAACCCAAGATTCTTGAATTCATCCTTGGCCATCAGATTCCTAGACAGAATATACCCATTAGCAGATATCCTCCATGCGCTTACAACACCATCAAAACGCACCTATCCATCCGACAAGTCAAATACGATTTCGCAATATTTCTACACTCCGCCTCATTCGTTCCCTTGACCTTCTTGATGCAAGCCAGGTAACTCATCATGACATCCTTGCATTCCCCTATATACAATTCATCAGCGAATGTCCCAATTAAATTCTCCTGAAGCAGTCCAGCAGAGGGGCTCGTTTGCGCGGGGAAGGAAGATCGTACCATCGTGGTCGAGAGGAAAGCTACCGCGCTCGGGTCTGTGGGAGAAGTTAGCGTCAGATACATACGATGATTTGGAGAGGAAGAACTCACGGCGAAGGTTTCACATTGATCTGGCGTCCTCCGGGACCTCCAAATGTACTCATGGTTGCTGGTCAATTGACGTCCGCGGGTCTTTGCTCTTGCGGTCGGTGATTTTTCGATGCCTCGGATGTGTGGATCCGTGCTTTGTGCCAAGTGGGGTTTCCCCGGATTATGACGCACGCCATTTGAACCTTCGTTCTTCGATTCTACAACACCATTAACTAACGTTGAGTTTTGATAGAGAGTGGAATTGAGATAAGTGATAAGATGCCGATGTAAGTTAAACAAGCAAGCGTCTTCTCATTTTATCACAATTCCTACATGAACGTCAAATTGATAATGTTCAAGGACTTTGGAAGGAAGTTGCCAATGTGGCCTAGTTGAATTCAAACTTGAGGTTGGTATTCTTTCTATATAGTTTTTGAGTGGATCGAGACATTATCTTCTCTCAAAATAGTCTTTCATCCTCGACCTTTTCCTTGATTTCAAATCATATCAAGAAATGGCAATTCTAATTCTGAAATCATCCAGTCCCACACACCAGTCCCCTACCAACTCTGCGCCTGCTCCATCTGTCGCAAATGCGGCGGCTATGGAGGCTCCGTAAATCTAGGAGGAATAGCCTCAACCCTCCAAATAACTAAAGGCTCCGACTCCATAAAGTACTTCCCCTTCCCCCCCTTGTCCCATATCTCCCCTCCCACCAACACAAACACAGGAAGTACACAGCAACCAAAGACCGGCACCTCAGAACGCAACTTCTGCTCTGAGTGCGCAATCATGCTTTGGCTGTGGGATAAGACCTGGCTGGAACTCATCCATCCTTTTGCGTCGGCGATTGATACCGAGTTACCGGTTGTCGAGGAGATGGTTTGTGTTAAGGCGGATAGCAAACCGGCGTATGTGAGGTGGCCCGAGGGGAAGAAGAGTGTTCATGAGAATTATGGGGAGGATAGTATTGAGGGGTGGTATAAGAAGAGGGAACTTTTTGTTGAGTAGGAAGGGGATGAAATAGGATTGGTCTAAGGGGTGGAGAAGATGGAGATGGAGATGGAGATGGAGACTGTTTTTAGTTTGGTGTTTGTCTTCATTTTTTGGGAGGAGATTTTGTGGCAAGCGAGTTACCATACAAGTTCTGGTTTGAGCTGGAGAATATTTCTATGAATATGCCTGTTCTCTGCTTCCGCTTCCGATGTATAAGAACTGTGACGGTCGATATATCTCCCTGCCATTCAATTTATTGGATTAGGCATTACACATAGAGCAAGAAGAATGAGCGATGTCTTCCGAGCTCTTGTTTAAGCCCATTGTCGAGTGATGTAAGGAAGTGCGCACTTTCACTAATCAACGACTTCTAGCATCTTGGACTTTTTATGTGCAGCCCCTTCGCAAAAGTAGGCAGAAACAAGGGTACTTTTAGCTTAACGTATAGTCCTAGGGTGGTACGCCGCTTCTATGCTATTTAACCCCAACCCTAAGGCCAAATGATTGAAGCATGAAGCTGAAAAGTACCCTGGAACGCCATATAATAGTAGAAATGTAAAAACAAACTACGGAAATGCACAAAATTGCACAAAAGGGTCTGAATGTACATAAAACTTTCTTGCTACTTTTGCCAAGGGGCTGTACTTTGTATGTGAATTGCCTATTCCCACAATTTCTAGGGTTGCGAAACATCTTGCTACTTTTGCGAAGGGGCTTTAGGTATAATATTGACTCAGATATTTGTGGTCTTTGCTATTTGAGAAATGGAGAGAGAGTAAAGGTACGTTCTTTTGCACTTTCTTTACTTAGGATGAAGAAGATGGAGGCTTCTCTACATGCCCTCTTTATCTCTTCCGTAAGGCTTCGCTTAAATAAAGGGATAAGGCCAAGGCAGAAGCATTATCGGCTTAAACAACATTCTACTCGTAATCATACTTTAACATAAACGTACCTATGTTACTTTTTTGGAAGCTTCTCATCTTCCTATCTCTCGTACCTGATTAATGATTATCCGAACAGTGGATCCTATCACGTTTATGTATGACGTCACTGAATCTAAACCTTGTTCAATGCCCCTCACTGACTTTCAGCTCGCCCAGAGATATTTATATGGATATTTTAAGGACCATCCCAGATTTGCTCGTATGGCAGCTGCAGAAACCATAGAGACGGGACTCTGCGAATACTTCTAGAAGAACGTCTTCGGTGACTCTTCCACTCCGGGACCCTGGAAAGTGGCGTGGCTTGTGACCGTCAGATTTTAGCCAGTCGAGGCGCAGACCATGGCCGTCAACTGATTTTTAGTTTTCGAACCGGGCCATCGCAGTTTTGGAGGTAAGGAAGAGACGCCGGTCGAGGCCCGAGTGGTCCGTTGGCAGCTGGTTGGGCTGGAAGGTGTTGTTGTGCCGCCGCCTAACTGCTTGTCAGGCATATGACGTTTCGTGTAGAGGTGTATTAGGTCTATCGGTAACTTGTTGTGAGATAAGGCTGTAAAGTAGAGAGAATCCGAACTCTGAGACTGCTGTTGGGCAGAGATTCGCGGCTCTGTAAGGCGTCGGTGAAGAAGGTCCAGCTCCAAGAGTTGGGCGCAAACTCATGCCCTGTGATGGTAACTTGGGGTGAGCGACGGGGACTGCGTGGGTGTGCATGGTTGAGTGAAGTTCGTCTCCTCGCTCGGCAGTGCATCGCATCGTACAGTATCCTCATGAATCTCTCCAACAGGAATCACCCTCACAATAATTGTTGAGGAATTTCCCAATCTCTGCCTCTGTTACCGGTACCTTGGCTAGGTTCGTAGACCATTCACAAGCATCATCGTAACATTTTCAGAGCACCCAAGCCAAATCAGGATTCGAGGGTCTTTTCTCCCTGGGGTCTCCTGTGCAACTTCTGAACCTGGATTTCAGGTGGATATCGACCAACCTTACCACCCCAGCCCCCGTTACTCACCCCTCATCATCGTCATCAGCGGACTTCTCCATCTCACCTTCACCATTCCATCAAAACCCTCACATTTACAACACTGCGCACTGTTACTCATTTGCGATTTGATTCCATTCACACTTCAATTTTGAAATCTTGTCGTCACACTTCAAAAGACCACAACCTGACGGTGAGGTCCAACCATCAACAGCCCTATTGCAACAACCATCACACCACAACATGTCTGCTCTGGATTACGACGACCGGAGACACAAGTCTCATTCGCACCGCCATCGCGATGACCGAGATGGTCGGGAACCAAGATATGTTGAAACACAAGAAACCTACGTGCGCAGCCCAGCTCCCATCGTACCCGAACCACCATACGCGGCGGTCAGGCAAACCGAGATGATCCGACGTCCAGTTCGTGAAGATAGCGATTTATCTATCGAAGAAGTTAGAAGAGATTTCCCACCTCCAGGCGCTTACGTTCAACAAAGATCATATGGTGCACCTGTCCGCTCTCGATCTGCCGAACGACATTATGGCACCTACTTGGATCACCGAGTTGACAACCCACGACGTTCCTTCCATGAAGATGATCGTCGAAGCCGGAAGAGTACTACCTACGCCGAACAAGAAATTAGGCCTCGCAAACGTTCACTTTCACGAAACCAAAAGATTATCGCAGCCGCTGGAGGTGCGATTCTCGCGGCAGGTGCGAAGGAGCTTTACGATCGTCAACAAGCAGATGGTCGACCAGTCAACCGAAACCCTCTTTCTACAGCAGCAATCGGTGCTGCCGGAGCCTTCGCAGGGTACGAAGGCGCCGAGTTCTACGCCAAACAACAATCAAAGGGAAAGGAGGTTAAAACATATGTTGCTCATCGTGGAAGAAATGGCGATGTTGAGGAATATTATTCTTCAGATGACCAGTCTTATGTCAAGCCAAAGAGATCCAAGAGCCGCCGCAAGTCTATTGTTGAAAGCGCTATGGCCTTGACAGGACTTGGGGCTGCAGCAAAAGCGGTCGGAGGAGATAAGCATCACAGACGACGTGGAAGTGCTGATAGCTATATTTCTAACCGCTCCAAACGTTCTAGCCGCTCGCGTGGCCGTCACAGTGAATCTGAAGGCGCAGCAAAGTTTCAACAGGCAGCAAAAGCAGCTCTCATTGCTGGTGCCACTGAGGCTTTCAGAGTCAGAAAGGAGCCAGGAGGTTGGGGCGGAGAGAAGGGAAAGCGAATTCTTACTGCTGCTATTGGAGCTGGTGGTATCGATGCTGCAGCAGATCGTGATCCTGATCGAAAGAGCAAACGCCATATTCTTGAAGCAGTGGTCGGTGGTCTCGCTGGAAACAGATTGATCAACGGATCAAGAAAGGAAGTGGACGACGATGGAAGATCCATTCGATCCGGCAGATCACGATCTAGATCAAGGGGACCTGGTGGAGGCGGTAGCGGCCCGCTTGCTGCTCTTGCGACGGCAGGTATAGGAGCACTTGCAGGAAAGAAGTTATTGGATCGATCCAAATCCCGCTCTCGTTCAAGAGGAGCTCGATCAAGATCTCGCGGTGCTCGTCGACGAGACTACAGCACTGATTCCTACGATAGTCGAAGCCCATCTCCAAGACGTAGCGGAAAAGATCGACACAAGAGAAGCAAGAGTGTCACGGATTACGCTCGGAAGGGTCTTGCTTCCCTCGGAATCGGAGCCGCTGCTGGTTCTGGTAGAGATAGATCCAGATCCCGAGACAGAGAAGTAATCGAGGAAACCCAAGTTATCCGCAAATCAGGGCGACGTGGTTCGGAAGATGGTTACGACTCGAGACGCTCCCGTCGCGGAGATGACTATGTTTACGATAACCCTCAATACGCAGATTCTCGTGCCAGCAACGTTGGTTCCAGAAGCGGTGGTGGTGGTCGTTCCAAGAAGGACAGAAGAAATGGGGCTCGAGATAGGCGTATTGCGGAAGGAAAGCAATTGCCTTCGGATTCGGAGGATTCTCTTGGTTCGTCGTCAGGGGATGAGAAGAAGATCAAGAAAATGAGAGGTAAGCAACTTATTACGGCTGGTTTAGCAACTGTCGCCACTATTCATGCAGCACATGGTGTCTATTCGAGTATAGAGAAGCGTGATGCGAGACATCGAGCGGTGGCAGAAGGAGAAATGACGAAAGAAGAGGCGAGAAAGTTGAAGTCCAAGGCACTACTTCAAGACGTGGCATCAGTTGGTATTGCAGCACTTGGTATCAAAGGAGCAGTTTCCGAGATCAAGGAAGCCAACCAGATGCGACATGAGTGCAAAGAACTACGAGAGCAAAAACAACAGCGTCATGAGAAACGCCTTCAACGTCAAAAGGGCTCAAGTCAGGGTGGAGGTAGTCAGGGTGGAAGGAGACACAGGAACAACGACAGAAACGACAACTATAACCCATCACCTACCACCCGTTATGATGATCATGGTCCGCGCTATGTTGACAGTAATCCATACTCTTCACTACCAGCTCCTCCAGTTGGCTACGACAACCGGCGATAGTCTATCTAGCTATCAACTTGAACATACGTTCTAATATCTTGCCATGTTTTACGAAATCACGAATCTTATGATAGCTAGAAAAATTGTCTGGTGTCATCTTTCCGGAGTTTGGGTCTGAAGATTTTACGTGGTGGAATGGATGGAAACAACACACGCATCACGCTTCATATACTCTACTCGACACATGACCTTTTCCTTCGTCAATCTTTCCTAATTTTCCGATGTAACCGAGACGAAGAAGATCTATGTTCTCGGAAAGAAACAACTTGACATCAAGAAAAATCTTTCTCTCTTTTCCTAATTCTTTTCTTTTCTCCTTGGGTCGTCGTCTTGCATGAAATTTTCTTCTTTTTAGTCTTGAGAAGTTCCAAATTCCTCAGTACCTTACTTTACTTACATAAGAACGAGAGAATTATAATACTGATTATTTCTGTCCTTCGTGTCTACAGCGCGCCGCTATTAAATAGCCTGATGCAAGTGATCCGATCCTTTGCGCCACGGCCCACGCAAGCTTGCATCCCATCCCATTTACCGCCCTGCACGACGCTACGCAAACGAGGCAAGATAGTCCCCGAGAAAGCACCAATTTGGACTGTACGTACGTACCCGAGCGCCGTTTTAGAATTCCACAGGATGGAACCAACTGGATTCGGGGTTGGAGGTTCGGTTAGGGTTAAGGTTTTAGGTTGATGACGGGGACGGGGACGGCTATTCTTTCTTTACTGCAGTATTCTTTTTTGATAGTTGTGTGCGTCTTTCTTTCATGCGTGCTCTTTTTTGAAAATGACATGGATGGGGATGATCTCGGGGGATTGGGATGATCGACGGGATTAGGTTGGCTTGGATGATTGGTTGGTTGGTTGGTGGATTACGAATCCTCTTTTCTTTTATTTTTCAATTGTGGCTTTCAATCTTTTCTCTTTTTCTGTTCATTCTTTTTTTGGGAGGGTGAGAAGATGTGTGGTTGGTTTTATTTTATTTAGTTTATGAGTTTTCTCTGTTTTTTTGTACCTCAAGCATTATTGTGAGGTTCGTGACGAAGGGCCGGGAGATGTGAGATTCGGAATAATAAAGACGGGTTTGTGGGGAGGGGGGAAGGGGGGAAGAAGCGGTGTGGGATGGTAAGGTAATGTAAGGAAGTGTGAGTGTGAGGTATTTTCTTTTCTTTGGTTTGGTTGTGCTATTAGTAAGAGGTACTACTGGTGTAAGTCTTACTATATCGTGGGAACCCTTTTTTTTTGAGAGAGAGAGGGTGAGGGGTGGATGGACCGGTACTCGTATGCGGTGTTATGGGAGATCTACTTCTCCGTACTTCTACTTCTACTTATAAATCCCCGTTTAATGGGGTCTCTTGACTGGAGAGTCGAGACTTGGGTTTGGTGATAGGATGGTGGGATGGTTGGTAGGTAGATGGGTAGGTATATTATGGTATGGTAGTTTCATGATTTTCATTAGTCTTTATAGAGAAGGAGGGGAAAGTGTTATAGAATTTTATCATGAGAAAAGGGAAAGATGGGAAGGGAAGGGAAGGGATGGAGGAAGTCCTCCGGTATTGTGGTTTTTGTGACACTGACAGACGCTTACGAGTACCGGCTACCGGTGTCGTTGGTGGCGTTTGCTTGTTGTGCTGACTGGACTGGCACTGGTTTGGCGTGGCTGGTGGAAATGGGAATGGGAAATGGGAAATGGGAGTGGATGAGGGAGGGGGTTTTGTTTTTGATTGGTGGTTTGGTAATTTGGTGATTTGGTGGTGAGGGAGTGAAGTGAGGAAGTGGGGTTGTCGATGTAGGTATGGAGGGGATGGGAGGGGAGTGGAGTGGGGGAGTGGGTAAGGGTTGCGTCATTGTGCGTGATGAGGGCATTTCTCCTGATCAACCATTATGGTCTGATACAGCGGACACGGTCATTGGAGAAGACGGAAAGTCCTATAAAACAAACCATGCGACCGTCTGGCGTTGGAGAAGAACTTTTCAAAATGATTTTGTTACGCGGATGCAATGGACTCTGACCTCAAATTTCTCGAATGCTACTCATCCTGCTGTTGTGAGAGTTAACGGACATTTGGGACCAGAACCTTTGGTTGTTCCAGCAGGATACAATCAATCTTTTGTTTTTGACGCAAGCGAGACGTATGATCCTGATCACCCAGAGGATAACAGCAAGCTGGAATTTCAGTGGTATCAGTATGGTGAACCTTCCTTTCATCTCCCGGATGGCTTAGTTACTGCATTGAACATTGTTCCGACGTCAATGCCGGAGGTGTATGGGACACTTACAAGCAATGAGTCAGGATTCCAGAATGTTACTCTTGGCCAAAAGGTTGAGGTTACAATTCCAAGTTTGCCTGAGACTGCTACTGAGAAGCCGGATTTACATTTGATCTTACAAGTTAGGAGTAAGATGGCCAGCTTTCCTGTCACAAGATATCGAGAATCATTTTTAGGATGGCTTAAGTGGATGGAGAAAAAGCGTGGACTTCTCTTCCTAGCACCAATGAGTTGCATATTGGGTGGAGGTTTTTTTCTCTACGCTTTAACTGCATGGAATGAGGTGGGAGGGTAGCTTAATTCTGAGGGAGAGGAGATGGCATCTATGAGTTGGCACAATCAGTAATAAGTATCTCGCATACATACCACATTTTCCCTTGGTTTGCCATCAACGAGATCGAGACGACCGATTAAAGTTGATTCAATCCTCCAAACTCTAAGAAAAGCGTTTGGCCATACTGTTACCGAAAGTGAACGATGAACATGGTTCTTTGCTTTGCTATGCCCAGAACAGGCCCAAAAATGGTTTCCAGTCACCTAAAATGGGTGTATGATTCTTGTCTTGAGTCCATCGTATCAGAAGTTGTAGGCTGGGAAAGACTGACCTCTGTACTCGAGTATTCATCATCTTACTACAGTACCTACAAGTAGTAAGGGTCTCAAGCAATCACGTCAACCCTCGCCTCATGGTTGCATTTACATAACCCATTCTTGGCGTTGGAAGACCCAGCCTCGACTTTTCCATTTGCATCTAGATCATGTCACCGGAAAATATCTACACATATATTGCATCGTACAGAGGATCAAGACACCATTCGTGTTTCAGTATACGTTAGACTCGTATATTCAACCGGAGTTAATCATCTACCTGCGTTTGCGAGAAGAGAAAAGCACAGGAATATGGAAAGTTCATGAGAGATGACCCGCTTCACTCAAACTTTACTGTATTCAATGCTTTGGGCTTGCTTGAAAATGTCGAGTTCAATGGCCGCGGGGGCCGTTGGTATCATGGTGGCGACGTATATCTTTTTTCGGGCGTTTTTATATCTCACGCAAGATAAAAAAGAGCCTCCAATGGTATCTAGCGCTATTCCTTTCGTCAGTCCCCTAATAGGAATGATTCGATGGAACATGGACTTCTATTCACATATGAGGTAGGTAGCGCACCCAGGCATTTCGCAGATAGAATAGCGAATGAACTCAAATGTACCTTTACTGACAAAACGTCTAGAAAAAAGCATCAAATTTGCCTATATATACTCCCCGAATTCCTGGAGTTCGACTCTCTGTTATCAATTCATTGGACCTCGTACCAGTGGTACAGCGTCAATGGCGGACACTAATCTTTGCGCCTATCCAAGTCAAGGCAGCACAAGCAGCCATGGGAGCAAGTAAAGGGGCCGTAGAAGTGATGAACCGGGACTTTGTCACTGAAAATGGCTTCATCAATGGCATGGTCAAGGCGACGCATCCCTCTATGATCAAAGGCCCAGCACTTAACGCTTTGAATTCGAAAGCTTTCGAGATATTCGATGACGCTTTGAGGTTTGAACGCCCAAGCACTGTCAATCTGTTTGTATGGGTCGGCAAAATTATCATGCATGCTACTACAGATGCTATATATGGGCCTTCCAATCCTATGAGAGATGGAAAGAACCTCGAAGGATGGCAGTAAGTATTCAATCATCCCGTGGTGCAGCCAAAATTAATTAACTGACTATCCTCAACAGTAAATATCGTCCGGCGTTAATGCTTATGATGTTGGATATCCTTCCGCAGAAACTATTATTTAGAAACGCTGTTGGGGGTCGTGAGCATCTCGTAAAGAGTTTCGCAAACTACTACCACGATGGCAGTTACAAACAAGGATCCGCCTATATCCGGCAATTCGTAGAACACTGTATCAAGCAACAACTGCCTGAAGACGATATCCCAAGACTTCTACTAGGCACTGTCTTCAACAATATCGCCAATACCATCCCGGCTGCCTTCTGGCTTATATATCATCTCTTTAGTGATCCAGCCGTGCTGAAAGACTGCCAAAAAGAAGTGAGAGGGGCAGTAAGTGAAAGCCAAGATGGAGTCTCAGTAAATCTCAGCGTCATTCTTAACTCGTGTCCTATCCTCAACTCAATTTATCAAGAGGTTTTCCGTTATCACGGGACAGCCAACTCAGTTCGTGTGGTATCCTAGGACCACATGCTAGACGATAAATATCTGCTGAAGAAAGGGGGACTGGTCATGGTGTCAGGAAGGAGCCGACATACCAATGCCGAGGTATGGGGTGAAGATGTGGACAAATTCTACTACAGACGATTCGTCAAACAAAGCAGCAAAAGTTCCAATCCCGTCGCTTTCCGCGGATTTGGAGGTGGTGTAACTCTCTGCCCTGGTCGCCACTTCGCAACAAGTGAGATTCTGCTACTGGCTACTCTGTCACTCTTGCGTTGCGATATTCGACCCAAGAACGATATTTGGGAAGCCCCGTCGAGAGCGATGTCATCGCAAGCTGAAGCCGTGGACCAGCCTGATTATGATATTGAAGTCGAGGTTATTCACCATACAGAGAACAGTGGCAAACCATGGAAGCTGGTATTTGAGGGAGATACGAGCTCCTAGATTCTTGCTAAGAAACATTTTCGTATGAAGCTGCGTGCTTGATCCTTCTCAAAACTCGCTAATATAAAAAGGGGGGTTATGGTCGCGACAGCCATGGAAAGAACAAAGTCGAACGAGTGATTGCCGGCGCAAGTGACATGGCTATTATTCTGTATATATCTAGTTTAGAAGGATATTATCTCAAGAGGTTCGTACACGTAAAGAAGTCATATAAATGGTATAGAATAATACCACGTTCACATTTTATTAACTCAGGTATACTACTGTATTACAAATATGTTACTTGTGCTAGAAGTTCAGTAAAAATGTTTCCTGTAACATGTACAGAGTAAGGAACAGTTGTCTTATTAACAAAAATCCATGAGTAGAAATACTGAGATTGATGGGTGACAAGTGTCAGACTTGATGAAGCTTCTTCTATAACGTATGAAGAGATTTTTATCAGTAGCACATAAATCGCCAGTTCCTGAACCTCTGCATGTCTCCATTGATGGCCCCGGTGAGTCGCTGTCAAATTCGTTCGCTAATTAGGCGAGCGAAATCAAGGCAGGAGTTTTGGTAAGAACTCTGAAAGGCACGCAGGCCTCTATTTTGGAACAAAAACTCGCTCAGATGGTGAGTAGGGAGACTGTAAGAACTCAACATTGTTGCTAATAATGCCCGGAATATGATATCACCACAATAATATCTTTGAGACTTAATTTTAATACCCACCATTTGTATCATTTGATTACCATGAATCCTCAATATCTCTTAATAATCCTATGGATATTGTTAGACGTTTAATGAACATCATGATGAATAAATCGTGGTGTTTCCAACCCTGTAAAATTTGAGTCTTTTACCCTGGGTTGTACTCCACTTTAATTAAGCCCCACTTCTCGGAAATGTATAGCACAACACGTAACACGAATGACAGGCAGTTGAGTAGCTAGAATTTGGGACCTATTAGATATTATATATAAGAAGAAGAACCGTTCAAATTCTCAAAAATCGGGTTTGCAATAATGTGTCTAGCAGCGCTGAATAAAAGGGTAAAATACAATAAATTATACCATCCTAATATATACTTAGAACTTATCCTTCAAATATGATTAGTACGAAGTAATGTCCTACCGGAAAGACAACCTCTTTCTCCGGTTTTAATGGAAGGGCATGCTACGACCGCCATCGCTTAAAACAACAAATCCAGCTTTGGCTGAACAATTAATTAACAATCACCTGATTCAAGTGAGTACATAAGAAGAAGTGGAGACGATGGCTAAACCATGGCCCAATTATCCCTACAATCAGATTGATGGTTAAGGGCCTTTTGATATATCAACACCCAATAGAGGCCAGATGGCGGAGTGGTTAACGCGACAGCCTAGAAAGCTGTTCTCTTCGGAGGCGCAAGTTCGAATCTTGTTCTGGTCGAGCATTTCTTTGGCTCCGGCATCTCTCCGTTACTCGAAAGCAACAGAAATGGTTGAAAAGTGATTTTTTGGCGATTTTTACTAGTTTGGTCATGAGTCATGCATTTGTAGCTCGATTCACCCCTAAGCGAGGATCCAGGAACACCAAAACTCGATTTACATGTAGTTTCAGTCTTTTTGCTACTCTGGTTGGAAAACTTTTAATCTAGAAGTAAGGATTGGAAGTGAAATATTAGAAGGTCAATTATCTTTTTAAGAACCCAAACTTATTGCGCTATGAAGTGGAGAGTAGATGATTGAAGACTTCATGGGCAAATCATGACTATGTAGTTCCGATAATTTCCCGGGTTGATCACTCAGAGCTTGCTCCGGACTTTTGCGAGAGGATTTTGCGAGTGCTCGCTTACTCCAACAATGTCGTATGTAGCGAGGAGTAGTTTTGCTGGAAAGCAGCTTTAATACCTCGACCAGGTTTCTCCGTGTGTTTCTGATTCTGCAAGAAAATATAAATACAGGGGGCAAGATACTCGAAAACTGCGCTTCTTCTATCTTTTATTTGAGAATATCACGGGTTTTGTTTCCGGGATTTTACTTGCACAGGACAATTGTACGCCCGAATCTCCTCAACCTTTAGTAAATAATATTTCTGTTTCACTGTTTCACTATACCATTCGCCTGTAACCGGAAAGTCGATCGTTATTCGCCATAATCGCCAAAAGTGCAATTTTCTTCCCAATAGAGACTCTATCTTAACCCAGGTCTCTTACATACAACTCTTGCACTCTATGCTTCGACGGGCCGCTGGAAATTCTATATATTTTATGTCCTGAGGAGATTCCGTAGTTTCGCTCGGTCTCGTTGGTGAGAAATCCATGAATTTGTGTTTGAAGATAGATTATTTCGAGTTGCCTAAATACGGCTGCGTGGGAGGCATCAACGGTCTCGTTAAGGGAGGCATCTTGTTGGCGATTTGATTTAGAAAAGGGGCGAAGAAGAAAAAGAAGGAGAAAAAAAGAAAAGAAAATTGTTGAAAAGAAAAGAAAAACCAAAAGGGTGGGTGGAAGACCATTTCAACTTGTGTAATCCGCTGGCCCCAGATCTTTGCTTCCGTTCAAGGCGATCAGGTTTATGGCCATTTGAGCCGCCGAGAATTCGCTTTGTTTGTTGGGGTCACCGGATGATTACAGTCACTGTAGCTCGACGCTAGTGGGTATAGTGGCACGATCGCTTGAGACTAGCATTCAACCAATGCTTTAGTGGCCGTTATAAGTCACCAAATAGTGCAACCGACAGTTCTCACCGAGGGCTTACATAAAATCACACAATAATTATCGTCATGTTATCATAGCTTTGGGCTTGAACAGCCGGATAACGCTTTGTGGTGATGTAATTTTCTTTTCGAAAGACATACCGGGTTCAATTGTGTGATAACTATTGCAACAAGTTTCGAGCTGGGTCTTTGAGTAGGCAATATGTGCCGCACGTATCTGTTCTCATCGTCGCCGAATCTCGATCGGCGTCTTTCCATAACCTAAGTCATTGTGAATGTATATCGACACAAATCGAAGGTTCCAGAAAATGTGGTCTCAGGAGCCTTAGAGTGTGTTTGGCCTCCAAGATTACTATGAGTCACCCTGAGAAGATTGCAGTTCGTGATCCTGATTCAACTCAAATTGGAAGTACTCTTGGCTTACCATCCGATACGGGTTTCCAGGGTTTGAAATCCAGATGATCCGAGTCATTGCTGGGTCAATTGACGAAGACTCAAGAAGGCCTTTGGGGATGCACTTTAATCTACCTCTACTATAACTTTCACTGCCCCCTTTTGCCTTTGGAGATTCCTAGACTATGATATCTTAGGGTTTTGTGGCCTACTATGCACAATCCTTGCTAGGGCTCATGAAAAATAAACAGATGTAAATCTTAAGTGAACGTTGTAATTATGATGGCGAAATTGAAATTCTCACTTAGTCCACTTAACTCTTACGTTAAAATCCCAACCTAAAATCCCAACCTAAAATCCCAACCTAAAATCCCGTGCGGAATACGCGCATACTAGGTCGGCCGTTATATCTTTAACTTCAACCGGATTAAGTTCCAGCATATATTCTACAACGTAGATCATCTTCTCCTCAATATATAACTGTTGCTCTTTTCCACTTCTCACAATTTCTTTTCCATGAACACTCATACAGAAAGAATAAAAACTGAAATATATCTTATCAATCCACTCATTTGGCATTTGTTTGGCGTTTGTCTTCTCTTCAGCTCTCAAAGCTACCTACCACATGTATCAGCAACAGAAAAACCTTTCACCATCATATGTTTCCGATCGCTATGCCAGACAGTTACATGGGATCAAACATTCCTCCTCTATTTTGGACTCCAGAAAAACCATTTCACACATACCCGGCCGTAATCCAATTCATTCTGGAAAACCAGTTGTCAGAATGGTGGACTTTCCTAGAGCGAATTTGGAATCCGAGCGATGTGCTTCCTTGGTTCTCTTCCATGCACGCCCTGTCAAAAGGAAACCTCAATATTCCACCAGGGATGATCCTTTCGGCTATTTACGTGGGAGAAGCGAAACTTGCAGAATTGTACTGCGCCGGGACGACGATGCTTCCAAACGTAACCCCAAACCCCTACGATTTCTGGGAAAGAGGAGATGGAAGCGTCTGGAGTATTAGAATGATGAAGGAACATTTTACGAAGCCTATCGGGTTTCGTAGCATTGGTTGGTTGCAGAAGTTTAAACTTGATGTACTTTATTGCCTTGACGACTTGGTCGAATGGTATGAGTTACAGGTACAGGTTTTCTCCAGGACTATGGGCCTCTCACAAAAGTAACTGCAGGGTCCTCTACCTTTTCATTTTGAAATACTTTTGTTTGGAGGTGGAAGATGTATGCTAATGCCTTGTAGTATTGCCTAGCTTCCCAACAATATAATTTTCCGACAATTAATGGGCCCTATGAGGACCTTCTTCCTACCATTCCACTTCACCACATTTGGACAGAAAATCTTGGCCAAGACGATTCAGGATGTTCAATATGCTTCTCAAAGATGGTAAACGTACACGAACACACAAACATGCGCGAGAAGCTCCCATGGGAAATTATGGAAGAAGCCTGGACGAGGTACCTCAAAAAGAAGTCATTTCTTGAAACCCTCCCAAAACAATATCAACTCGGCTGTCCCGAAACCTTGGATTTTTACCACCAGATCATTACGAAAGAGCGCGAAAGACAAACGACCACCGACATGGACAACGAAAATGAATGTGTAGGAGCCGTTCAGACGGAATGCGGACATATCTTCGGTAAAAAGTGTTTAGCGAAATGGATTCAAACCCAGAGCACTTGTCCCATTTGCCGAGCCCATTTGCGCGAGCCAGAAGAACCTCAACAGATGAACTCGACGGAACAAGCATATCTCGAGAGTGAGAGAATGTTTGTGGGTCAGATGATTGTATGTTTGATGGGTATAATCGAGGAAGGTAAACGGGAGGCTTGGACTGAAAGGCGGGAGGAACCGGGGGGGAATAGATTTAGCGACGTGCTGGCTAAGCTGGACTTGTGTCAGCGGGTTGAGGACGGGAGGATAGCGAAATTTGGTTTCTTTTCGGGGGATTTGGCTAAATAGCACATTTTTTAATACCAGCATTTTGGCTTGACGACTTTTCCCAAATACCGTGTTCTATTGAAATCACGCCATTGGTGACGTGGAAAGATGAATGGCTAGTGCTACGAAATTTCGCGCGCTTGAAATGGGTGTTGATTTGGTACCTTCTACTTCTACCCCGAAAGTTACCATTACTCCGCGTTCTTCTCTATCAAGTAAAATAATCCTTACCTGTCTGCCTCGTTTTGGATGTTTTCCACACGGGTCTAGACTCGCTTATAGTTCTAGATTGTCCAAGTTGTACTATAGCTTCTGCTCATACCTCCTCAGTTACTCCCCACCTAAGGCTCCTGTAGGTATTTGAAATTTCTAGCGTACGAACAAACTACTTAATAACTCGAGTACTACTTATGTTATTCAAGTTAAATTCGACTACTTAAGTAGTACTTAAGTAATTTACTTTGAATGGTATAAAGTATAAAACAATTTTCCTATAGAATAAATTATTAAAGTGGTGGGGGGGGGATAATATTAACCCTTAGCTAAATAACCGCTTGCTAGAAGCACTTTTTGGTAGAATTTAAAGAAGGGCGGCTACGCGCGAGCGATCGGCCTGGACGCCCGGCGCTCGGCTCGGCCCACTCCGTACTACTCATGTAGTACTTAACTTAACTCGATTACTTACAGTAGCGAATTAAGTTTATTAGGTACTACTACTCAACTCAACTCAACTCATTTCGAACGCTTGAAATTTTCGATTTCCTATCTTTTCCGAAGTAAGACTTACCAGAAGTAAAACAACAATTATCCATCCAGTTCGACCTATTTACGTTTGTGGTATACACAAGTATCTAAAGAAAGAGGGTAGACAGTCAAGCCGGACACCGTCCAGACAAACATCACGGCTCTGCGCCGATTCTCAGCAAAAACCAGCGAATCTAATCAGACACTCAGATCTAGCAATCTAGATGTTCTCATATTTAATGTGCGCGACAATATCAATCCAACCTTTAAATGTCCACCCTCTTTACTTCAACAGCGGATTCCCCCCAACAACCAATCCGTAACTCATCCAAATCGTACTCCAACAAATCCCTTCAATTCCATACACCCCAAACCTACTATACACCCAATGATTCAATCCCAAAAAAACCACCCGGTCCCACTCCACACTTTCCAGAAAAACCACCGAGTCCCATGCAAACCTAAACATGGGGATTCCACCCCTCGCCGCTCGGGAGCAAATCGGCTCCGCGACAAAAAAAGAAGGACAATTTTTATCTTATGTTGGAGGTAGGCGGTGAGAGGCGCGATGGATACATCCCGAAGTCCGTACTGTACTTCTAGAAGGAATTTACGGAGCACTCCACTCCACCTCCTTACCAACGTTCTACTTCACTTCGTAGAAGTAGGAAGGTTTACATGTTATATTTAGCGGAATAGATTTAGATACTGTAAGAATACAGGTAAGGGGATACGGGATATGTTGAAGTCTCTGGTGCTTACCTTCGTGAAAGTTTACATGTATGTAATGTAGGTACACGAGCTTATCCTTAACCCAAAAGATTAGTTTATTATAATGCTAGTGCCACGACGAATCAGAGAGATAACCTTTACAGCCACATACGGAATGTCACGAATAAAGTGAATAAACCGGGTGGTCTGAGCATTTACATATCTCGTGCCGTAATAGTCTTCATCCTGGATGGCGATCATATAGCGGGCCAAGGATACTTCAGTGTAAAGTATCGTACTTCGCTCTTGAACCAAACCGGAGGGACACAAGGGGAAACGGTACAAACTTTCTTTAACCCTTATCTTTTTACTTCGGTGTCTATTTTGGTGGGTGAGGGACAGATGTGGGTATGTTTTGTTCCTTTACCTTTTTACTTACTTTATTTAAAGAGGTCTTGAGATCCTGTTTTATACTTACCACACCTCTTTACCTCCTACCTAAAATCCAGAACTTAAAACCCCAGAACGACCACCATGCAGTTCTTCTCTACTCTCGCTCTAGCCCTGTTCGCGGGCTCTGCTATGGCTGCTTGCAAACCCGAGGGAGTTTGTAAAGTACGTACCGCAACATTATTACAAAGCCCAACCATCCATCCATCCATCTATCCAAAAAATGAAGTAAAAAAAACTATCACCACCCAGGACCTGATCACCGAACAACCACACCGATATTCAATAAGTCGTTCCCATCCCCATCCCCAGACCCGAACCCCTTCATCTTTTCCCCTCCTACAGCTCTTCCGGAGTACAATATCAAATAAAAGAGAATGACTAACGAGATACCTCTACCGTAGTGCTCCAGCGGAAGCCATACGCCAGGAAATGATAAGACGGGGAGGTGCACGCAGATTGAGATTACGAATGGGCAGTACAAGTGGTGTGTAAGTATTTTTCTGCGATTCTTGTGGTGGGTGTTTGGTGTTGATGGCTTTGTAGTGCAGCTTTTAGGTGGAAAGGGAGTGGGGGGGGAGAAGAATTGGATGGGGAATGTGGTGATGGAAAAAATAGACTTGAGTAATACGAGTTGGTATGCAAATTTCGGTTGTTTGTGTGGTGTGAGGATGAGATGTGAATTCTGTTCGATGTTGTCCTACTTTTTACTTGACCTTGGTCCTTGAGATTTTAGGGTGTTTGCTGATTGCAGTTTGGAATGTGGAGTTGGGGTTTACTGGGAGGAGAGGATTTGAATGATCCTGGGGTTTGGTGTAAGTTGGAATAGGCGGCTTAAGAAGTGATATATGAAACCTTGGAGGATTTAAAGTATGCTCTTTCGTCGTAATATTCTTTGCTTTTCTTGGACCCTATGAAAACGTCTTGTGGGTTTTCACTTGCTCCTCCTCAGCTGCTGTGGATGTACTGTAGGTTACCAGCAAAGTGGTGAACTGGATGGCTAGCGAGGCAAGTTGTTTTAGTGGCCGCATCATTTTATTCAAAAAGCGCGAAATGTGTTGACACGGACTGATTACCATTAAAAGCAGCCTAAGACTTTCTCTCCAACTCTCGAATAGGTCAAAATCCAGGTCACTTGGTAAGATGGCTTCTGCGCCTAGTCCAAGTGACAGCTTGGACTGCAGTAGAAAAGTTCAGGATTCACTCAGACTCACGTCAGAAATTCTTCCTCCATACAAAAGTCAATCCAGCTAAATGTTTCAGTTCATGGAGCGACCCCGCGATGGGAATGCCATTCTGGAACATAAATCTGTGGTAATTCGTCTTCGAGAAGCATCACGAGCGTCCACCTACGCGGTTCTCCACATGACTAGCAGTCCACCCGCCACCACCGTCAAACTTAGCAACTGGTTCGCAAATGTCAACATCAACACCGCCTTACTGAAATACAACGTGTTTTGATGTCGGCTACGCGTCTCTGTGCAATCAATCAAATTAAATCTGAGTCTGGGGGCTGACTGAGATATAAAACGATGGCAAATGACGCAGTTGTATTACCTACGAAACAGATGGTATCAGCCAACGGGATCACCAACTCGACACTCCCGGATCGACCACACCACATGGAAATGCGCCGTCGCCGAGAGTCGCGTGCAGCTCTTTCGTATTCTCAATAAGAAGCGCCTTTTCTGTGACCTCTTTTGAGTGAGAATCTGACTACTGTGCGATCACAGTGCTCGCACGTGGTGATCTGATTCGTTGATGACTTTTCCACGCTGGGCTGAGACATGGCGCAGAGTACCTTGATGGGCGTGAGGGTGAGTCCACGAAGCCGATTCTGGTTGACTCAAATATGGCGAAGTCGCCATCAGAATGTATACTTTGAGTGTATACTTTGCTCTGGTCGCTGAGCAGGTGGTTCATCAAAGAGTTTCAGAGAAAAGGTTGCTGCATCTCCACTGACCGTTGTATTGCATCTCCACTGACCGTGGTATTGCACCTTCACAATCCAATCCCATCCCACCTGCTCCCCGTGGCAGGTACGTACGGTCTGCACTGTACACTCATCGCCAGCGTCCACCAGGCCGACCGAGGGCTTGCCATAAAGTTCTCTCCACAGAATCTCTCATCTCCTTCAAGATCCTCTGTATATCCCCCTAGACTGTTTTTTATTCTTTCACTTTCTCCCTCCCAAATTGTGCAAGCATGCGTGCGAGGGCAATATATCTAGCTCTGGCTTTCCTCCAGATCTCACATGCAAAGCCTGTCGCTGTCGGATCCAACAAGGAACCGCTGCAAACGCCATTGGAGGACCTGACAGTACCACACCACCGCCTGCACGCCTCGCGACGATTGCACGGCAAATTCCTCCATATAACCGGTATGCGGGATTATTGAGCCTCCCTCAAGATCAAGATCTCTTATCGGTATGCAATGCTAATCAGATATCAGATTTACATCCAGATCCCCACTACAAATCCCATTCTTCGACCGGCGAAGACGACGCCTGCCATCGTGGGAAAGGTCATGCAGGTACCTTTGGTGCTGAAACCACCGATTGCGACAGCCCTTACGCTCTGATCAATTCAACCTTCAAATGGATCGCAGAGAATATCAAAGACGAGCTGGATTTCGTGGTATGGACGGGCGACTCGGCGCGACATGATAGCGATGAGAAGATTTCGCGGACGGCAAAAGAGGTCTTGGATACCAATACATGGGTTGCGCAGAAATTTTCAGAAACCTTCAGCGCCCACGACGATCCGCAGAATGCCTTATCGATTCCTATCGTCTCGACGTTTGGAAACAACGACATCCTTCCTCACAATATCCTTCTTTCCGGGCCCAATAAATGGTTGAAGGCGTACACTGGTATCTGGGACAAGTTCATACCAGAGGAACAGAGACATGGCTTTCAAAGAGGTGGATGGTATTACGTGGAAGTGATACCGAAAAAGTTGGCTGTCTTCAGTTTGAACACTCTCTACTTTTTCAAGAACAATGCGGGTGTAGATGGGTGCGCGCTCAGGTCTGAACCAGGATTTGAACATTTCGAATGGCTGCGGATTCAACTACAATTTATTCGCGAACGTGGAATGAAGGCAATTTTGATCGGACATGTTCCTCCGGCTCGAACGGAGAGTAAGGAGCTTTGGGATGAGACATGCTGGCAAAAATACATCCTCTGGCTTCAACAATATCGGGATGTCATTGTGGGAGGGCTGTACGGCCATATGAACATCGATCATTTCATGTTGCACGATACCAAAGAGATAAAACTGCTTGCAGAGGAGACATTGTCTTCCGACGGACTGGATCGAGTGATCATGGAAGATGAACTTAATATTCAGTCTGCAAACGATTATCTCGAAGAGCTCCGCCAAGATTGGTCAGATTTGCCAAATCCTGCTTCTCTTCTGAAAGACCCAAATCATGGAGATAGCCAAAAGAAGAAGGGTAAGAAGAGTGAAAAGGACAAGCTTCTTGACAAGATTGGTGGCCAATGGGGTGAAAGGTTTCACGTTACAAACGTTGGCCCTAGCATCGTCCCAAATTATTTCCCTACCTTACGAATCATCGAGTACAACATCACTGGACTCGAAGAGACTCCAAGTTGGGCTGATGTGAAGTATTTTGCGGATCCCGAATCGGTGTCGGATTTTATAGATGATTCACACAATTCTCTGGACCACGAGGACGATTTTGTTTCCATGAAAGAAACTGCACTCGAATCTGAGAATCTATCTGACGACTCAAGAATTACAAAAAGGAAGAAGAAACATGGGAAGAAGCCCAAGAAGCCTGACTTTACAGTCCCCTTACCGCCTTCCAAATCCTCACCCCCAGGACCAGCCCATTCCCCTCAAAGTCTGACTATGCTTGGTTATACCCAATATTTCGCAAATCTTACTCACATCAACAATCTGCAACTCTCGTCTTTAGACAATGACGACGACGTCGACCAAGAAAGATGGCGCGAGGGCAAACACAAGGGCGAACGTCTAGATGGGAAGAGTCCCTCTCCAAAAACCTTCAAATACGAGCCTGAATACGACACTTTCAATGATTCTATATATAAAATGAAAGACATGACTGTGCGAAGCTATCTTCGTCTAGCTCATAGAATTGGGAGATATAAACCCGAAAAGGGGGATTCGATAGACGATCTCGGTGGATTTGAGGATGTTGTAGATGAAGATTGTAGACTCGACGAGGAGGCTGATAGCGAAGACGAAGAAGACGAGCAAGATCAAGATTTCGACACGGAGAAAGAGAAGAAGAAACACAAGAAGCATAGGAAGAAGAAGCATCACCGTCGTCACGAGAAGAATAAAGTCTGGTTGGCATTCGTACAGCGTGCATTCGTGGGGACGCTGGAGCAAGAGGAACTGCGTGGTTTCGAGACGGGCAGTTCACTCGAGGATGCTACTCATAATTCGGTGTTTGTCAAGCATGATGGGGAGTTGTGAGTCTTAGCTAGGAAGGGACATTGAAAAGGAGTTTTTGGTTGAGGCATTTCTTTTTGCCTTGTTGCTTTCTTTCTTTCTTTCTTTCTTTCTTTGCATGGTTTGTATGGCGTAGAGGGCATTTGGATGGATTGGCTTGGTGGGATGGAATTGGATTGGATTGGATTGGAATGATACCGTGGGCTCTCTTTATACCGTATCGCCGGCTTTGCGGCGCGGTGTTTGTTTTTGTAGAATGAATGATTGATTGATTGACTGATTGTTTGGATCTCCCTTGAAGTATCTCTTTTTTAACCTCGTTCATGAGTCGTGTTTTACTTAGCTATTCGGCTACGACTTGTAGGTAATTTTAGATATAGAATGGAATGGGGGATACTTAGTATTTACGTAGATAGGTTGATAGGTACGGGGTGTTGATTATAATATAGAAGAGAGAGAGAGAGAGAGAGATGTGTGTTGTTGAAAGAGCTCACTTGGTGGAACGGAGTTCTTGATTTGCCTAACTTGATTCATTAATGAGGTATCTTTTTTTCTTCTTCTTGTTGTTGTTGTTTGGGGTAAGGTGGTTCTTTTAGCGAGAGGGGTTGGAAAATGGAGGGATATGGGGGATTATATTGTATTGCATTGTTTATTAAGATGTTTTCTTGCTATTGATCCACATGGCTCAGATGTACGTGCAACCGAGCTCACGGAGGCGTAACCCTACTTTTTTTTTATAAAAAAACTCGAGTGATTTTAGTAAGTCTGAACGAGTGTATACTTAAGTATATACTTTAGTAAGATATTGTTTGGCTTAAATAAGGAAATTTTATAACCGATTTTTATAAATAATGGTTTTTACTCTTCTATAATATATATAGTGTCTTTATTAGTAGGATATATAAGTGCGGGTTATGTGAGGGGGTATATAAGGGAGTATGTATAAAGAAGTAAGTAGTAATAATATTAAGTATACTAAGCGAGTTCAGAGAGTATGCATGTTAGATTAGGATTTTCGCGTATCGCTAGGTTTATATAGTGTACTCGAGTTAAGGCTAGATTTTATATTCGGACAAGTACCTTTATTTTACATCCTATTACGAGCTAAACGTTCCTATACTTAGATTATTTACTTAGAGTATGCACTTATATTTTATATAGTGTACCCCGGTACAAGGCCCGAGCTAAACAGGCCCTAGCTAAACGGGCCCTTATATAATTAACATTCTCTACTCAGAATTTCCTAGATTTCCATCCAATCCTCTACCCCCTTCCACCCCCTCACCTTGACAACTCACCCCGTAAAAAAACTCAAAGCCCCCTCATCACCTAACCCCAGACTCCCCAGATCCCAATTTCTTTCTACCGTCGCCATCTGCGAGTAATGCGTGTACGCCTTGCTATCGCTGGTTCCCTTTTGGGAAGTCGGGATTACGTCCCCGAGGAGAAGGGCGAGGACCCGGTTGGCGGCAGTGTAGGATTCGGTTTCGTCGAAGGCTGGGGGTTGTTGGTTTGGTTTGTTTGTAAAAATGGGGGGATGGGGTGGAAGAGAGGGGATGAGAGGGGAGGGGGGAGGTAACTTACTGACTAGCACTAGCGTCCCATCCATGAATTTGGGGTTCTTGAGGAGAGGATCGAGAAGATCTCGTGTCCATTTTCCGGCGACGGTTACGCTGGTGTCGTGGCCGTCGGAGGCTGTGGTTGTTTACATATTATTAGAATCGTGATTCTCCTCGCTTACAAGTTCATATCAACAAAGATGATTATGAGGGAAAGGGAGGAGAGAGAGAGGAGAAATGACAACGAACTCATATTGGGAGTTATGAATAACCACTGTGGGAGTTTATCCGCTTCCAGATCCCGTTCGAACATGGTGAAGTTCTTGATTTTGGCGAGGCGGTTGGGGTCGGTGGTTATGGAGTCGTAGCTTATGAGGGGGCTGGATGGGTGGTGTTAGGACTTATTTATTTCCTCTGTTATTGAGATGAGATGAAAAGGAAGGGGAAGGGAAAGGGGAAATTTACTTATGCTTCCTAACATAATCGTTCCGTCCATTCTTCTGATTCACCCACGCATTCCCTTCGAACCCACTATACGGCATATCTTCCTGGTACTCACTCCAACTCACTCCCTTCGCATCCAGTAGATCTACGATCGTCTTTGCGGACGGGCTGATTCGGGTGAAGGAGTCACCTGTGACGCCATTTAGAGCTGGAATATCTGGTTAGCATTTCCCCTGCTTGGGAAGGGGATGGATGTGGGGTTTATAGATGGTAGATGGTAGATGGGTAGACATACACCCGCCAACAGCACCAACATAGTTCCCTTGCGAGGGGTGTGTAAGCGCCTTATAATTCGTGAGCGTTATCCCTTGCGAGGCGAGGTATTTGAAGTTCGCTAAATGTAATTATATCTATCAGTCAAGTAATCTACTCGCTATACTCCCCCCAAGTTTAAACCACCTCGAAATCATCTCTTTCTCATAGTAGTTCTAGATTTGCAAACGGAATAAAAAGAAAACATACGATCCCCAGCCGCGATAGCAAAATCCGTATTCTCACACCAAATCGTGACGAAACGGTTGAAACTCCTCCCCTGCACATTCGACGTCGGACTCAGTGTCAGGGCCGTCGCCCTAGCCTTCTCGACTGCTGCGGGGGCTGTGGCCGTGTATTGTGTTTGTGCGCTTACGTATACACTTCCGAGAAGGAGGGAGAGGAGGATGGAGATGTACATCGTGACGAATTTATTTTCCTTATATTGTGAGGGACGGGGTGCTATGGTGTTGATACAGTGAACGTGGAGAGTACTTAGACCACAGCTGAACGGACGGAGACTGCGATTACATCAAGACTTTATTCTAGATGTGCACTAGGTCTCTGCACCAGTATCCACATCTCGCCATCTTTGTCTTCACTTGGTAGGTGAATAAACCCCTCAACTTTTCGAGTAGTGTTAATATATCGTATGCAATCGCTATCGTGGGAGTACCTCTAACGTCGATGGCTCCGAGAGGAACGTGCCAAGTGATTGGTTGGAGTTCTTCGTGACTGCCGGCTGTGAATGCACCTGCCCTGCATCCCCCGCGCCTTCCAGATTCGTCATCGGTGTTGGCGCTAATGCTAGTTGTGCAGATGTGACTTTGTGGTTTGATGGCTTTGGTTGGAATCCAGATCGTGTTGATGCAGTACAGGTATCTGCCGCTCTGGGTTGATGATGCTGGATCGGGATGTAAATAGAGGTTAGATTCCTGTGAGGTACGTGAGGGATATACCAAGTAGGCATTCGCGGGACGGAAGAGCGAAGGCACTGGACTGGTTAAATGTGGATAAAGCAGGGAAGAGAAGGCTGTTTCATTCGAGATCTTTGCATGGTTGAGAGAGGAGGTGCTATTAGAATTTTTGTTTGGGGGGATGTTATACTGATGTGTTGTACCCATGTTAATAAACTTACTAGCTACTTTTGGTCCCATAACCTCTACCGCAAGCTACCTACCTACCCAGTTCCTTCCTGTTGAAAAAGTCGTCCTTGAAGAGCATTGGTGGATTCGATATATTCTCGAATAGCCGGTTGTTCTTTTGTCATTGGGTTATCCCCGTTAGCTTTGCATCTTCGTCTTCCCGGTATCTCGCTTCTGGGCAGGACTACGCTTCAAGCGAGGCGATAGGCGATGATTTGATAACTACAGGTGAAATCTCTGCCGATTTCATGGCTCAAGAATCAAGAGAGTTTCAAGCAGTTTTGGCTGTAAGAGCATGATAAATAACAACAGTGGAAATACCTACCTATTCCTCCTATTGTGATATTTGCGGTATTGGGAGTCGCTTCGTCGGTGGTATCGTATATATCATCAGCAGTTGTAACTTGTATCATTCGCGCTATCGGTATATGAGATATTGGGCGGTAACATCTTTGGTGGGGATTCTGGAAGAGGTCGTCATCAGATGGCTTTCACATACCAGCACGAGTGGGAGAGTTGTCGCCTTGACAAGTCTTCCCCAGCACTCTTTAACAAAATCTTCCAGGAAACAGTAGCTGCTTGATTGGGCGCACTTACTATATTTAATAACAGACCCGATAGTTTCCCACTTTCTAATCCGAGCTTGTAATATAATCGAACTTTATATTTTAAAGATAATAGTAAATTCTATAATTCGTTCTATTATATATAATTTACTTGACGAACTTAGTTATTTAATTACTTTAGTTTAGACTACTTAACACCTTTAACGTACTTCATAAGGAGTCCGGATTTATAAGCAGTCCGGATTTTTTACCCCACCATCCAACTTTTAAAAACCATAGAACTTTAACCACTTAATATTTATTTATATAAACTATACTATCTTTCTTATTCTCGATCTGGGCACCTAGGAGCAGTATGCGCTAGTGATCTACATATACTACAGGTTCGTGGTGCACGAATTCGTGGTTCAATTAGCGGGGCCACAGCTTCATCCAAAACCATATTATCACTATTTTGAATAAGTTCCCTCCCTTCCTGATCTGTAAGAACACCCCCAGTAGCAATATATTGACGTCGCACAGTCTTCTTCTTCTTTTGACGTTCAGATTCAGCTCGTAAACGTCGATTTTCCTCTGCCAAAACCGTAGCTGATTGCATAGCCATCTTACACCCTTTAACCAATTGATCTAATGCAATAGCAGTAGGGCTTGAGAGAACGTTTGTACGTCGTTTAATAGATGCTTTAATTGTCTGGGTTTGCTGATCTGCCTCATATGTATTATGGGGTGTCTCAGGGACCCAAGGTAGTAGGTTTGGAGAAAGTAAAGGAGGAGTAGGCGTATGTAATTGAGTATGTAATTTACTCAATACTTGATCTGGGTTGTACGGGACAAGGCCAGTAGTTGCGAATCCATTACAGATTGTGTTTTTGACCATAGTACTTGTACGGGCTACACGATATATTGAAAGGAAGTCTGGTTTATCGATATGATATGTGCCGGCTCGTACTAGCTCCTCGACTCCTCGTCCATAAAGTCGCTTTAAAACTGCAAAGCAACTAACATCTAATGGCTGTAAAAGATGAGATGAGTGCGGTGGCATACAAAGCGTTATGATGTTATGTTCTGAACAGAAAAGATCGAATTCGGGAGTAGAATGACTACCATGGCCATCGAGGATTAAAAGTCGATATACTCCTTTTACACGGTCCTTGGTATATTTCTCAAATACGTCTGAAAGCCACTTAAGACCTAAGGAATCATTGGTCCACCCTTTATCACTAAGTGCAATTGTCCAATCTGCTGGTAATTGATCTGTATACCAAGTCGATATATGCACCTTGCCCTCAAATATAACCATTGGAGGCAACACCCATCCATCTGCACAAATTGATTCGACAACTGTAACCCATTCGCGATTCCCTGGTTGTATATGAATAGCCCGTCCTGTATATTCTGACCCTGTAACAACTTTTGCGGTCGCAATTACTCCCATCTGAAAGCCAGTCTCGTCGAAATTGTATATATCCTCCGCTAGTATACCATATTTCGCAACAATATTATGTACTAATCGAAACCAATCTCGGATAATCGTAGGATCCTCGCATTTTGCGCGCTTATAGTCGTATTTACGAGTGTATTTCGTCCGTAAAGAGTCGTGGCGCTTTATAAAGTTGTCAACCCAGCATTTTCCGACAATAATTCGACCTACTCCAGTTCGCTTTTCCAGTAGTAAATCGGCCATTTGGCGTATCGAATCTTTCCGTACTGGCAGACCTCTAGCTTCCATTGATAACATCCATTGTATAAGTGCTGATTCCTCGAGGTCGGTGAGTTTCTGGTTTCGGGGTCGGAAATCGCGTTGTGGAATAGCTCCCTTGACGCGGTCGTAAGTAGTAGAATATGGCGCATCGTACCTTGTACAAGCTGCTTTTAAGCTTGTAAATTGACCCTTATTGTATGCACTGATTGCAAGAGCAATTTGACCTTCTTTTCGAGACATTTGAACAATAATTGGGTAAGTTATGTAGATTGAAAGTGTGTAGGGTGGTCAATGGTGGGGTAAAAAATCCGGACTGCTTATAAATCCGGACTCCTTATGAAGTACGTTACTTATTACATCTTTCGCGTAAGCTTTAGGTTTCTAATAGAATAATAGAAAAGTAGTGAAATAGATATAGAAGATAGAAGGAACCTCTATATCTAAGGTGATATTTCATGCTATAACCATTACCTAGGTAACCTAACAGGTGGTATCAGAGTTGTAAATTCCAATAAAAATCCATTGCTATATTTTAGTTCTCTGTTTGAACGTTCGTAACTTCATTTGTAGACGTGAATATTCCTCTCAACTCCGATAAGCGCACAAGAAAAGCAACATATCTGTCTACCAATCTATTTCTCCGTAATTCCAGCGATTTCAGCCATAATTTCATGCGTTCATATACCCATGAAGCCATCCATAGGTCGATGTTGAGCCGTCCATCGATCCTTCCACTACTCCTCCACCACAACTTAATCCATACTCTTGGTAACCATGTCGAAAATAGCTCTTTCCTCGTATGTTGGGCGTGATGTATCGATCTTAGGCTGGTCTGTACGACGAACCAATTTGAACAACAAGTACTTTCCGGAGGCGTGCTTCTGTTCTCTCTCCTCGAACGACTTTACGTCGTATAGTCCATCATAACGAAAACCGGCTTTGGGTACGTCTTTCCATTGTCCTGTATGTTTGCGAATAACACGGACTGGCTGTTTGGTACGTATTGACTTGATCAAAGCAAGTGTGCCCTTCTTGGCCTTTGGTTCAACGTTATCAGAGGCAGTGTTGTGTGCACTGGCATCAGCGTAGTAAATAGTATGTCCATAGTCCTTGTTCTCTTTATAATCAATCGCCAAGCATGTTGCTATAACAGCCAGAAAGTCCTGTGCCACAAATGCCACCTTGTGCTTCACCTGTGAGTTGTTAGTAAATATACCTTGACCATTAAAGCAGAGTTCAAGACATACCATGAGCTCCATCTCTGTTAAGACAAAGCATGAGAGGCCAGCAATCTCCAACGACCAAATCATTGTGCCCAAATTTATGCGCATCGGGCTTGTTGTATTCTGGATCGATCGAATATGTTGTTCTTTTCTCGGTCTTGTACTTTTTCATGCCATGCATGATTCTACCTGATCCCCAATGAACAGCCTCGGCACGATGAGGTACATGATACCTTAAAATCTTCTTCTTTGCGACGAGGCTATCTTGTGTTGGTGATTTTCTCTTCAACGACTGCTTTGCTGGTTCAGCTTCAACGACAACCTCTTCTACTTTGCCCCAATTGATTGCTGCGAACTCGAGTAGTAGGCTTTCCGCAATCATTCTGTAGACGTCAGGGAGATTGTGTTCTGGATTGGCGATAAACGCTAGAAAGTTCTTCGCGTTCCACTCCGATCTACACACCCGTTAGCTAAAACACTAAGTAGGTCCGGGAAGACACGTACACAACCTGTTCCGACATATCCCGGTTTGCCAAATTCTACAAAAAGCAGGCTAGTTGTTTGGTCTGTTCGGCAGTGACCTTGGAAGAACGCCCCTTTTTGTATAGCAAGAAGACGTTTCTGAGGGACTTTTCGTCAAAGGGAACCGCAGCAGGATTTTCGTAGTCCTTGACCAGCTCCGCGAGAGCTGGTCTTGGATCGAAATCTTCTGCGAGAGGCGCTTGGGGGCTCGGGGAGGACATTGTGGTGGAAATGCTATAGATTGGTATGAGAATCAGTATGTAAATCGCGTTTTGGTGGTATCGAAGAGGAGAAAGTGAAGGTCGACCAAGTGAGGTGTGAAGTCCTTTCAATAGGGCAGGAGCGCAGGTGACAATCAAAGTATTCGCAGAGCCTGCTTCCTTGTATAGGGTCCGTTGTATTATGCTCGGTAGAAGTCTTGAAAGAACAAATCGATTGAAAGACCTTGCGCAAGTGCCTAATTCAATTGTCTATTCATGCAACCCTATCCCTAGAAAGGGTTAGGACAAGAATGGTGTTGTATGAGGCTGCGCAGCACTGAATTTAGATGTCAATGTTGGGCAATGTAGGAATTACGAGGATCGCAACTTCCAAAGCTGGAAACCTGAGAAGGTCTGTGCACCAGCAATTCCAACTGATCTAGAACCTATTTGTACTTGACTTCTGTATTGGAAATCCATAAGTAACTCTGTGTTGTTTACTTACAACTTATTTCTAGAGTGATGATTACTTCTGGATTTGACAGCGTTGGTTCGCTAAATGAGGGAAGACCCCTTTATCTTCACACCAGGGCGGTGACAGGTGAGCGTAAAGCTGAAGCAACTTAACCACACCCAAATACAACTAATTGGTAGAAGAATTTCTTGTCGCCTGGATGTTGTTGACAAGGGTTTTGTTTATCTATAACGTGTGATAATTTGTGACGAAACCGGTATCTAACTAACTAAAGGTATCGAGTTCGACTGTTGGTATGCGGGAAAGAAGACAACTATCAGGTCGTGTGTTTACTCAAAGGTAAACTCGTCACTTGTACAAAGTAGTCAAGACAGCAAAGGGATTGAATGCAATGTAAACTAAGTTGAGCACGAAGCTCCTATCTAGTGGCAGAAGTGCCAGTCTTATATAGAACCTTCGTCTCTCCTGGAGCTTGGAGGGAGCCCAAGATCCTCAAGCTCCAACCAAAGCTCCTGCAAGCTCCAATGGTCATGTGACCATATCACGTGATACCATCCAAGTGAAATCCCTGGATCGCGTAGCTAGCCCAAACGATCCCATTTGCTATAAGAGTATTCAATAGTGCTTGACCTGCCAGGACGCCGCCTGGTCTTCACTCGTCACGTGCAAACTCGTGACGAGTGACATAATTACGCTTAGACTGTCACGAATCACGCGCTCACGTGATACTTGTCATAATAAAGAGGCGCAACCCTCGACAGGCACATCCAGGTTTCTTATAGCAAATAGGGATGCTTAGATTAGCTAAGCGATCCAGGGATTTCTCGTGTATGTAGTCTCGTGATCGATCGCATCGCCCGTATCGACAGTCGATGTTAGCGATAGGAGGTCGACTACATCGACAGGTGATGTAGGCGATGTAGAGAGAACGAAGGTTCTATATAAGACTGGCACGTCTGCCATTAGATAGGAGCTTCGTGCTCAACTTAGTTATCAATCTTATCATATTAGTTTGACATCTTTGATACAAGTAACGAGTTCACTTCCAAGTGAACAACCCGATAGTCTTCTTCTTATCATAGTATACCAACCAGCGAACACCCAGCCAAGTTTAGTTAGCCTGTTTGAGTATTCGTTACACCTTAGGTAGTAGCTCTAATATAGAGTCTTCTTAATAAAAAAATATAGCTGCTAGTAAATGGTTTAAGGCATCGAGTCTTAACAGTCTTTTTTCTTTCTTTACTACTAAGTGCTAGTGCACATAGAGCAGGTACTTATAGGAATATTATATGCGACCCCGCTTAGCTTAACCAGGGCCCTGGTGATGCTGCCTTGGAAGTGGCGATATTCGACACGTGAACGCGCGACAATATGGCGATTCAACAATCCTATCGCGACAAGGATGTAATAAGAAACTGCAGGAAACGCGGGGCACGACCTATCAAATACTTGACAGTTTCCCGCTACAGTACTTATGCGCCGAGCTCCGTTTGCTTTTCATAAGTCTGCCTATTTTGGCAGGGATAGAAAATTGGTGTTGCGTCACGTAGACGGGTAGCAACCGCGATGGCTTTTCGTCGCAGTGGCTTATCTCCTTCATGCAAGGGATGTTTCTGATTTTTGATTATTGATCTCTGGAATCCCGTTTTGGAGCTCCTAGACAATCTTTTCTTTTTGTCCTTTAGTCCTTGAGCGGTTCCAGGCGGATTCCCGGACATGCACGGTGCGGGGTATCGGACCCCCGTGTCACGAATCACGTGTTACCACGGGAGATAGTGAAGACCAGGCGGCGCCCTGACAGGTCGAGCATTATCATAACTCTTATAGCAGAAGGGGATCCTTAGGCTAGCTAAGCGATCCATGGATTTCGTCGGATTAAAGTACCACGTGACCATGATCGCTTCAGTCGCCTGAGTCGCCTGTCGACTGAAGCGACTGAGGCGAGCGACTAAAGCGATTAGACAGAGAACGAAGGTTCTATATAAGACTGGCACGTCTGCCATTTAGATAGGAGCTTCGTGCTCAACTTAGTTATCAATCTTATCATATTAGTTTGACATCTTTGATACAAGTAACGAGTTCACTTCCAAGTGAACAACCCGATAGTCTTCTTCTTATCATAGCATACCAACCAGCGAACACCCAGCCAAGTTTAGTTAGCCAGTTTGAGTATTCGTTACACCCCGTAACTCTAGAAGTTGTCGCAATATCCACGATGGTTACTCTTGAGATATAATAAACAAGAACTAACCTTTCAACAATTGATTTCCAGATGTCTCTTTTGATATAGGCCGTACTCCTACTTTGCAATCGTAGATTGTTGCGTTTTGTTCAATTGCAATTAAAGTAGGGTCTTGAAGAAGCAGCAGCAATTCAATTCCAAGTACAATTACAGTTTCAATTGTACTTGGATGACTTTGTATTTTTGAACTCGGGTATCTGTAGTATATGAAGCGAGATAATTAGTATTACTCGGTCCAAGTATGTCAGGATACTAACTCTTATTATTGTAGCTGAAATCAGCTATAAGTCGAGTGCGAGAAAAAGGCGACAAAAGAATATTAAGAAAAAGGGTTGGAAAGAGTAAAACGAATGGGGAATCGATTCTTAAATACACTTGTACCCATGCTATTTTGATCAATGCACTCATTTGAGACACTAGCTTGAACCATGCTACTGTAAATTAAACATAATAATGGGTGGGTCTCGGACATGCGCGCCTATGAGAGTAACAGAACCTCCCGCGTTTCAACTGATAAGAATGTTCTGGATACTAACTATTTCGTAACTTACGATTCGACACTTTTCTAATAACAGTTTCGCCATGTAAAAGAAAGCAAAACTTCTTATAAGTATTTAGGAGAAAGTGGCTTTCAAACCTACATAAGCGATTGTTTCCCTGAGCTATACTTGCATATGAAAGATAAATAATACACTACAAGCATATAAATTTCAAGCGATATTCTCACAATCTACTAGAGACTCGAGTAATCTCTTACTTAGGTATGTAGAACCCGGTTTCTGTTTCAATTATACTCCAAGATATTTAGACATAAAAGCTAAACCCTATTAATTCTGAAAATAGTATCCTGTCCACGCCTATAATAGTAGAATACCCGATCAGCGTCTTTTGGAAAGAGATAGAAAGAAATAGAATGAACCTGCAAACCTCCGTAGATCACATGCTCAGAATCAAAATTTCCACTTCCAAAGCTCTCGAGCGTCCCACTTACTGTGTAATCTAAAAGACCAGAACTCCAAGATTCATTCCAATTCCCGAAACTTCCAGATGAAGACCGCTCGATATCTTCATGAAACCACGTGCCCACTCCATCTTTCACGTGAGATGCCATTCATGAGGTGGTTCCAGAAATCCCACAGGTGTCACTAGTTTCACCCCCTCTCCAAACCAAATATTAAAATCTCGCGAGCTAAAAGAAACCAAATTCAGCTGGGCTGAGATCCACGATCCATCCCGAGAACCTCATCACACGACTCACCCAACTCCCCGCCCGGCCCGCACAGGTATTTTTGTGATGACATCCTATCTACTTCGTAAGTGACAACGTCACAACAACCTTAATACGTCAGAAACAAAAAGGTTCGAGGCAGAAATCTTGTTAAATAAGCTCAGTCGTTTGACATGATAACCCCGGAACGAATGGAACCGAAATAAACTTTCAACGGCCAGACGACAAACTATCCGTCCACTTGTCCACTTGTCAACCTCACCCAACCTCACCCAACCTCACCCCACCATCCCTTCATCATGTAAATTTACTGTACGCATACTATTGACTTCACAGGCCTTCATATCCCGGAAGCTATTTTTTTTTGAAATATAGGTACGTAATGTATGATGGTATGTGAAAAGAAAGAAGCTTGGAAAGTGGGTTGATTGATTGGAGGCACACGTTGGATCGTGAATACTGTACGGTGGTGAGGGGTAAAGAGAGGGATGGTTAAATTCTGGGGCAAACTACAAGATGGCCCGAGGCTCACTGAATCAACCCATCAAGAGCGTTACCACTCAGTTTCACGCGGGAAAAGGAAAGGAACAACGGATGGCTACATGAATATCTGTAATATGCTATATATACAGATATGCCAGATCTACTGAAGATACATTCTAAGTCCGAAGTCCCCCACCCCCACAAAACATACATCTCGACTTTTCCATTAAAAATTCATTCTACCCATAAATATGAAAGTCTGTAACAGTAATTATCCCATAAGATCGTCCGACCTCTAAGCTACCACCCGGTCTAAGTATCGCTGCATTAACAAGCAAGTAAGAAATAGACATCCTGTGTACTAGTGACACAAGGCAAGACAGAAGACCGCTTATCTGCGGTTGAAGTTGAGGAATCTCGACTATGGGAAAAATTAGTACATGTTCGAGAAGGTCGTGAGGAAGAACAAAGGGGGTACTTACAGCCAAAAACAAGAAAATCAGATTGCTACCAATAAATGCCGCAAAGATACCCAAGTCTCTCCATCGGTTGTCGAAAGAAAGCAACAGGGTGTTATAGAACTCATCACCAACTTTGTACGAGCAGTACTCACACGCGCTCGTGGCGTTGTTGACAAGGTACCCAGGACCACCGTTAGCGAAGAAGTCCGCCATGTATTCACCACATTGCTGTCCAATTGGCGCAGTGAACCTGTTGAGCTCTTCGCTGGTGCAGACAACGGGCAAATCATGGAGCTCAGTAACGACCATACCACCGACGAGACGAGTGAAAGGGTCGAGATCGTAGAGCCAGGAACGCCAGAACTTGGGCATTGCAGGTTTGGGGATGGTGACACCACAGAAGAGGGCGAATGTGACGATGATGAAGGGGTTCACGAGGGAAGAGATGAATGGCGAGGGGGTCATGGCAGCAACCATCTGTCCAAGGGTAACGGAGAAAATTTCCGTGAGGAGAACCATGAAGAATTGGTAACCTGCTCTGGAGGATTCCGAGCTGAATCCTGGCATGTAGTAAATAGGCAGAAAGAAACCAACGGCGCACAAAATAGAGTACGGCATCTCTGCAACGACCAAGGAGGAAGCGAATGCAAATTGCCCGTACATTTTCGCAGATGCTTCACGATAGAATATCATGCGGGAGAGGGCATATTGTGGTTCAACCTGGGCAAGGATCAAGGCTGGAAGGACGGTAGTTTGGAAGATGACGAAAATACGGTATTGAAGAGAGTTTTTCGAAGAATCGAGATGCAGATATGTCAGACCGGTGATGAGAGCGACGATAATGTGGACGAAGAATCTGGTGAAGCCGTAGTTGGGAGATCGCCAGAAAGCGAGGTTGGTACGCCTTTGGACTGTCTTGAATTGGTGCATGAATGGAGAAGCAAATTCCTTTTCTTCCACATGTGGTTTGTTACCGACCTCGGCAAGTCTTTGGGACTTCAATTGAGAAATAGTGTCCTTGATGTTGGCCAACTCTGGGGAGTCAGCAAAGATTTCAGCCCAGTCTCGATCTCCAACTCTTGCTGCTTGACCAGCGCCTATGGCATCGAGCATGTATTCAGCGGGGTTTGCGTCATGTGGGCATTCAGCACCATGCTTTCTCAAATAATCAAGAAGTACACAAGCGTCCTTTCCAATATCACCAAAGTAAACAGTTCGTCCACCGCGTTGAAGCAAGAGGAGCCGGTCAAAGTTCTCAAACAAAGCAGCGTTAGGTTGGTGGATGGTGCATAGAATTGCCTGTCCAGCGTTTGCCAATTTCTTCAAGAAACGAACGATATTAAAAGCGGATTGAGAGTCTAAACCTGACGTAGGCTCGTCCAAGAACAGCAACAACTCCGGTTTAGCAGCAAGTTCGACACCGATGGTTACCCGTTTCCGTTGTTCAACTGCCAGGCCGGTTTCTGGGTCTCCAATAATCGCGTCGGCAATATCCTCCATCTCCAACAGACTCAGGATTTCCTCAACATAGGCGTATTTCTCGGCTTGAGGTGTTTCAAATGGTTGACGTAAATCGGCGGAGAATCGTAGGGCTTCACGGACGGTTTGTGTGGACTCGTGAACATCTTGTTGTTCAGCATAACTAGTTTGGCGCTGGAATGAGCTCGAAGGTTTCACTCCGTCCACAAGAACATCACCGGAGATGACACCGATACTCTTCCTGGCAGCGAGAACATCCAAGAGCGTTGTTTTACCAGCACCACTGGCGCCCATAAGGGCGGTAAGTTGACCAGGTTTAACATAGCCGTAGATGTTGTTGAGTAAACGCAGTTCTCCCGAAGGTGTAGGAACATCGTAATTCAATCCTTCCCAGGTAAGAACAGCCTTGGACTCAATCTTGATGTCGCTAGAAGATTCTTCAGATTCATTACCCTTGTTCAATCTTCTGGCTTCCTTCTTTGCATGCAGAGCAGCGTTGAGCTCATCACGTTCCTCGTTGGGCTTTTGAAATACTTTAGCAGTGTTTCCACCCTCGTTGAATGTCAGCCACTCGCCGAGAGTGGCGTTGGAGATGAGGAATGCGACTCCGAGTGCAATAACGATTCCGAAGTTTCTCCAGAGATCGCCCTTGTTGAATGAGAAGGATTGTGATATATAATCTACTCCCGAAACAATATTGGTTCCGGTTACAGCACCAGGGAGGGTGCACACCTGGTGGGCAATATCTGTGTAATTGGGTCCCGATGGGACCAAGGATTCAGCCGTGCAAGTAAAGTCAATTCTCCCAAATTCGTTTTCCATCATGGCAGAGAATGCTAATCCGAGTGCATTGATCCAGTAGACCCAGCGGAGCCAGACCTTCTCGTATTGGTATTGGATGAGGTATCCGGAGGTGAGAATGAAGAAAGTGATGATTGTAGCGGCAAACTTGAGAGCATAATCAAAATCGGGGCAGAGACATCCAACAGTTCTGAAAAACAATGTCATCGCAAGATACCCAGCAATGATGTTGATGTAGAATATGAAGAAGGCTCCTGGTGCCAGATAAAGTCCACACATGAAGTACACGATGACGGAGAAAACGAAGATTTGAGCGGATGCGAATAGCGTGTCGACTCCAAGTTGAGCAATCCACAGTGCAGATGGACGGTGGAAAGTGAAGGCCTTATGTTTGTTGACAATTGGACGGCCCAACATGGTACTAGCTAGTTCGGAGAAGGCTGTAAACGCGTTGAAAAGCAAGGCAATGAAGAGCAATCCACCTCTGGTGAACATGCCAGCCGAGGTTTGGGGGAGTTTGAGCCAGACGGTTCCCAGGACGATCGCGATGGTGATACTTGTAATCCAAGCGACGACAAGCGCGAACTTGTCTTGCCACTTTATGAGATATTGTCGCTTCATGAGCATCCATATTTGCATGTAGTATGGGATCGTGAAGACGGATTTCTTGGAGACTCCTGTGCGCTTACCCTCACTGACAGCGACCTTGAAGTCCTCGTGTCTCTGCACGTCTGCGGCGATGGATTGGCGATATTCTGCCATCTCGTCGCGCACACCTTGAGCAATCTTTGACTCGTTCCAGGCTTTAGCCAATGTTTCTGGGGTACTTGGCGCATTGTCTGGCGATCGTCCTGGAGCGTAGTCTCTCTCGAACTCATCGGTACAACCAGTTAAGTAATCTGGAGTAGTTTGTCTTGGCTTCTCCTTGAAGCCCAACCCTTCAAAATAAGCTCTCGCCTCATTCGCTGGCCCAAAGTAAACCTGCCGTCCACTGTCGATGACCATAACCTTGTCGAATTGCTTGTAGATGTTCTCACTTGCCTGGTACAATGAAACAAAAGTCGTGGTCTTGTAGACATTTGTCATGACTCTGAGCGATTTCGCATAATCAAGAGCCGTCGAGGCGTCCAAGCCTCGAGTGGCGTTGTCCCAGGAGAGCACAGTGGCTGATGTACACATCATTTCAGCAATGGAGACACGCTTGCGCTCCCCTCCAGACACACCGCGGACGAATTGGTTGCCCACAATGGTGTTTCTAGTATGCTCAATGTTGAACATTTTCAGGAGTGTAGTTAAGACTTTCTCCTTGAAGTCGGCTGCGCTCATTCCCATGGGTCGCTTACCAGGAACCTTGGTATCAAGCGCGAAGCCCAAAGTTTGCCCAACAGTGAGGGTTGGGTGGTGAATGTCATCCTCCTGGTTGTAAACCGCTTCTCCGCGATATTGCTGCTTGAATTCCTCCGCACTGAATGGTCCGTAGGAAACCTCGCCGTCGACTCCAGTGTAACCAGCTCTTTGGTTGGTGATGACTTTCAAGAAGCTGGTGCAACCGCTCCCAGGTCTTCCCAACACCAAAACCATTTCTCCAGGCTTCATAACACCGCTAAAATCATCCAAAATCTTGACCTCCCTTCCCTTACTTCCGAATCCAAATATTTGCTGCGCCGTCTCCCAAACATTGAAGAAGCTGACAAAGGCATCTGGGAAAACCCTGACAAAGTTGGTTGACCCTCCGTTACCAGAAACGGTGAGACCATCCCAGACGACCCCAATATTCTTGGATCGGATGCCAGCTTCTTCTTCAGCGGCATGATTACCATGGAGAGTAGCTTCGAGGTCGAATTGTTCTCCTTCGCTTTCCGAGCGGGCACTTTCAATATCCTTCTCAGCATCCTTGTTTTTTGCTTGCCGGGACTGCTCTCGGGACAATCTCTTGTTTGTCTGACTGATGCCTGTGAGTTCTCTTCTGAGGGCCGCAAACTCGGCTTCTGAGGCAGCTACATCGACGCCGCTGGTTGTGCTCACAAAGCCATTGGGGTTATTTTGCCGAGCGTTTTCCCTCTGTGCTTCCTGATCGGTGACGGTATCAGTGGAAGTTCTCGCTGTGCTATTGCTTGTTGTGTCGCCTGGTTGGGCCATGTTGAGTGTGTATACGGCGCGGTAGCACCCAGAAAATTAGGTAGGGTGTGTATTAGTCGGCGTAGGGCCAGGCGTGAGTTCCAAGTCCTAGAGGACCGAGAAGGAAGGAGAGGAAGCGGAAGAGGGTGAGAGAGAGATTATTAGTAATGCACGAGAATTAAATGAAGGAATTTCTTGCCCTTTCTCCTCAAGATCTCGGGGCAGATAAAGTATTTACGCGATGTCTGCATCGAGCGTCAACGGCCCAAAATTCGGATTGGCAAGGGGTCCTAGTCTGTGCGTGATGGGGGCAAATCAAACAACTGGAATGCCGTAACCTTCTTTGTGGTGGACTGGTGGATCTCGGACTTTAAATCTGGCGATTGTCCGAATGCACATCTTCAATATACATACAGTAACATACTTCGTACATACGACGATACTCGAGTACCAACCATCGTATCGCAGATGAACATGACGTTGTGTCGATAGCCTTCGAAGCCATGCATGCGCTTGCGCCGGAGTACTTCGAAGTACTTCCAAGTACTTCGTACTTACTGTACTCGAGTACACTAGCTCCCCTACAAACCTTCCTTCCGCCTTCCAACTCCGCCGCCTTCCATTCACATTCATCTTGCCCGCGCAATTGATTGCTAAGATACTTCGAAGTAGTACGGATAAGGGGGTAGCCCAGAAGAAAGCACACCGCACAGTACTCCGTACACTTGCCTTCGTATCATCACGTAGTCTATCCGCAACCCCGTGCTAAAGTATCAGAACGGGTACGGAGACTCTCTAATCTCCAGGGCATTAGTTGTCCAGCAACCCGGGAACTTCTCCCAAGCTCCAGCTGGAGAATTCGGAGGGATCGTTGCCCCCCGACCACCCCACCATGCATATGCAGGGCAAAATGCGCAGGCAGATGCGAATCTTGTTTAGTCATCCATACTCATACAGCAAGCTCATTACCGAGTCATTCGACGAGGGCCCAAGGCGTTCATGCTGTGTTCAGCTAAGACCCTTATTCCAACGCTGTTCATCGTGAGAGGCAGACTGTGTAACCCAAGAGCAAGCGAGCAACAACAACTCCCAGCAAAAGCTGGATGGCAGCCAGTTCTCCGTCTCGGCGCACAAGTTTCGTCCCAGGGATAATTCAATCATAAAAGTTTATTCTACCTTGGCAGTGAGAAAATCAAATTGAAACACATCCTAAGGAGATTGAGATCTGAAAACACCTGCCCTTCACGACCGCCGGTGACTCGGCTTTCCGCGCGTCGGTTGGAAATCAAGCTGTCCCAAGAAAGAAAAAGAAGGTGACAACAGCCAAGACCGGCCCGCTGATCGGCGTGTTTACCCATTGTTTACTTCCACTTAGCTCGTTTCAGTCACGTGTCTGATGCAATCACCCTATCATCAAAGACATAATAGTCCGTACGCCTTTCCACTGCGCTAGCGAACGATGGCCAATCAAAAACTGAGACCGTCGTGTAATATGTAAACTGAGGTACAAGTAGATAAAATCTTTCCCATTAATGTGAGAAATATAGGCCGAGGAATGGCAAGGATCATCGTTCTCGAACCCAATTTTCAGCCCCTGAGGCTGGCACGATTGGCAGCGTATTTAAGACATTTATGCTTATCAAGTTGTTTTCTTTGTAAGCAGGCTGAGTCGTTACCACAGGGACAGCATGGTCGGGAATCCTGTCAGCAATCCTGCGATGACGCTTGATTCAATCAAGGCTCTACACACTCTCCCAAATATGGTTGATATTCATATGTATTTCCATAACTCAGGGTTTTGCCCGCACTATCCGCATGATGCAAGTATTCGACCGCACTTTGCTATCACGAGATTGTAGCATCGAAAACATTTAATTTAGGTCTACCCACGCTCGATCATTCTTTTCCGATCTCGATTCGTCTGGACTTCATGGCGTACATTATTGTCCTGAGGAGTGACGGTATTTTTTCTGGTCTATTGGGAAGCGAGTTTCATGTTAACGCCTCGCACCTCTAAAATATTCTCCTCTGCTTTACCAAAATCCGAAAATATTATTATGATGCGCGAGACCATTAGGTTCTCATAAGAATAGAAACCCTTCATCATTCATCCCGTACATTATCACAACGTTTTATCAAGACGTATTTTCCTCATTCGGACGGTTTAATATTGAAGTCTTACTTTGGTGCTTATCGGAGTATGGTTTCATTCAATAAAGGCAGATGTTCAGTCTTTGGCACCACAACAGTGAATATCGCATGAGAGTATGGGTAATTCCTGAATGATAACATCTCGTCAAGCGCAGAATTGACATAACAATTTAAAACCGATAGGGAAAGAGGATAGATACTAGTGTTAGCCTTAGCCATTACAAAATCTGATTGTGACTATCTCATCATCTATGTAAGGAAATTGGCTTGTTATGAGGAACGTAGAAATGGTTTAGCTAAAGAGATTTTGCAAACCATGCAATAAAAGTAGCCAAAAACAGTTCACTCAGAAAACCATATATACTTTTCGGCCGGAAAAGAGCCATAGATTTCGTTTCTTTAAATTTTAAAAGATGTCGTGGGAGCTGTCGAGAAGTGTGTACTCGCTAGGGCATGAAAAAAGGGGGTTGGTTCAAATTGTGTATTGCTAAGATAATTTCCCTACCACAATCACAATAAAGAATTGAAAGGACGTTCTAAGATGTCGTATTACCAACCTTACGGTAGACATGAAAAATCCAAGCAAACAAGCATAACAAAAGTTAAATCCCACCGGGGGAGGCGGCATTTAGGGAAGTAGATTCCACGAGGTAAAAGCCCCGCAAGCTTAATTTTTATTATTTATGCGTAGGGCGAAGCACCGGTAAATCCACATTCATTTCTTCTAACCCAAAGAGGGAGGACAGTACATTCCCTCCCAGCAATGGCTATAATACGGCTTTAGCCTAATTTTCAGCAAAAGCAGCGAATCAGAGACTTGGATCGGGGGGATATAGACTTTTGTTGTATATGATCTGCGTGACGTGGAGCAGCTTTTAGTTTCTATCCTCTTTAGTGTTCCTTAAAAATTCCGAATTCGTCCAGTCTTGACACGGTCAATATTTCGTAGGGCCCTAATCGGATAGAAATGGAGGATAGGAAAGAATGTACGTCGGTGTGCCCGTCTATTACCAATCAACAAAAACCCACGCACAGAGCAGTTCTGCTATCAGATTTGTAATTTTGTTATGTTTCAGAGTTTTCAGCTTTCACGTCTGGAGTCAGATTTCAACTCGACTGATCATTTGATATATCTTACTGTCTTATTAAATACCACTCGCTTAGTAAGATATTAGTGGAGGACCACTTGGACGAGGATCTTAAGTACTCGTACACTTCCATTCTCTTGATTCAGAACATAATTATCACACGACGTTCTGCACCGGTTAGTTTCCTGTCACTGTATATCACTTGATATCTCAATACCAATACTCACATACGTGAATAACATAAGTCAGGCATCTCTTTCTCGAACTTGGTTTCATCCTTGCTGAGACAACAGAAAGGGCACTAAGAATGTCCAGCACCAAATAGCTGCCTGTGAACTCTTATTTCCCACCAGAATACCGTTCAAAGCTTTATAAAGATGTCGTACATCCAGATTACGGGCAAAATAACCAGTGATGCGACATATTAGAGTCCTGTATCTACTACAAGAGGTACAAAGAAGTTACGAGTGCTACTGGATGGACCAGTCTTTCATTATCAGATTATTAATGTTTCTCATGATATAGCTAGACGAGAATATTTAGGTCAGCCCCTTTGGTGATAGGCTAATAGGAGCAGACATAAAATAGCGAATATAATTTCCAAGAGCATTATATTATTGAGTAAGTGCTATTCTAATTACTCAAATGTGTTGAAGAAAAAATCCATCTTATGCCCTCGATTTTAATGCATCGACAAAAGACATATGTTATTTCCACAAAGCTCAGCAGATCAACTCCAACTTTACTACCGCATGTATTAATCAGCCCAAAAGATGCTGAAGCGGTGCTCAAGTGACCATGCCCTGAAGCAATCATAGTAGGGGCGCTGTAGCTGTTTTGTGGGCTGTCTCAATGAGTAATGAAGATTTAAATTTTACGACCTGAGACACAAGACTGAGTAAGATAGATTCGGAAAATATTTCAACAGTCTTGATTGGTAAAACCATGACGATTATTTGAGGATGTGAGATCTTGCAGGAATAACTAACAGAGAAATGGAAAAAAATCAGGGAAGTAAACAAGTGAACACTAATTGGTGTCATGAATAGTTAGAGTTTCACGATGAATTGACGTTCTATCAGTAGCCGATAACTATAAATGTTAAGAGACGTGTCTTAGTTAGAAGACAGCCATTTCAGAAAATAAGAATATTTGCCGTTCATAAACCTCTCCTGAAAAACAAAAATGGCTTAATACTCTGGCAAAATCCAGTATTACTGGTGGAAAGAGCGAAGGAAATTTAGAGCCTGCCTTAACTTTAAAATACATCTTTATGTCTAGCGCGTTTGCAACCGGAATATCTTATTGGGAGTAGTGTCCAGCAGAAAAGGCGAGGAGTCAAGGAAAGAAGAGAAAGGCGGATATTTCACAATTGGATAATTCATGATTTTTCATCATGAGCGAATGTGAAACGATTGGGATTTGTGAAATGAAGAGGCCGAACCAAATTAGTGAGGGCCACGCATTGGGTGCTGTTCTCATAAAATTGTACTCTGGGGACCACAGGAGAACTTTACTGATACTCGGTTTCGCAAGTGTATTATCCGAATAGTCTGCTAGCTCGTCTCGTTTCCAAGCTGCTTACATGATTGGAATAGAAAATCCGAGAATCGCTTACAAAGAAGTTTATCCAAACCAAGACCTCAGTTCTGTCACTAGTTGTTGGGATTATAGATCAGGGAACAGCTTAGTCATAGATTTTGCACGGCAAATGCTTGAGCTCCGATGTTCCGAGTCTAGAGTATCACATTCAAATTCCCTTCGTTTTCTCTAGTTAACCTATGACGTAGGAAGAAAAACGGAGTTTCAGATATTCCCCTTGTAAATTGGAAACTCAATCGCATTGAGCTGCGCTGCAATCCGAATACCCGGTGCATGGCAGACCGGGAATTACCCAAGTACAGAGACAAGAACATGCAATGGATGAAGTTCAAACATGCTACCATAAGCAATAAATGGCGGGGAATTGCCAAAAGTCCGAGTTCAAAGGCTTGCTCGACCTCATTCGTCCAACAAACCAGGATAAGATGATGAGGTAGCAATCCATAGGAAACTTCCATTGAACTCGGATTTCCGAGAATTATCTGACGTATTACAGTAATCTGTTGAGTCCAATGAAAGAGAACGGACGACCACAAAGGAACGTAACCCTTCTTCGATGCGGCGCTGTTAATGGGAACACATGTACCGATAATGTCACTTGCGCCTGTATCGTCCAGTTCTAAAACATTTCATTGTCAAGATAAGGTAGTCGGCCAAAACTGAGCGAGAAAGAAATAATCCATGCCGGTCAAGTCTTTTGCTAAGAACTATCCACATGTTATCAGAGCTTCAAAGCCGTGTTTTGAATACTAGTGTCCTTCCCCTATATTGCTTGTTCGTTTACTTGTGCTTTCTCCAGAGGAAATCTATTCGGCGCTTCCATGGAAAATAGTCTGGTTTTTTTGTGCTTTGTTGGATACTGGAACTAAAATTCAAATAGGTACTGTATAGTAGAACCTATATGAAGAAAATACATCGACCGAGAAAACAATAGAACTTCAATTTAGTTATGTATACTTTCTCGTTTCTATACAAGTTTCGTCATAACGTGTAGTTTCCTACCAGCTCTGAAAATGGCTATTCGAAATAGAACGTACAGCTCTACTGAAAACGACTGAAAGTTCCACAAATTCCAGAAACTGAGCACTAGGCGTAACATGTTACATGCACTGGTGAAATATCCTTAGCCCTCTCTGCGGGGAAGTCTGGGGACGGAACGAACGGCCGGATTTGCCTCCCCACAAATTGCACCAGTTTTCGCGACTTACGTCGTACAGATAAACCTGGCTATAAGGATACTGGATATAAGGATAACCTCGGTTATATCCTTAAATTTTGGGTCCCGATTTTTTTAGGTGAATATACTAAGGATACCTCTGTATAAGGATAATCCTTAGTTTTTTAGGTCCTAAAATTTTTTTAGTACCTAAAATACCCTTACTTATATCCTTAGAAGTTTTTTAATCCTCGGAAATTTAGTAATTCTATATAAATTCTCTATATTTTTAAGTATAAAACTAGTACTTAGTAATAAGAATTAGTAGATTACTAACCTTATATATAAATTAGTAAGTACTATATTATATATTCCTAACACTTAAATAAATATTCATATCGTCGCCTATGCTAAGACCCTTGTTATAAGGATAACCTCGGTTATATCCTTACGAAACTTGCCCCCAGGAATATCCTTATATCCAGGTTTATCTGTACAACGATAATGCGGAATATGGAAAACAACGAAGAAACAACTTAAAAGAACTATCCAAGAGATTTTGAGATCGTCTCTAAGAAAATGTCGAGCTTAGTGGGTTTCTTGTACATCTTTTTGGGAGTTTACAGAGTACTGATTTCATCTTCAGGCATGGAGTGTTTAGGATGCAAAAAAGAACGTCCTCCCCCCTCGTATAACCATTCTTCTCAGACAAAGTGCTGATAATTGTTAATCCCATCCCAGCTTTGTTATACAAAACGAATCCCTTTATCTACCAATGACCGCTCTTCTCCTTAAGACGGCAACGCTCGGAGGACTTCTTACTTCCTACTTCGTAGATCCCCGCTGCAAGTAGAAGTGGGTAGCGAAGAGGCCCAGCCTTCATTCGGGGTCTTGGGTTCGGTACGCACATCTGCCCTTCACGCACATCGCTTGGCCTATCGGTACTTGCATATGGGACCTTAGAGAAGTGCTTCCACAGCTCTGATTGAAACTGTTGCATGATTGCATTCTTCGATATTTCTGACCGCCAAAATGAACCCCTTTGAGATAAGTGCCTTGAATCCATAAGTATTATAAATCTTTCGACCTTGGACTGACTGCTACCTGACTGTTCAAGAACAACAGAAATACCACTTGTACCTCGAGATCTTATATTCTTACTCTTATATATATATATATGCGTTACCTTGTCGCCTGGTAGGTAGGTGGATAGAAGTCCAAGAACATTCCCCTATCAATACTCGAGTACTTAGTACGTCTTTCCTACTGCGCTATCGCTTGCAAAGACGCACTGAGTATTCGAACTTGCTTTCAGGAACTGAAATATCGCTAGAATCCTTAGGTTACATATATTAAGTTATAACTCGCGTTTTATCTACTGTTTTACAATAGCTTGATTCAAGCGTGATAGTATATTGCTCATTTTGGTGGTCTACCATTTTGTTGGTGTGTTACCTTCTTCCAATAGGACTACTACATACGAAGCCACTATTCATTTATGGGTGATTTTGCTAGTAAACTAGTGAAGTAGCACATACGGAGTAGTTGCATCGCAAGAAGCTCAATTAAATAGCACTTTTGTTGTCACTGCATTATAACGTGGTATGTTATTCTATTGCCGTAAATCTTTATACATTTATGATTGATCACCTGTTCTGGTTCATAAGTATTTCGAAACTCCATGACAGCGGACGTGGATACGTCTAATCGGTGACGAAGTCAATTGGCAACTTATATTTGGCCAATGTGATGTTGGTTGGGCCATACTTGAAAGCCGCGAATTTTCGGCGGGGCAATTATCTGAAATTGGATACTCCCAAAAGGATGGCGAGATAGGATAAAGTGCTTACGGTAAAAACAAGTTGCTACTGAAAATGCGCAGTAAGCAGTCAGTGAGATGGTCAAATCAATTGTTTGTTTCCCCAAACCCCGTTTAGATACATGTAATATGACCAGGCTGCTGAGCCAATATCTATACACATAACCCAGGGAAAGAAGGGTCATCTCCGCTCCTCATCGTTGTCGCAATCGTTATCCCCTCCCTCCTCATCGTCGTCCTCGTCATCTTATCGGACGTCAGCATCCTCATAGTTTTGGAAATTCTCATCCCTACCAGACAACTTGTCTCCTGCGTGATCTATAGCATCAACTAAGTCTGCCCATAATCGACTCATTGACGTATATCCATCCTGCGTGGTAACATAAGCCCCAGCAACATGCTGATCCGTCAAATTACTGATCAAATCGTCTTGCAATCTAGAACCCGCCGTAAAATTATGTATCAGATATATCGATTTCTGTTGTTGCTCCGGGGGCACAGGACGTATTGCAGCCTGTTGAAAATTTGCCCACGTATTCTCGAAAATAATGATCTCGTCGGCGATGTCGTAGAAGGTCGCATCAACAGACACTCCAGGATTAAAAGTAATCTTGTCTTTCCCGGGACTTAGTAGACTTTTGGCATAAGCTGTGACATTGCTCATGTAGCTCAGGTTCTCGGGACTAGGTGATGAAGGCGCCTCGTCCAAGAAAATACCGGAAACTTGAATATTCGCATCGGTATAATTGGCCCAAGAAGCGTAGCAATCGATCTCTTCCTGGACCAAGGCCATATCTCTAGTTGCCCAGTGGGTTGGTACGTAACCAAGTGTTTGCACATTGCGGTGGCTGTTTAGGATTTCGAGTTGTGTGAGGTAGTTGATATCAGGAATAACGTTGATCAGATTCGGCGCAATGACGATTTGGAAATTGACATCCCGATACTCCGCAATCTTTCTTATGACACCGTCCCAAGAAGAATTGATGGGGTACATATACAACGGAAGAAATATGGCCGTTGGGTTCACCATGTTGACGGTACTCCCGGGAGTTCAGACAATATGACGATCTTGCGATCAGAGAAATGAAAACAAACAACGAACGCAAAAACCTTCAACATATGACTGAACCATGATTACGCAACTCAAGAATCTATCCTGAAAGAGTTGAAAAATATCGAAAACCACGCGTTGGCAAGCGACATCTCCGGCGACATTCAGGCTGAATTTATATATTGAGGGGCCAACCAGTCGGCTTGCAAGCTACCAGAGGCTGATTGACGGGAGATCGTAAGAAGACTCTGCAAGGTAGTAAGAATTGAATTTTATTGCCCAGACTCCGGATTAGGTTGGTTCACCAGAATTCATGGTGTTGTTGAAGGAAGCCTGGAGAGAAGAAGCAGATCTACAGGGCAGCTCGGAGAAACGGGAGGTCGGCCCGGATCATGATACCTTGGCAGTGGCTTTCCTGTAGTACGGAGGCATTTCGGACCGATCCGATCAACTTCCCCGACTTTGGGCTGGCTCAACTACGTCAATATTACATCCGTAGTATCAAACGTGGTCGCTGCCCCTTTCAATTGTCCGATATCTTGCAATTGACTTCAATGAACTTGTCAAGCTCTGAAATTTCGCATTTATACTCTTCTTGCCCGATTGTTCAGGCTGTTTACGTGAACTGGGCAACGCCACTTTTGAGCAGAATCAAGATCTCAGACCGGAAGTTCCACGTAAGGTACCCATTGCTGCTTTGATACAAGTATTTTACTAAACTTTTATACGTGATAGATAGAACCAGACTTCTGTGGGAATACAGTATCAAGAAAGTTAATGATCGCAAATTCGTACACATAACATAATTACACTTCCATACAGTATTGGGTTAGGAAAAGCTGCAGTCTTACCAAGCAGTAACGTTCCGAGGCAAGGTTACCTCTCGCCACTAGGGAAACTTGCTATTACCTGCAGGAAATGCCTGAAAGTGGGGAAATACCAAACCATGGATTGGTTCAATCATTGTCAATGGCTCGATGCAATGCCTGGGGTTGTGAATGGTATGTATTAAACCGTGTGCCGATTTGAAAGAACTTCAGTAGTATTGATAAGAATGAAATTCCTGTGATAGCAACCAAAATCAAGTTCCCGCGCTGTTTGTCGATATAAAAATCTCCTCGGCGGCTAATCTTCATTGCTGAATCAGTTATATCTCATTTCTGTTGCTCCGTGTGCCAATCTATTTCCTACATCAGCAACGTAATCGGGTCTCATTTCGTGGTCATGGCTCTTTCAGTCATGAAATGGCTGATTGCGATTGTAGCATTGTTGTCCCAGTCCTCAGGAGCAACTTTCTCTCCAACACCGCCAATGGGCAAGTATCTATCTAATAATCATCAATCTCTTCTATTTCTGATGAGAATTAGGATTCAACAACTGGGCAGCCTTCATGTGTGGTTTGAATGAATCTCTATTCGTGGAAACGGCACAATCCATGTCCAAGAATGGACTTCTGGCGGCTGGATATAACCGTATCAATCTTGATGACTGCTGGAGTACCTTTGGAAGAGCCCCCAATGGATCTATGGTCGTCAACTCGGAAAAGTTTCCAAATGGTCTTCCATGGTTAACAGGCTATCTTAAATCGCTTGGTTTCACTCCCGGTATCTATACTGATGCAGAGACTAAGAGCTGTGGAGGCTATCCAGGAGCTTATGGTTACGAAGAAATAGATGCCAAAGACTTCTCTTCCTGGGGATTCGAATACCTGAAACTCGATGGCTGCAACATGCCAACAGGAACCGAAAAGGAATATAAAGAGGTGTATGGAAAATGGCATGGGATACTAAGCAAACTACCCAAACCCATGGTTTTCAGTGAATCAGTCCCGGCGTACTTTGCCGAAGCTGCGAATCTGACCGATTGGTACAGTATCATGGGATGGGTGCCAGAGTACGGAAATCTTGCTCGACATTCAAGAGATATCGTGGTATTTAATTCTACTCTTTATTGGCCGGATATTACAGGTTGGGGTAGCATCATGTTCAATTATGGTCAAGAAGTTCGTCTCGCGAGATATCAGAGGCCTGGGTATTTTAATGATCCTGACTTTTTGAACGTCGATCATTTCGACTTGAGTCTGGATGAGAAGAAGTCTCATTTTGCCATATGGTCTGCTTTCTCTCTGCGCCGCTGATAATCAGTGCCTACATTCCTGATCTATCTGCTGCAGAGCTCGAGTACCTCACGAACAAGGATATCATTGCTGTGGACCAAGATGCTTTAGGGTTGCAGTCCACGCTTGTTAGCCAGGATGTTTTGACGAAGCAATTGGAAGATGGAGATAGGTTGCTTACAATTGTCAATGTTGGAAGCTCGCCGGCCAGTTACAGTTTGTCTTTTGAGAGGATAGGGATACCAGATGCAAAATCTGTGGCAGTCAAAGTTTGTGGACCGGCGAGACAACTATGGTCTCGGGCAAAGTCACAGTTTCGATCTTTCCTTCACATGGGACTGCAATTCTTCGACTTTCCCCCATCCGGGGGACTTTTGGCGCTGTCATTCCCACAGGAAAAGTGTTCAACACTTTCTCCCTCTCGACCTTGTCAGCCACTTTTAAAAATGTCACTTGGGCGAATTCGACGGGTAATGATGGACAGATCTGGCAAGCCAAAGATGATTCTAGACTATCGCCTATCTCGGATCCGTCGCAGTGTCTCACGGAATTCCATATGGGCAAGATCGGATTATCGAGGTGCAATAGGAAATTTGGTGGTCAACAATGGGAGTACTTGTACTCAGGAAATTTGAGAAATCTTCGTTCTAAGGAATGCCTGACAGAGTCAGCAACAGGAGGTGTTACGATGCAAAAGTGTTTGTATTTGGATAATAGTCAGGTGTTTGCCCTGCCGAGTGGTGTGAAGGTGCTTAAAAAGTAGTTTCTTGGATTGTAATAGGTGACAAGAATGAATTGATTCTAAACAAATCCCCTTCAGAGGAGACACAACTGATCTCTAGCACCAAAACTGAACGCTCCTTAGTGATTGTAGTCGTCGATTCTCTCAGAATTAGCAACATGATATTGCACGTGATAGTCCATGCCATGGACCACCTACCTACTTCCCCACTCCTCAACGACCTTGAAGCCCCTCCCATCTGCAATTAGCCAAACCTCAACCACTCCACTCGACTGACGAACCAAAATTCTTTAACGTAATCTGATATTCGGTAAGCAACCATGTTTACTACGTTACATAAAACCTTCTTATAGCCATCCTGGTCTTGCAACATCGAGCACCTCGAGCGACGTCACCTGATGAGTTACATAGGTAGACAGGGGTCACGTTGACAATAGGCTTACGGTTATTCTAGTGATACGAGACCTTTAAATAACTAGAAGATTACCAACTTGGATACGTCAAGTTTCTCATTCTACATACCAAAAACATTGGCCAAAATGAATGGTAGAATCACCGCAACCACAAACGGTGCCAACGGTACAGAAGCAACCAAAAAAGACCTCTTGGAATCTCTCAACCGATATGGATTCGTTCACATCCCTTCACTACTAACCCCGGAGCAAATCCAAACTCTCCGCACCGCAACCACAGAGGTCATCAATCTCGCCCGAGCAGGAAAATGGCCTCATGTCCGCACCCTCCCAAAGCAGTTTCCTCCCTGGCCTATCGAACCCGGCGCCAACCCAGCCGCAAATGGAATTTGGGGTGTCCAATTCTTGATGCATCCTTCCATGCCTCATGCGCAAACGTTTATCAAGAACTACTTCAGTAATGAGATTGTGGAGGTGGTGAAGGAGTTACTTCAATGTTCCGACGACGAACTAGTTCTCGAACTCTTTAACATGCTTGTACGCCCCGATGAGGATTTCGAATTGATCTGGCATCGCGATGACATCCCTTGGAAGGCGACAAAGGAGGAAGAAGAGGAGAGATTGGGTGTGGGCAAGGATAGAGAAAGAGCCTGGCATGCGCAGTGGAATTTGGCGCTTTATGATGATGCTTCGCTCATTGTAATTCCAGGTTCTCATGCGAGAGCTAGAACTGAGCGGGAGAGAAATGCTGGGCCTCATGAGACGGGTCTACCCGGAGAGATCACGGTCCTGCAGAAGGCTGGAGACATACTGTTTTATGATAATAATATTTTGCATCGTGGGAAGTATGATAAAGGAAAGGAGAGAGCGACGTTACATGGAACTATGGGACGCGCTGGGGGTAGTAGGGATAGAGCGAGGAATGTATTGCAGCATGGAATCGGGGAGTGGGTTGCTGAAATTGATTTGAGTGCTTTGGAGGGACGTGAGAAGGAGAGAGCTGAGGGAATGAGAGAGAGGTTGCTTGCTATGGGTACTCATTCTGGGGAGTATTCATTGGAAGGTTAGATGGAGGGGATTTTGTTGATCAGCATTCTCTACTATGTGTGCACCTGGTTTGGACCTTGAGGATATCTTGGTGCTCTGGATAGGGGAGATCTTGGTCATTTGAGATTTCTAATCCGATAATTAATTTAGGCCTGTCTCCAAAATCGATCCTTATTTCTTCTATTTAGCGAAATCCATTACTCGTTCTTCAAAGCTTTTTTATGCCTTGCCTTGGAAATGAAATCTTTTCTTGCGACACTCCTTCACCGACACCAACTTATAAACTTCAAGTGTTTCACACGAACATCATATGTATCGGCCTTACTGAAAGGCAACGACCATCACTAAAAACCACGGATTTCTTCCTCTTAGATTGCTTGTGGCTTACAACATTTATCCCCCACTCGGGTTTCCAGTCAATAGTATGACAGGCAAAGTCATCACATGGGACGCATTCCCAATGGTCTTCATGTCTTGTGGCATTAGTCTCCACGTTCACTTGAAATCCATTGATATAACAGCTGGTCCTCTTCTTCCTTTCCACAAGGTTTCTCAGCTGTATAGTTTTTCCAGTGTTCCTGCAAACTCAAGCTTTTGCAGTTAAAACTCCATCTGATGTCGCTTGTTTGAGACATCTTACATGTTGAAAATTCCAAGATCTTTTCTTGCCCCTTATTTATATTGTGACGCGACCTTCAGTCAAGGCCTTTCTGGTGGAGTAAACAAAGAAAGGGGCAACTACCAACCTTTCCATCGCGCTCGCCCGCGTTGAACTCCGCACACATCCGCCAGATTCCTTTCAGCCCAAATCGCTCTCAACATCAACATCATCACCTGAATATTCACTTCCACAAACCAACCTCCCATTCGCCAACATAGTCTCACCACCACCCCATCCCAATTTCAATTCACTACCCCCTACCCCGCACAAACCAAACGCACCATAAATCCAGAAATAAGCCTCGGATTGCCATACCAAAAAATCAACACGCAGCTTGGCCCAGTGTAAAATTGGCGGACCACATTTTCTAACATATGACACAGGACATGTGTATACAGCCCGGCTCCCTTCGACCCAGACTTTGCCCCCTGCTCAGTCTCCACTTAGGAGTTGGTAAGCCTAAGATCCCCTCCTCCATTTCTCATGTTTCCCCTCCCTCCCCCGTAGGTATACTACAGGTAAAAGAGGTAAGAAAGAGAACGAGGCTCGGACGGCGCGACTATCCCGGAATGTGACATGATATGGCGATACTGGAATGTGAGACTTGTGTAAGTACTACCCTCTTCCTAAGAGTATGGGTCAAGCTGCATTATTTTTTGGATTTTCTTTTAGCCCTCGATTTGGTTGTTCTGTTGTTGGTCTGGGTAAGTCGCGTATGTACTGGCGCGTAGTTGTCGTGGTGGTGTTGAGGCGTGTAAGGAGACGACTTGCCAAGACAAGTAGGTTACGCTAAGCGAGAATTCAAATAATTGAAAAGATTACAGGCATTCAAACAGCGAAGGGGTAAGAAGCGTGTAAACCCGACATTAGAATCTGTATAGCATTAACATTCGCTCATGATTCCTCGTAAAATCCTAATACTCTCGCCCTAGAAGTAAGCTTGTCGTGTGAACGTGTTCAGAGGCGTAGCGTTTCTTTACTCGACGTTCCCGATAGCGCTAGTATACGCGTATATCAAAGTGACTTATAGAAGAAATTTCATAGCGGTTATAGGCACTTATACACATATGGAAGAGACAGTAGAATCCTGATTTTCGGTGTCTGGTCACAGTAATAAAGTTACACGACATCCGTAACACACACTTCTACCTTTCAACTGAATTAAGAGCCCGTTTAGCTATTTCGTTCATCTATGAAATACACTATTAGTAACTTAAGAACTATCTCTACCGGTCGGTGGATTATACTACAAATATAAAGCAGCGACAGTAAGCGGGAAATGAATCGAGATCACCCTACCGTCCGTGAAGAGGTAGGTAGAATGTGGCGGGCGATATTGTATTATCAGGCCATGGAAGAGGGTAAATACAAGAACTACGAATTTCGCGACATGGGTTAAGTAAGTAGTCTTATGTGGGTACGTGACATCTAGGGGTTCTTTAATTTGTTTAGTAGCTACTATAGCGAGAGGTACGAGGAATCAAAGCTCGAATTTGAAAGAATATAAGATTAGTATATTCTTAGTAGCAGGAAAACATGTAGCCCGTCTTCTCATATTAATATACTAGATCTACAATAATCAAACACCACACTAGTGTGACAGACGTGCTTCAGGTAGAACTCAGAACAATTAACACTCTATTCTTAGGACAAAAGACGAGGAAAGAAGGAGAGCTCGAGAGAGCTGGGAACTAAATACAGGTCGTGCGCGCTAGCGCCTCGCTAAGCGAGAATGTGACATCCAGCCCTCGTGACCATAACCGTCACAATTAGTACTAGTACCTTAACCTACCCCCCTATCCACTCCCTACAACAAATAAACCCAAATCCCTCCCTCCCCTCCCATCTCCAAAGTCAACTACAAAACACCCTCTACCCCTACCTCCAAACCAACGCAAAACCCCGCACTCTACAACGAGACTACTTGGTATCCACTTCCCACCAAAAGCAAATCATAATCCCCTCTCCTACCTCTCGTTCTCAACTTCCACACTTTCCCCTTACACATACCCCCTTACTCCCTTCACAAGTCTCTATTCTCTATCACTCTCCTATACAAACGTGTAGAAGGAAATCGACAATAACTCCAAAAAACGAGAGCAAATTCCAATTTTTACTTTACTCGAAGAAAAGTAGCGGAGAATGTTACTGCCTTTCTTTGTAATGAGGATGAAATATATTGATGATTTATAAGCCAAGAGAGACATATAGTTATATAAAGGGCTAGGTAAGAGTTTGAGGGCCATGCAGGGCTTTGGATGGTTAGGATACTGTATGGTATGGTCAGATGTTAGGAGTTGTGTTACTAATTTTATAGGGAATTGGGGAGTGGAGTTCGAGGGTTGTGGAGTGCTGGTAGAGTTGTGGGATAGTGTGGATGGAGAAGCTTGTATTTAGGGAAGAGATGGGGGTTAGTTGTTTTGGACTTTGGGGGGGTGAGATGGGATGGTAGTTTATATAACTTTGTCTTCTTGGTTTTTTTTCTTTATCAGAGATTCAGAGTAGAATAGAAGGACTCCTATCAAACCTATGAAACCCCCAGGATTAAAATATAACTATAAACATCTATTACCTACTCCCTTCCCTTCCTAACTACTTCCTCTCCCTAAAATCCCTATTTTCTCCCCAAAATCCCCTTCATCTCCCACAATCTTCCTTTCTTCCTTCCCACCCCTCACCCTTAACCTTATCATCATCACGCCTTTATAAAAATACCCCTACCATACATCCAAAATCCAGAATCCAAGAATCCAAAGAACACAAACAACATAAAAAGACGATTTGGAATTTCTTCCCAGTCTCTTAACCCATTAAACCGCCCTCGAACACCTTACTAACACTCCCTAGAAACAATTTCTTACCCCTCTTCTTTAATACGAGAATACAGGCTACTAAAAAATACTCGTCAAAATGACGGAGAGAATCGACAACAACTCTAAATTCCATAGTGAATCTTTTTCGTGGCTTTATATAGTGGTTTGAGGTATAGCGTGAGTGAGAGGTACTTAAATAACTTACAATATAAGGCAGAGAACAAAGATCTATCGAGAAGGCTGTTACCTGGGAGTAGATGTGGGATAGTCTTTACAGAGGAAACACATGATGTGTATATAGGATGATTTGTTAAAGTCATAGAAGGATGTGAGATTATACTAGCGCTTTGTTATATAACTCGGGATGTTACATAGCTTGCTTCTATGTGGAAGTATACTACAAGCCCTCTTCCCGGAGTTGAAAACATTGGAAGAGAGTTTTCGTGTCTGGTTATCGAAAAAATTATTTCTCAACCTAAAGCCGAAGGGTCTAGTATATAGCCAAATCATACCTTTACCAGATTCCACCTCAGCAATCATCGCGTAGGAGGAAACGAGAGCAAACATGCGTGAATGATTTACTAAACCCCGCTATTCGCTAACGCCCCACAACCCTCTCATCCCCAACACCACAGAACACCAGACCAAAGAAAAGAGTATTACCATTTTCTATCTCCCTATTTACCAATATTCACCCCTCCTCCTCCTCCTCCTCCTCAGTATATAAAACGTAAACCCTGCATCCCTCCAAGTCTCCCTCTTTACCCCCCAAATCCAACACTCTAAAAACGCCCCCCTTAAGCCCATAGAACCCCGCTTCTGTCAACCAACCACACTGCTCTACACAGCTCCTCGAGATAAAATACTCGATAGGTTCGCTGTTCTAGAATCACCTCCACCATTTCTTTTTCGAAGCCTTGGTACAGTACTTCTCCCCATCAACAATAGAAAATAGAAAATAGAAAATAGAAAGTAGAAAATAGAAAATAGGAAATAGAAAGTAGAAAGTAGAAAATAGAAACGAGGAAAAGAACGAACAGAAAACGACGACAACCAAAGAATTCGACAATAAACCCCCTTCTACCTAACCACCAACCATCTCCACTTCAAATCCCAAACAGAATTTTAATGAAAATGTACAAAATATAGCTAGTATTCTCCCCTAACACAAACACAAGATTTCAAACTAAGGCGGTAGGTGCTATGAGGTGAGTAACCTTTTTGCGTCGATGGAGATGGAAAAATGGAGGCGATGGGGAAGCAGGACTTGTACATACGTGGAGGCAAAGAAGAGGAAGGGAAAGAGGTGGAGAAAGAGATCAAGGAATAGTTGGGTGTGAAATGTTTTGGTACTAGAGATTTGGGATGGTGGAGGAGAGGGGAGAGGGGAGAGGATGGAATGGTCAACGTTATTTCGCGGTAGGGAGGCAAGAATATCACAATCACACCCACACTCACAAACAAAAACACATTTTCGTCAAACACCCCCTCTCAATTCTCACTTCTCAATTATTAAACCCTTCCCCTCTCTCCCTCTCAAAGCCAGAGAAAAAGGGAGCCCCACATCCAGTAATCCATTTTGTATACAGTAAGTATTGGTATCCTTCATGTTCCAAGGTTAGGGGGTTGTGTATCATGACATTTCTTTCATCCCATGCATGCCATGACCTTTCCCCCTCCATCCATCCTTTCATCCAACCAACAGCCCACCCACAGACATCAAATCGCATATGCCCAAAAAGAAAAAAGAGAAAAAAACTCCATGGCAGATGCAAAGCTCAACTCTACTCTACGCGCACACAAAACACCCAAACCCTCCCGCCAGATGGTAAAACATATGCTCCCAGGATATCAACGCCGCAAAAAAACTTGGAAAACATGGAAAGGAAAGATTGTAAACAAGAAAGAAAAAAGGAGAAAGAGATGTAAATAAAATACAGGGAAGCCCGAGAGTGTCATGTCATGAGATGTAGACGTCGCTCCGCTCCGCTCCGTTACTGTAGATCAAATTTACATGACAAGGTATCCAAGACCAAGTCCCAACGCCATAACCGCCACATCGATAGCCCCATACTTCGCGGGCTTCGAGCTATTGCCCGCGCTCGCTGAGGTAGCAGTAGGAGCGCTGGATCCAGCAGTGCCAGTGGGTCGAGGAGAGCTCAAAAGACCAGTTCCGTTGGCGCCAGTAGGAGTCGAGCCGTTGGCGCCGGTAGCAGTAGCGAAGATGCCACCTGGTCCAGTAGGAGTAGGAGCACCCGAGGGAGATTCCGGCTTGCCAGAGGAAACATTCGCACCAGCGGTCAATTGAGGGATCTTGGCAGAGGTGGCAGATGGGGCAACCTCAAGGTTGGCTTTGCCGTCACACTTTCCGGTGGACTTGATGGATTGCCAGGAGCCGGACATGTCGCTGTAGGAGTACTCTCCTCCACAGCCGTAATCTTGGATGGTGACGCTCTTGACGATCATGTTGAAGGGGGCCTTGGAGAAATCAGCGGGACCGTGTGCCCATTCGCATGTTCCCTTGGTCTTGGGGTCTTCTGCGGCGTCCTTGTCGGCGCAGCCTACCCACGATCCCATCTTCACCTCCATAGGTGATTGAGGGTAGTTCTTTCCTCCGTTGGCGACGGGGTCGGCGAACATCAACGTGCGAACGATGGTACCGTCGATAGCCCAGGTGGTCTTGTCGGCTTTCCAGTCAATTTCATAAGTATGGAAGCCCGAGACGACACCAGACACTGGGTGCGTCTTTCCACGGTCGTAGGTGGTCGTGTTGCCCTTTCCGAAGAAGTTGCTCTGTGCCTCGTTGTCCTGAGATCCAATCCACTCCCAATCAATCTCATCCAAATCATCGGATTCCAGGATGAACGAGGACACGACACCGGCTGAGGGTGCGGCTTTCATGGTCACTGATACCTTTCCGAACATGATGAATTTGGTAAAGGCCATGGTAGGGGCGTTGGTCTTGGTCTTGATTTCGAAGATGGCACCTTCGGGGCCATAGGTCATGGTTGTGCCATCTGCCAAAGTCCAGTCTTTGCTCTCACCCTTGGTGAAATCTGTGGTGTGGGTTCCTCCGAGACCTGGGTTTGCGGGACATGCTGGTGGTTTGTTAGTATGCATCAAGACTGGGGAAGGAGGGACATACTCTTCTTGGTAGGATCGCAGTCTGTGAATGTTTGTGCCGAGGCGAGTCCAGAGAGGAAGAGGACCGCGGCGGTCGAGAAATTGTAACGCATGTTGGCGGTTGTTGCTTTACGATACGTGTATTCTATGTGTATGATGGTGTTTTCGGGACTTTATTGTATTTGTTTCTTTGGTAGGTACGACTCGTTGTACTTGAAGCAAGTACAGGAATGTTGTTGATGAGGCACCGAAACGAATGTGTATCTCTCAGGTCTTGGAATGCTGGTATGGAGTATTAAAGCAGCAGAAATAGGAAAAGGAGGGAAGAGAAGAGATTGGCAGGATTGAGGAGGGAAGAGTTTATATGGGTCTGATCAGATTTCCAAAGACATTCAGGAGCAGCAGGACGAGACAGATAACAAGCAAAAAAGGAGGCCCCTGCATATCGGTTCCTGATTGTGCCCCACACATACACCCATACCGACCAGCGATATGCATCACATTCAGCCAACCATCAGCACAGCCTCTGCCACCCCAGCAACCCGCCAGGAATGCTGAGTATGCGACGCTGATTGGTCGATGTGTACATCGCTTTGGGAAATGCGGCAAATCCACCATCAGCACTGCCTATCCAGGCTTAGCTTCGCTCGTGTTTGTGGGCGAAGTTCCGTAGTGGGTAAAGCAGGGAGGTTGGAATGGGCGTGGCATGTGTACGAAGTGCCTAGTGGAGTCTAGTGTGCAGAGCAACCGTATCCTAGAGGACCCTGAAGGAGATCTACCTAAATCGAGGTCCTTAACCTTCCGTAAGCGCGCCCATTTAGGCTTCAGGTTCGGGGCGAAATGCCTGTGGCCACTGAGTAGGTGTTTGTTTTTAGCATCTGCCAGCCTGGGAAACAAGCTCGAGACAGATCCCAAGAAGGTTTACAGGCTGTGCGGAGGTATGCCATGAGTAAGGTTGTACGGTAAGGTTGTGCGGTACTTCTAGGTTACGGCCCTCTACAGCGCTCCGTGCAGTGCGGTATTGTACTTCTACGATGAAGTACGATGATGCGCCTCCCCTTCCGCACCGAGAGTAGATCATCTGAACATTATGAGGTTTACGTGGTACTCAACATCTTCATCCTTCACACCACGATGCGAAATTATCGCCATCTCGGAAATCCGTCAGCAATAGCGAAAAGTAAGCCAAACAAGCAAAATCACTCGTCGCTCTGCAACGCACATCAGATGCCGCTGAAACAAGCGTTCCCACTCCGCAAGATCTGCAGCCTTAGTGGTCACAACCCGACCCCAACTCTGACCGACCCCGACTCTGACCGACTGGACTGCGTTGGCCAGACAGTAACACTCCCTTCCCACCAAGCAACCATCATCATCATCCAAACAATCTTCCCCATTCAAAAAAAGATCTCAACATTCACCTTGCGCCAGTCCATCATTCGTGATCTCCAGTCCTCGTAACAAACCAACCCACGACCTAACCACCACGACATCATCCGTCGCACCGTGACGCATTCCCCATTCCAACGATCGGGAAGGGAGGACCATGGATAGTGATGAGGCGGTACCAAATCCGCATTCGCCGCATCCCATCTGTTACCCGTCACCGACTCCAGTCTCCAGGGCTGGGATTCCGCTCGCGTTGTTTCTTCAGTAGCGCGACCTACTCTAACCGTCAACAGTCTAGTGACAGTTGTGTGCTATTTTAAGCACCACCTCGCCTCCTTGGATTCCTGAGCCAATAATGGAACAGATGGGGAATACGAGGATAATTCTAGAACGTTTTCGTATGGAAGGAGTTCGGAATACTTACTAACCTAGTACTTAGTAATGAGGTTCTTGATATAGGTGATGGGTTATACGGATTTTGGGGATACTGTTCGGCGTGCACGAGGTAACGTGGTTTCTGGATGGATGTCTGCGTTTGGAGGGGAGTGAGGGGCGAATTTAATACAATACTCTACGCCGAGTAAGTAAGCTTAACGACCGTTCATTTCGATCGTCTATCTTGTTCCCTACTAGTGCTTAGTCGGTCGGTCGGTACTCCAAACGCCGACTAGCAAAGATAGCTTTGTCTTACGGGGTAGGTAGTGGAGGCAGACTTTCCGATCAATGTGGTCTGTAGACTGCTGACTTATACGGCGAAATCAAATGCAGACTACAAATAATAAGGCGATCGCTCCAGAAGAAGGGAATGTATGGAATGTCGAAGAATAGCTCTTCTCGAGGGAATGAAGATGTTGAGGCAGATAATGTTGACTCCAGTGATAGAGCGGACTCCTTCCTTTATTAAACAAATAGGTGGAGGGTGAAACTCCAACGGTGGGGCACCAAGTGAAGGGGACTAGGGATGTTTCGGAATTATTTGTTCTGGTTATAGGTCATAATCTCATGTTGAACCGCCTTCTGCTGCCTGGGCTCTACGGTAATAGCCCCGAACCAAAGGTCAAGAAGAATAGCAATGAGCTGAGATCACGCGACATATGATCACGTAGTCACGTGCGTTAAAGCATTTGGCCCGCAACAAAATATCTCGTATATCCAACTAGATGATCCCAATTTATACTTCCCCCTTGATTCCAATATGGCTTTCTATCATAATATCGAAATTTTCGCTGATATCCACCGAGAGTAACAGGTCCAATCTTGAGCGAGTCAAAATCAGTTACAAAGGCAATAAGGTTCATAGAGCAGACACATCTCTAGAGCTGAAATGCGTACCTCAAAACGGAGAGTACTTCTGACTCTACAGGCTCGACTACACCTCACAGCTAAGGCAATTCCAGGGGGGATGACAGGCCTTGAAATGCGGTGTGAGATAACAAAGCAATATATGCATGTGTGCCCTTTCTCAAACCAAATCTCTGAGAATCCCCTAAGCTTGAATAGGTTGTATGTGACATCCCAAACTGGAAGTTCTTTGGTGTAAAGGAGGGGGATGAGCGAAAGGTTTCACTACTAAAGCTTAAAACCTTTCTCGAAAAGGCTTTGGAATTGGAAGAGGGATTGCAAAGAGGGTATAGGTATGTGGAGATTTTCCGCAATACTCTCCAGAAGGTCAAGACTGTGGCAGAGGAACAACTGCGCGGTTCTCAATTTCATAAGCTGGTAATGATATACCCTGAGTTTGGCCCAAGTAAGGGAAGGAGCAGAGGTTGGAATCCTGATTTTGAACTATATGAGAATCAATGGTCGGGAGATAAAGTCATTATAGCCACTTTTTTGTAGGAATCCTATGCTAATCACTTCTTTATATCCGAAGTATAGTGTCCACGGCTCTTACTTTAGTTATGTAAGATGAATTTCCAGCAACCATGTTTTACCTGGAATTTGCTATTGCCGCAGGCGACGATTACGAATGTGACTTCAAGGGCGCGGGGTCGAAGGAAGCTATGAATGGTTTATTTTTAGCCGGGACCCGGGTAACTTGAGAACTTGAGGGGTAGGATTATGTTAGTGATATCTCATCATTTCGTTTTTTGATGTTTATTAGTACCTTGAGTAAAACAATGCGGACACGACAACTCGTCTCTTATCGCTTCTCATGAATGGAGAAATTACGTATGATTTGCTCTAGGCCTCGTTCAAGTCGAATGACAAAATAATTTCAGCGGAGGCCCAACATTAGCCTATGAGAATAAAGAAAAATAGCGTGAGACACTAACAAACAAGTACTCCTAAATCTGGGTGATCAATCTTTCTGCCAGTCTATTCTGTCCGTCTAAATCCAATCCTTTTGCCACTGCCAGATTTATCTATAAAGACACAGGGATACGAAAGGAATGTATAACCTCGTCCGATATAGCCCCTCACAGCGAATTAACGTGACTCAGCCTACAATGCTCATCTGTGAACCACCAATCAAGCGTCCCTGACCAAGGTATATTCGTCCAAAATAGATGGCTTGTATCAATTGTTTTTAAAACAGTAATGTTCAAGGCCAAAATCTCCCCATAATTCTCTCCATTGTCAAACGCCACTTGCATCTGGTTCCCGATGACTTTCATAGGCTGCGAAGTCCAATCTAAACGATATTGTCCAATACAGCTCTGATGGCCATTGCGATAGCGAAGTAGGAGTCCAATAATAGGAAGATACTGCTTACGCCTATTATAACATGGTGTGATTTCGATGACGTTAACCAAAGAACAAGTCGAGTAGTACCAGAATATTGAACTGGGAGGATTGGATAGAGGAGTCAGTGCTTGAGGATAATCTAGTATCGGCCGGTCTGGCTGAGCTTGGTCAACCCCCATTAACAATATTTGGGAGTAGTCCAAAGAAGCCCAGTGATTAAAGAATATTTGAGAAGTAGATTTTGGTGGGGTATATATACGTCGAATTCTGAAGTGCTGGAGATACGGTGGTGGAATATGAGCGGCAAGCATAGCTGTCCTAAGATTTGTAGAAAGCTGTATTTCTAATTAGTGGTATGTAAGAGATGCATCATAAAGATTGCTTACGACAAGTCCGATATGATGTGTATATGGGCCTTCAATTCCATTCATTCGAGATATTTCGGTGATATATTCGCCTGTGTCAATTGGCATGTAGATCCAGACTGGTGTAAATATGCTAGAGCGGTCATCGAAATCTTGATAAAACTTCATGTCCGTGTCCTGGAAATGAGTATATACTGCCACGGTACCATCTGGAGTATAGCAAGCCGAGTATCCAATTGTGTGTAAAGAGTTGCAAGTGAAAGACTGCATCCGAAGGCTAGACGGGTAGTTTGATTGAGGTTGGCAGCTAGTCAAGCTAACTAGCTCAGCCGTACTACCTCTGATGGAACAGCGATGAGATCCCCCCATGTTGAGACTCGATTTCGTATTATACGCTAGCTGTCGAACTTTCAAGCCCTAGTTATATAATTAGCGAATAACAAGAGCTATGCTGTTAAGAACTCACGTCGGTCTTTACTTCGAGGGTCGAGGCCAGAATAGAAATTCGAGTCCACCAAAGATTTGAGGCAAATTCAAAATCAGGCTTATCAGAAGATGAAACAAAGAGCATTCTCCGAACTCCAATATGATCATCCCCAATATCAATGAATTGCGTATATGCCGCCTTCGTAGAATCGAAGAGAAGTTCGAACCCTGACCCAGTAGTGTTTCGTAACTCTTGAATATAATAGGCTCCTTCTATCATGACAAAACGGACATAAATGTTCAATGATAAATTGTTGTGCTGGGTCTACTTTCTCTTTTGCTCCACTTCCTTATTTGATCCACTTATAGCTCTGCTGCCTAAATGCTTCATGTCTGCCTAAACCTTACACTCTTTATATAAACACCTTAGATAGCTACCTTTTACAATGCAATCAATTCTCCATGACCTTCAGTACCCAATACCCTTTCAACCCAATATAAATCAAGAAGGCTGTTAGACACAGAGCGTTTAAAAAGACAGTATTCAAGCCGCTCTGACACGCGAATAGCATATTCCCGAGTAAGAAAACCGGCAACAATATGCCATAATTCGAATGCGAGATGTCTTGGCCATGGCCGCGCCTGGAGCTCCGTTGCGAGATCTTGTTGAATTGATTGTATTCGCAGCTGCTTTTGCAAAACAGAGGGTTCGAAAGTATAATCAGTAGCACGAAGGGAGGAGTCGTGAAAATTGATATTTCCCACACGCTTAGCAAAGTCGTAGCACTCCGTATGAAAACATGGGACTGGACAGCTAGCCTCTTGATACCTGCAGTCTGATGTACAACACATGTGGATAATTTCTACATCTGTTACTCTAGGTGCCGCAAACTTTTCGAAGTTGATTTCAAACATGCGATCGTTATACTTGACTAAGTTCCGTTAGCAATTTTCATTTAGGGATAGAGTGCTAATTATACTAGTAACAGGATCGTGATGGCGCAAATCGAACCGACATAGCCGACATTGCGCTTGAGTGACACATAAAAAAGTCAGTGCCTCGTTCATCTTATCTGATACAATATATCGGGTTAATTTTATGATGTTCAAACTTTGTAGTTTCAAGCGATCACCAACCTTATACTCTAACCTCCTCAGTATACCTTTGGCAGATACCCAACATGCGATGGGACCCAAGTACCGTGGACGAAGCGTTGTTGATTTCAGACTCTTCGTGAAAAGTATACGGGCTGCTCTCCAGGGCCAAGTATTACGAACCTGAAATCATGAGTCTGTGCTCTACAGGGCATTTCCAGCCCCTCCATGACATTTATCATTACATCTTCTTTCTTCTATATCCACATTCTTCTATCTATATCTTCTTCTATCTATATAATACTGTGCGAACATCCGTACAACCGTTAAAAAGTTAAAAAACATGGACACCGCCACGTGACCGGGTCTGTGCAAGTACTCAAAGAGTACTGGAGGTTCGTAGGATGTACCGCGTACAGGTGTTAAGTCGTCGCATCTACGAAAATACGAAGTAGTCGCGAATTTGAATACGCTAATCCACATTATCACGTGGTGCAATCAAGTTGTACAAACGCTAACAAGTTCTTGAGCACATTCACGAACCACCAAATCTTTTCCCTATCGTTTTCACTCGCTCGCAATCATGGCAGGCGAATTTTTCTCTTCATGCATTATCTGCAGAACTCCACTATCTTTTGGTGAGGACGAGGTATATGAGAGCGATGATGAAGGCTGGAGAAATAAGTTACATAACGATTTCCCCATCCATAGTTCTTGTCTAGCTATTGCTGCCTCTGCCGCCACAAATCGCAAAAATGAACTTCTCGAGAAGCTGTGCCGCGATTCTCTACGTTACGACCTTTTTCCGCTTCTTGAGATTATTCCCTGTTCAGCATCGGACCCTAACCAAATTTCGAAAAGCCTCGCTCTTGCCCTTGTCGAAAAAGTCAACAAAAGGTGGCAGAAAATGCTTCCACCAGAAATTTGTACATATATCGCCCACGAACTGACGATCCCTCAACTCGGAACAAATTCACCTATTCCTACATTGTGGTCTATTTATACAAAGATACAACATTAAAGTAATCTAACAACAATACTTCGGAACGTTAAGATATTACTTTCGTGGCAGACTGTTGAGTTCTTCGGCTCTCGGATACAAAAATTGCCGGAAGAAGCGCGTCTTGTTCTTTGTGACGAACTTAGAGATCCCGATACGCACGCCCTTATAGTTCAGGATATTGCGACAGTTGCTGTTGAGGGATTGCCGAAGCGGATTGCCCTCCACTTTAACTTAGCATTAGAACGGAAATATCTCAGCGGTATCACGGTCAATGGCAAGACCATTGGATACAAAGGTACATCAGAAATGACTCTTGAAGTCACCAAGGGATCGCAAGGACTGGTTTTAGCATTTGATCAATGGGGTGTTCAAGATGGGAGAATTACAGATAGAGCGACATTATCCTCTTCGCGTGAAGAGACTGCATATGCAGCTCTCTACTGGCCGGAGAATTTAACTAGGACTACGGTAATAGCCACATTTGATGTACGTACTTGACCCTCTATAACTGCATATGGACCTAATTGAGTAGTCTTGTAAATGCATTGGTATAGGCATTCAAGGAGGGCATATCTGGACCTCAAGATCTATTTCGAACCTTATTCAATCTCCTAGGCCACTCATCGACTGTTCTATCTCTCGGAAATACCAAGCCAATTGGTGTCTTCGGAGTTTTAATTGCATTATTTCCGATATTCAATTATCTACGAACCCAAAGAATTTAGCTATAGATCAAATCAGCTTCAAAGCCATTGATGGGTCTGTGAGGAGTATTGGCCGGCATATTTCTTCCCACCTTCAGTTATCATTTCCTCTTTCGTGCAAGTTTGGTGAGGCACTATCACAAATTCGAGTGTGTCACAGTTCAGAGAAAAGTTTTATTACAATACAAGTAAGTAAACTCAATATAATATACCATAAACTATTAAAAAAGTCTAGTTTGTAACGAGTTTTAACCGAGTAATTATGGTTGGGAATGTTCCTGAGAATGCTCTTTGGAGCAGTGTGGACTGGCCATCTTCAATATATGCTACATACGAGGTAAGTGACCGTTATCTGCAGATTGACCAGATTTATTTATGATTTTAGTTTAACAAGACTGGATTCTGTCTTTTCGGAATTGATAGCCAGCTGCCGTTAATTACATCTACAGGAACCTCGCGATCGGATTTCTCGGTTCCTTCAACCCTACCACCTACCCACTATGCCACAGCTTCTCGATTTGACAGAACAATAACTTTGGTACAGGCGCCTTTGTACCAGGTTACTTGTTTAAAAGTCTTCCAACATCACACCCCGCATATGTTAAGGTCGGGCGCTTATGTCTCGTATATTTGTGGGATTCAATTGTTCTATGCCAATGGGTTGTCCATTATATTGGGCCAATTGGGGGAGGGGTCTAAGATACAAGTCGCTTCTACAATTACAGAACTGAAAGTCTGGATCTTCCAAGATGAGGAATATGTGCAAATCAGAGGGTTAGAATTCCATTTCGGGACAGGAGCAGATTTTCAAGCAGTAGGCGAGAGGCATAGCATTGAAACCAAGAATTTACAAGAATTTACAAGAAATTGTAAGTAATGAAGGAGTCAAAGAGGAAATGACACTAATCGGAAATCCTAGGAGATAATAGAATGGGCTACAGGAAACATGCTCTCTGATGTTACAGGTCTGTCAAGGCACTGCCTTCAAGAAATCCCTCTTGAACACACCACTGCGATCTAGCTCAACCTTTCAGAGGGAGATTGGACAGACACACGACGAAGTTGATTAGCGAATACTTGGGGGCTTACTCGACGGGTCTACCACGTGGCCAAAGGCTTCTACGGGATATACTTCAAAAGGATGCTCTTGACAGTCGAGACGAAGGGCATCTATAAAAAATTCCAAAGCACAGTATATAGGGGCTGCTAGGGTGGGTAGCCAGAGGCTCTAATTCAGCTTATAACGAATAGGAGAAAACCTAGACTTACATAGAAGTTTCATCTCGTAAATCGGTTGGATTATACTCCGATTTTCATCCCCGGTGCGTTTTCCCACCCTCCTTGCTAAGTTTGTTGCCATAGTCGTGATCAATCTTGATGTGACCCTTTGTGGGCGCATCGAGCATCAACTCAGCATCTTTATCAAACATATCTACATGAGTAGTGTCACCACTACTAGTAAACTAAAAACCACGCTGGCAAGCCTTATACAAAGCTTCGATCACCTTGCGCAATGCCTCTGCTCGTTCAATGGGAATACCGGTATAGACTTTGAGGTCGATGTGGCTTTAGTCGTGTGCCAACTGTTGCTTGGGATTGTCATGTCCAACAAGTTCAGCGGTTTCATAAGCATTTTTTTTTACTGATGTGAACGACTTGCTTACACAACTCATCGAACATGTTGCGCACTATGTCGGAATCGTTCTAGGATTGATCCGCTTTTAGAAGAAGAAGAAATGAATGTGAAACGTACTTCATTCATCACCTTTTCCATATAAAAGTGAAAACGGTGTTGATTTGGGCGATTTTCGACGTCTACACTATTTGGCATGAATATAGTGACCTTCACGACTGTGGTAACAGTGACCTCGCCGGTGTTCTCATTATTGAATATTGATCGAGACAGGGATAGCCTTCAGCTCGACCTTGAGGAGACGAATGCTCTTGTTATGTTCTATCACGATATGCATCTTAGGAACTGTGGAAAGTATAATACGCAGAAGGTACAAGCCAGGTGTTCGCTTTCGTGCCTGCTCCTTCACAATTCAGCCTCCCAGATTATATATCCCATATTAGCCTTCTTGGTGCTTTCCTCCCAGATCCAGGAGAAACCGACAATATGGGGTCGTAATTTTAACTTGTGCTCTACATGTTACAGGTGTAAGAGATTCATTGCTGTACAAAGCGTTGGTAGGGATCGCAGAAACTGGCTCTAAATATTTAATGTTCTCCTCTACATTACTCTTACTTGTAAAAGTGGGAACGCTTATTAATAGTCAATTCAAGTGGTTTGGGGCGTGTCCTGGCCCAACCCCATTTAACTTCTGTTGGATTGGGCTTGCAAAATGTATAGCGTTCTAAAGAATGATTGTATTTGTCTGTCTCAGAGAGTGTAAGGAGGAAGACATCCTCGAGTACTTATACATGTTGAGTAGGAAGCTAGGCCTATTCTGCCTACCACGTGACTGCCGTCTGACAACTTCCCATCATGTTCCGCCAAAAATGGCATTATTCTCTTGACGAACTGTCTGGATTGGGCTTCTACCCGTGACAGGACGGAAGCTCGGTGTCGAGGGAGAAGAGGGGGTTTTGTAAATTGGGCACCGTCTCAAAGACAGATTTGGCTATTCAAGGTTCGTGCACCCAAGTCCGACATCCGCACCGAACGTCACTATCTCCTCCTTGACATGTCAAATTTATAGACAGATAGGACACGGCTCCGTGTTTGAAGAGCCATCGACAATCTTCCGGTGGACTGAACTGTCGGCAAGCTTGGTGACACGATCGCGGTAAGCTTTCCGCTGTGCACTAGCATCGAAGAGCATGCCATTCATCGAAAGTAGCACCTCTATGATTACAGGGTAAAGTAAGTTAATATAACTAGCAGTAGATTCCTTTACGAGGATTAAAGCGGTCCTCTTCATAAATCGTCGACCCACGTATTTACTTACACTCCCTCTCCGTCGACTTCGCGAGGAGGTCCACTACAAAACCGCCGAGCCCCCTCTTATTGCTTCAAGCGCTTTTGTAGTAAATGAGAGGAAATCTGCCGGTTGATTTAAATATCTTTCAAACTGTAGAATATATAACCAGTATCCTGGCTTTACGTCTAAACTTCATCTTCCGTGTAATCCTCATCACATGATACCCTGTCCAGTCCTTTGATCGGGTTCCTTCCAACTTTCTCATACTTGTTGCCTCCTCTAGATCTAGTAATCCCTGCTTCCTCTAATGGTCCGCTCCAACTAAGTGTACTTTCGCTTGCTTCCTAGCGTCGATGGCTTCTGACTTTCTATATCATAAGTGACTCAAACATCCTTAAAACAACGGTGCTGCAAGGCTGTATTGGCAAGAGTACGCTTGGCAGGATCCCAAGCAATCATCGATGCCAATAGTCTCTGAACAGTATCATCAGGCGCTGTGAGAGGCCAGACCTCGAATAGCTCAAAGGTGTGGTTTCGAATATTCAATTAAGAAGTGCGTGAAGACTACATACATGCAAGCTCTTCCTCTATATATAGAGAGAGGAAGAGTCTCTGGAACATTCCAGGAAGCTGCCTAACGAATACATGATGTCAAAAGAATAGAACATAAAAGTATGGAACAGCAGAGACTTGCTTGGCAGTGGGGGAATGGCCAGTGCTGAGCGGGGACTTTGGTCAGTGCTTAGCGAGGGCATGGCCCGAGCCTCCATCATGGGTTTCAACCCTCACAGGCGCCGATTGAAGATCCTCTACTTGCTTTCTCCATGCTGTCTTTGCCCTTACGACGTTATCCCACGGAACCTTTTCCCCCGACATGAATAGCTGTATCCCAACTATGCCAGTAGCCCATAGATCAACCTCCTTGCCATATGGACATTGTTCCATCTCAGGTGCCAAGAATGGAATTGTTCCTGTTTTGCCTGGATGAGGTTCACAGCGCTGGGCATGAATGGTCTCTCCGTAGTCTAGTATAACAACGTTGATCATGTCTGCCGATTGTTTTACAACTCCAATATTAGAGGGTTTGATATCACTGTGTATGAAGCCTCCGCTATGCAAACTTACTAGGCCCTGAAGAACTTGGTAAAATGCAGCTATCCGTATGTTGAAGGGTTGTTTAAGGACGAGTTCTTCCGAAAGGTTGAATCGTACAAACGGGCCATATATAATGATAACCTTTTCGGGTCTAGTCCGAAGGGAATACCGTTCGTCTAACTCGTCGAGAATTCCCGTATACCATCTCTCGCCACGTTCGTAATACTCAGTGCAGTAATGAAGGAGACGCGGCTACAAATAATTAGCTAACGTATGTAACGAATTTAACGAGACATACATTCTGCGGAATTGCTTTCAATGTAACAATCTCTTGCAGAATTTTTGAATGGGTTGCTATAGAGTTTTGAACAAGGCATTTTGCAGCACCAGTTTTCCCAGTTCTGATGTTCTTTGTGGCATTTACCACGCCAAACGAGCCACTGCCTACTGTCCCTCGAATATTCCAATCGCCGACTAAGGTGTCCATAGGAGAGGGCGTTGCAGATATGTCGGGGCATGGTGCGTCCTGCATAAGGTAGTCTTGCATATACGTACGAAGAGCGTGGTTGTATTCCTCGTCCTCCAGTCCCGAATACTCGAGATAGTAGCTAAGCGAGCCAAAAGAGACACAGGACTTGCGCTCTGTAATAGTTCGTCGTCCTTTGGTGAACTCATCATTACCTAGTATAGTCATAAACCCACGACGTTCAGTGAGGGTTTTCAGTGTGAGAACACCGTCATCATCGAAACAAATTGTTGCATGAATCCCCGCAACCCCAAAGTGAATAGAAGAATCTTGGGGGGTGCGAGAAGTATGTCTACAGAGCTAGCACTTTTGGTGTTAGACCAGCGGCCAAATCCCAAAACCCACCCAATATTTGGAGTAAGTGGATTGGTTTCAAAGGACAAAATATAGTGGCCATGGTAATTTGGACTTGACACAACAGAGATTTCATCATCTGTATCAGTGGATGTCTGGCTTTCTTGCCTCATGTCGCGATCAAGAGTGGTTTCTGGAGGAGAGTATGGCTCGATATGCATAAATTTTGCAGCGTGGGTGATGGCTGAATCCGTGGCGTCGGAAAGAACATGGTCTGCAAGTGTGCTGAAGAGACGTTGGGCTTCAACATTTGCGGGGATCAATCTTGCAAATATTGATTGCAGCTGGGGGGCAAGAGAGCCTTTTAGGGCTGGAGATCTAGCCATATTGAATAGGCTTGAGGTCCATACGTTGTGGTGACTTTACCTGACGCCAAGTAATGTAAATGAGCTCGGGGTGGTATCACGTATTATGAGGAGAGGGAAAGAACTGCGACATTGCCAGTTTTGAGAGTGGTTCAAGTAGATTATTTTCTTAAAGTGTTGCCTGAACACCAAGTAGGTTGTACTTTGTTGGTAAATACATGAGTCATTTGGATAATAGCCTAATACCTGTGGGTACAGCTCAGGATGACGACCGCCTGACGCCAAGACTCCAAGCTTCAACAAGCGTAGCTGATCTACGCTTATCTGATTAATGAGAAATCCTACGACCGGCAGCTAGGCACGAAAGAGTCGGGGATTCTCAGTTGAAGGGACTTCGCCTGCACGCAGAATTGCTGATTGTCGTACGTAGTTTGGCATATTTGGGGATGAGAATGCATCATTCATTTATCATTGCGCCGAAGACTAATACCCTCACATTCGACTTGTCATACGGGAACTGGCTTATCTTGCTGTTAATCGACGACTTCAACCTGGATGACGATAAGAAGACGATTACAGATAATGGGTTTAGGCATATTGTGCAAGGCTCAAATTTTACTTTGAAGCGACGGCTGTGGTGTCATAGCACACAGCTGAATTTATTCTTGTAAATCTTCGAGTGACATGATAAAGTCGTCCACTAACCTACGGTTTCTCTAGCCGGATATGACTACTATTTCCAATTGCATCATTCTCCATACCAGTGCCTAGGCAGACGACGACATTGTGCAAATGGGACCATGCACTTTATGGAAGGAAGGGTGGAGGAAACCTCAGCTCTAGAGCAACATCCCAGTGATATAGGAGAGGCGTTGCGGTCAAATTTAATATGGTTGCATGATTCGTCTACCAATTGTGGCCACTGTGTCGTTGCGTCCTGGAAGGTAAGGGACAGAACCTGAGCATGATACGTGTCAGTATCGAAGTTCATACTATAGAGGGAAGGAAGGTACCTCACCCGTCACAGCAGGTGGTGACTTGATTCGAATTTGTGCTGCTAGGCGTATTTTTGTTGCCCATTGGGCAGCTGATCCTTCAATTGATTGCTGGACTACTGGGCGTTGTCGCGTATGTGGCCTTCTCGATTCATTGCAGAAATTCATAATGCTAATATTCAACCCAAACGGAGCCGCTTCCTCGCCACCATCTTCGTCGACCTCGTCTCCATATGATGTTTCGATCGGGGTAAATTGCAGGATTTAACTCCCTTGGGCGTCCTCCTTGATCTCTTTATGACGTTCGACTTCGTACAGCCAGTTCTCGCCATTTGAAAACCAAACTCGGTAAAAATTGATGCTGTAGAGTCCGACTGCCGGCGTAATGGTTGATTCCGATTAATCGCGGTGCGATAAATGATCTCTTGGGAATGGTACGGCTGCTGAGGCCAGTGTTTGGATTGTTTGTCGGCGAACGCAATCGATGTAAATGTAGACGGCGTGGGCAGAGCTGACGATGGTGGAGATGGAGATGGAGATGGAGGTGGGGTTGGGGCAGACATTTCTGCTAACTCTTCTTGAACGAATATTCGATATGCCTCGCGCGTGTCTTCTGGTGTCACCCGCATTGCGTCCTCTTCGGTCATCCCAAATCTGCCATATCTAGCAAGACGACCACTCTGTCTGCTCATGTGTCGTTCCCAAGCTCGCTGCAGCTCGTATTCAAATTCGATTCCAAAGCCAGGCATGGGCATATCATCCCAAACCGGTGTGCTTGGTTTTGTTTGCGCAAAGAGACTTGGTGAGAAATGCTGGCTGGAGAAACTGTGGTTGCAATCGTAATCCATCGCAATTAAATCTTGATATAAAGCTTGTAGATGCGGGCGGGTGTTAATGTATCTGAGGAATTGCAGACGGAAGGTCGTTCGCGCGACGGCGCTAACCGCTTTTCCCCCAACGCCCCGGATCTCACTCGGGCTTGGCCAACTTTGGACCCAATTCTAAAAACATATATGCGTTCCACTTCAATCATACTTCAGCAATAGCAACAAAGTATATTTCTAAAGCAATCACTAATGTGGCTTACCTAATAATAGGGCCAGAAGACAATCAATTCGAAAGAAGTAAGGTTAAAGTATAAATGCAGAAAGTAAACACGAGAAGTGAGGGATTGGGAATTGTCTCGATGTAAGGGAATGGTCGAGGAAGAAATGGTGTTATGCCATAAGGTGTTCTAATATCTGTATGCTCCTAATAAAACCAGAAATTAGCGGGGAAATAGCAAACAATACCCCGCCCTGGTCCTTTGATTCCAGTCATTTTCCGCCGATCGCGAGTCCCTTATTGCCCTGTACACCTTATCGTCATGGGTACTTTCCGCTTATGCCAAGGAGAAGACTTCTCTAATAGCAAAGACGTTCGCAGTTCTTCCTTACAAAGCAGACCTCGCCAGCTCATCGTATTGTCAAGTGTTCGAATGGTTGTTTAGAGTTGAACATGTAATTTGAAGGCGTGATTCCACCGCTGGTATAGGAAACGCGATGGAAGTGCACAGACTAGAACGTGGCCTCTCGCCTTACAACGCTACCGCCAGTCATCGTTTCTCAATATGGAAGTCCTCCAAACTCTCGTCGCTTGAACTTCAATAGTATAAATCCACTCGTCTAGAAAAATCTACAACCAGAGAATGTGAAAGCAGATAGATATAAAAGCTGTCCTCATCAATGTGATTGCGCTATATACACGAAAAACTGACCACATTGAATAATGATGCAACGATGCAACCTGATCGACAGCTAGCTAGACTTGCATTCCATTCAATAATGTAGACGCCCCAGCAAGGACAAAAAGAACAGGGCCATAGAGTTTCGTGAAATAATCGCTGTACTGCCCATGCACTTGTTCAAAGTGGAACTTGCGGAGAAAAATTGGGGCGTAGAAGTTCAACCTGGAAAGCCTGAGCTCTCCATAACTGTATCGGCCTGAGACGTCGACATCTTTAATACTATCCAAAGCAGAAAAAAAATGACAAAAGTCTGCCCACTGGACGTCTTAGGGAATAAGGCGGAGATGGTCTTGTTTTACGATAATGAAATCAGACTCGTGCTTGATCAAGTATCGATAGCTTCTTAAATAGCCCAATGTAGCACTTCGAATTGTATTTCGGTGCTCGCCCGGGCTAATAGATGAATCGACGAGGAACATTTCCCAGAACGTCTATGAGAGAATATATCTAGGTAGAGGCTTGATAAAAATTCGGTCATAGAACCAAACAAGATGTAAACGAGATTCTTCGGTGACAATAATCTCGCGCCCTTTGACTCGCTGCCGATGAAGTGGGTTGATATTACTGCTCGAGTACGTGGACATCACCTAAAGATGTGGTACAAAGGTCTCAAGATCCTAGGCCTAGAATTCTTGCTTAAGAAATTCCCTTATCTGGGGAAGATGGCCAAGCTTTAAACAAGGATGCTCTAGGACCGAGGTATTTGTCGGTGCCCCACCCTCCGTCAAGAGTTCAGTGTAGAGGGCTGGTGAATGGAGAATGGAGGTAACTCGAGGATAGGTGCCATTACAGCTGAGCAGCATGGTTAATGAGCTGAGAGTGTTAGAAGAGTGTCATGCCGTGAAGATATATCCTCTGCCAATAAGGCCGCATTGATAGGCAGAATAAGTGGCTGACAAATTTATTCCAGGCTGCGGCTGAGCTTGCTTGCAGGTTGTAGGTTGCAACTTGCAAATGCTCCAGCCTTATGTCTCAATCAACCTATTAATCAATCCACCATTTCTATCATTTTTGATCATCACGGATCGCTTGTCCGTAGTTTTTAAGGTGCCCTATTATTAGGATCACGACAATATCAATTGCTGCCATGGTATGCTCCCAGGTTGATACTAGCCGCAGAGGATGCTGATAAAACAGGTTCGCCCCATAACTGACGAAGACACGGGCCTCAGGGTCCTTCACAAGCCAGTAGTGGAGGAGACAACTGAAAACCAAGCACCTATTATCGAGTATAATCTCTACCCTTACGCGAACCTTTCTATTTTCTCTAACGCGTTTAAGCATTGTCGCAATCCATGGCATCGGTGCCCATCCCGTCGATACTTGGTGTAAAAAGGTCGGCACAGGCGAAACGTCGCACTACGTCAACTGGCTCGAGAAAGAAGACATGCTACCATCAGTAGTACCGAATGCTCGGATAATGCGATACGGATATATGTCTCGGTGGTATGGGGATGATGCTATCCGCCAGAAGGCAACCACTGTTGCAGACCGCCTACTTATCTCCTTGAAACGGAAAAGAAGGGTAAGCCGTTATATTGCCTTCCTTAATTCAAAGTACTGATTTTGTTTCTAGGGCCCTGCTCTCCAATCGCGGTCTCTTATCTTCGTCGCTCACTGTTTTGGTGGACTGGCCGTCTTACAGGTTTGAATGTTTACATTGTACGAAAGGACTGCCAGCTAAAACACTATAGGCACTTCTAAATGCAGAACGTTTTCCCGACGATTGGCCTGGAATATATTCTGCCACTTGCGGCATAGTGTTCCTTGGTACCCCTTTCAGAGGGGCGCCTGGATTAACACTAAGCGAACTTCTCAAGGCTGTCGATGCTGAATACCAAGATACAATTCAAGGAGAAATCTTACGGATACTTGAGCCTGACGATGAATCACTGCTTGAGATGGTACATGTCTTTGAGAAGATTCAGGCAAAGTCACTTCAGAGAGCCAATATTATATGTTTCTTTGAGCAGAAGCCATGTAATGTTAAGGCTATCTTAGGAAAAGAGGAGAAGAAGGTATGTTACATCTAAACCTAGGGAAGCTCTAAGACTAATTAGGATAGTCATTTGCTGTTTTGGAAGGTTCCGGTTGCCTTGGTTTAGCGCAGAAAATCGGACTCCAACGGAATCATTTCGATATAAACAAATTTGGGAAGCCTACAGACGAGGAGTATCTGACGGTATGTGATGCCATAACCGGTATTGCAGATGCTGTCCCGAGTATGGTCTTCTTAGCTCGGTCTTAATGTAAACTGTCCTAGTTAGCTAAATATGATTAATATCTAATTATTAAATAGCCGAACTACTGTCTTCCCGTAGAGGTAATGATAGTTATACATTTGATAGAATACTTGAACAACAGGATTTTAGTAAGCCTCTCTATTTCTATCGCTTTGATTAGATTATCTCTAATATTGCGTAAAGCATGCCTTCGGTCTCTAGCTTTTTTAGAAATGGACTATCGACGACACGATACATAACGAGCTCATGCAAATACATGTGGCTGGATTACTAGTCATTCCTCGTATACTACCTGGCTTCAGGAAGGCTCTGGAATTCTCTGGATCAAGGGCAAGCCTGGATCGGGGAAATCTACATTATTGGAATTTCTCCTTCGGCATTTTAAGAAGCAGGCTCTCTACCAGGAATCCATTCAACTTTCCTTCTTCTTACACGGTCGTGGTACTGTGTTACAGAAGAGTCGCCTTGGGATGTATCGGTCTCTCTTACATCAATTGCTACGAACGGCACCCACTGCTCAAGCTGAATTTCGCCACGCCTTTCAAGAGCGGTCTAGGAGCCAAGGAGATCCTGGAGAGGACTGGAACTGGCATACCAATGAGCTCCGTACTTTCTTTGTTAACGCTGTTGAGCATGTTGCGAAAACACAACCAGTTAATATATTTGTCGACGCATTAGACGAGGCTAACGATGGTACTAGCGATCAAAAGACAAGTTATCAAATTGTTTCGGATTTCCATGACCTGAACGACCTTCTTTGCCGCCAACACCTTAGATCTACAATTTGCTTCTCATGCCGCCATTTCCCTATCGTAGCCGATAATCAAGGACGTGATATCTGTGTTGAGAATGAAAATCATAAAGATATCTCAGATTATGTTTACGATGAGCTTCATAGAAGACTTTCTGTAAATGAGATTGAGAAACAATACCTGGTAGAGCTACAAAATACCATTGTCGAAAGAGCACAAGGGGTATTTCAATGGGCCACACTTGCGGTTGGTTTAGCAGTTCAACATCACAATAATGGTATACCATCAGATGAGATAAGCCAGATGTTGGCAAAGGTCCCTGAAGAGCTAGGTGGTGTCTATAGACATATCCTAAGCGAGGTCGTCGACAAGAACAGTTATAAGCGAACTCTACGTCTTATGAGATGTGTATATCTCGCGGAACGGCCTTTAACGGTAACTGAGATATATTTCGCTATGTATCTACCAGATACCGAGGTACTTGGTGTAGAGCCTTCTCGTTTAAATCTATCATTGCCCACATATGTGGTGGAGCGGCAAATTACTAGCCTATCCGGAGGCCTTATTGAGCTTAGGCAGCATGACAAGAATCAGATAATACAGTTTATTCACCAATCTGTGAATGATTTTATTTTACGAGATGGGCTCCAATTGCTCGACGAGCTGGATTCTCAAGACCTGATCGGACAAGGTCACTATCAGTTGTCGCTTATTTGTGGAAACTACATGAAAATGAGTGAAATAGTCAAGCAAGATCGATGCTGAGTCTACAAAAGGTCGACTTCCTTTCGTAGATTATGCTACAAAATCTTGGTTCTTACATGCTGAAAAAGCCGAGAGACGAGGGATTTCACAAGATTACCTCCTACGTTACAACCAATGCTATCCAGAGCTAATAAAGCGTTGGTGTGAGAGGCCAGACCTCGAATAGCTCAAAGGTGTGGTTTCGAATATTCAATTAAGAAGTGCGTGAAGACTCCATACATGCGAGCTCTTCCTCTATATATAGAGAGGAAGAGCTTCCTGAATATTCCAAGAAACTTGCAAGAAACTTGAATGACCAATACATGATGTCAGAAGAACAAAACAAGAAAGTGTGGAAAAGTAGAAACCTGTTTGGCAGTGGGGTAATGGCCAGTGCTAAGCAGGGACTTTGGTCAGTGCTCAACGAGGACTTTGGTCAGTGCTTAGCGAGGGCATGGCCCGAGCCTCCAGCATGGGTTCCAATTCTCACACCCACCCTACGTAGGCAAGGCAAGGCGAGGCTTACTCAAAAGTTCGAGAAGATAGGAAAGGCTAGGCAAGGCTCAAGGGGTGGGCAGGGTGAGGAAGGCTAACTTAAAAAGGGGGGAAGGATAAGGAAGGATAAAAGAGGCTAGGCGAGGAACAAGAAAAGTGGTAATAAATCGTATAAATCGAGAAGTACTAAAAGAAGCAAGACTGGCAATAAAGTATATAAATATAGGCCTACAACAACGTATAAAGAATCGCAAAGATAGTGATATTAGGTCTCTCCCAGCTGATCTAGAACAACCTAATTTCCCTTGCCTTTCCACTTGCTGTAACGAATACTCAAACTGGCTAACTAAACTTGGCTGGGTGTTCGCTGGTTGGTATGCTATGATAAGAAGAAGACTATCGGGTTGTTCACTTGGAAGTGAACTCGTTCCTTGTATCAAAGATGTCAAACTAATATGATAAGATTGATAACTAAGTTGAGCACGAAGCTCCTATCTAATGGCAGACGTGCCAGT